TTGAAAACTGACACTGTGATATAACTTCAAACATAACAAATATTCTGTCAACCCTTATTTCATAAATACAGGGAACTCAATTTTTCATAATGGATTAAAAGCTTCTCTCTAGGAACAGAAGAAACCACTTGATCACCTATCAACAGACATCAAATTCCACTCCATTACCCATGTGCAGAAATCAATAACACCTTTTACTGTAGCATTATTTTCTGCAAAGGCCTCAGATTTGTGTCGAATACACCAGGAGAGGGAACATACTTTGCTGGATAGACTAACTCCAAATGTTAAACAGTCTCTAGAAGTGCCTGCCTTTAGCTTCCAGCTATTTGTTTCTCCTATTTCTTCCTTTATTCCATTTATAACTTCTGCCCTTGTAAAAGTTAGAATTATATCTTAATATATAGTATTCTTCATGCAGAAAAAAAATTTGGGCTTTTCTTTTTTTTTTTTTTTTTTTCTTTTTATAAACTACATTAACTGAGCCCTGATAGTGACTTTAAAAGGACTTCACCTCCAATCTCCAATATTAATTCTTCTCTGTTTCCGTGCCAAATGCTCAAATTTTTGTTAGACATTCAAACTTAAAAAGATGGACACAAAAGTTGTACATAGTATTGTAGCATCAGTCTCATTAATTTTGTACTGATAGTCAAAATGACCTCTTCACGTCCTTTTGTACATTAAATTGAAACATAAATCATCTTAAACATACTGTCTGTCTTAAAATGTTTTTTCACCAGGATTAGTAGGTAACTTTCAAAGTCAGTGTTTTTTGCAGGATATTACTTCCCATCACATAGATTTGCCGAGCATTTGGCTTAATTAAAACACACTTTATTTAGAATAAATTCAGTTTTTCAAGTGATCTAACTCATTCTTTAGGACTGGTCGGACTCATTACCAATCTATCATTCCCTTGCAGCAGTCTTTTCTTTTTTTTTCATAAGCAAATTTTAATTTACTTTAGTATCACTGATGAAAATAATCAAAAAGCAGAGTTGAAACCCAGTGAAAATTCACCGAAAGCTCTTCAGTTTGATGTTTTACTACTGATGACTGCTTTTTGCCAACTACAATTTCTTAATTAAATTATCTTTCAGATGTGTTTTATAAGTACTGTATACTGTTGATCTCTTAAATCCTAATAGGAACAATGTCATATTTTGCCCAGTATCCTTCAAAATGGCTAACACTAGCTGCTTCAGAGAAAGATTTAAGCAACCATAAAAATTAGTTGTTCATCAACCTGCTTCTACTCCAACACTTCCAGTGACTAACTTATCCAAGAATTTCAAAGACATATAAGCTTTAACAGCACTTCTGTTACTATAGCTATTCATATTATTTATACACTAATAATCACTCTTTGGCTTTTAAGAACATATTACTACAACCTTAGTCTCCATAACATTTTATGGTAATGAATTTCAAAAGTTATGTATCACTGTGTGCAAAATATAATTTTATTCATTTTGAATATTCTACAGTTTAGTTCAATTATATCTCAGGTTCAAACAGTATTTTACTGTCAGAAGAAATTAGATCCAAAGTTGGTACCTCTCAAACATTTCTAAGATGTAGAATACTACAAAATTATTTTTTCTGTCTCTTTAGCAAGATATCTGAATATCTTAATTCTGCAGTATTGGTCCCTTAACAATCCAATGAGTCCACTCTCTAGCCTATTGCCTGTTTTTGCACAAGATCAGAAAATTTGTTCATGGTTAACTAGTCACCCCTTAAGACATGCTCTCAGCTCTCCTGATTATTTGTGTACATATACTGCCTGCTGTAGCTTATGATAATTTTATTGGACTCCATAGAGATAGTTTCTCCATTTTCTCAAGGCTATTTGGCTCCAATGATCTTGTCATGCAGTCATTGCAAGCTCAGTCTAACCTTTCTTTCTGCATGCTCTGTATACAGCTACAAAACAATAACCATCAGTTGTGTGTCCTAGCTGTGTATAAATTAATTATGGACATCTGTATTATAATATATGCATGTATTATGGCTGCACAGATAGGCATTCCCTAACTTAAAAAGAAAGTGTTAACTGTTCTCACCAAAAGGTGAGTTTTATTCCAAGCTTTTTTTGTTGGAACAAAACTAAAAATTGTGAGTACACCTTCCACAAAGGAAATTTAAACCACTTGAAATTACAGAGTGTACTTTGTATCTTTAAAGTTACCAATATTAGAATTGTTATAATTAATTAATGGACTGCTACTTACCTGTAAAAATTGAATTTAGAAAGGGTCAAATAATTCCAAGTTTATTTTACATTATTGTGGTGTGTTAACCCTGGCCAGTAGCTAAGCACCGCACAGCTGCTCGCTCATGCTCCCCCTCTTCCAGGTGGATGGAGGAGAGAATAGGAAGAGAGATAGCAAGAAAACTTGTGGGCCAAGATAAAGACAGTTTAAGAAGTGAAGGGAAAAAGAAAAAAAAAATCACAACCAAAACCAAGTGATGCAAATGTACCACTCACCACCTCCCACCAGTAGACTGATGCTCAGCCAGCCTGGTAGAAATTGTTACTGCTTCAGAAAAACCCTCCCCTTAGTTTTTATTTCTGAACATGACACTATACGGCACTGGATAACTCTGGTCAATTTGGCTCAGCTGTCCATGTCATGTCCTCTCTCAGCTTCTTGTTCAGCCCCAGCCTACTCACTGCAGGGTGGTGGGGCAGAATGGAAAAAGAGAAAGCCTGGACACTGCAAGTACTCTTCAACAATAGCCAAAACACTGCTGTGTTATCAACATTGCTTTAGTCACAAATCCAAACCAGAACACCATAAGGGCTGCTGTGAAGAAAATTAACTCCATTACAGCCAGACCCAGTACAATAAGACTGTAAAATATAACTAAAAAATATCAAACTCCAACTTCAGTGAGATACTGTCGTATTTTGCTGAAGTAATGTCTATTGACTGTCTTTGGCATTGGTCATCATCCTAAATCATGTACTGATTTTTTTCTGTTTCATTTGAGAGAACATACACACCACCCCACTACACCTCCTGGTCTGGGAAACAAGAGACAACATTTTGTTTTCTATACCATTCTGACACCTCAAGGGCTTAGTATCTGTAAAAGATAGCCAATACCCCTGTTTGTGCTCAGATCCGTGCTTTGTCAAAGTAGCTCTCTAGTCCAAATTCTTTTACCAATCAAATAGCAGCATCCTGTGATCGTCTGAATAACCCAGCTGTTTGCTCTAGGGGGTTTTGAAAATTCATTTGACTACTTTGAAAACAGAAAGTTTGACTGCCTTTGAATCTGCTTTCAAAGACAAAATTATACAGGTCAAGCTATTGCCCATGGAGTATTCCAGTTAGCTTTGACAATGATAGATACCTTTCATGACCATTTCCCAGATCCCTTATGCCTACACTTCACAACTGTCCTTAATGATGAATGACAGTCATCTGAAATGAATGACAATTTTCCAGTACTCTCATCCCCAAAGAAATGGCATTATCATCACATTTTCTTGCTATAATTTATCAGACTGAAAAATACAGAGTGTCTGATTACTAGATTCTTTATAATATGTAATAACTTGAACAAATACTAATCTATGGGTTTGGAAATGCAGATGATAAAAAAAATATGAAGTTGTAAGGTACAGTATACTCTGCTTTTATTACTTTAGGAACTGCAAATCTTACTCTTTAATGAAAATGTAATGTGGAGAAGACAGATTGTTTTGATCTGAAATAGGTTCAGATATCCTACCTGAGCCTTGAAGAAATACACAACTGATTGTTATAAAATAAAGCAATATTCAAAGCTGTATTTTGAATGGAAGTCTTGTTCTTGCCACTCATCGGAGTGGATATTTTATTTGCTTAGTGAGGTGGGGTTTTTTCTATATAGTTACACCTTCACTGATTCAACAGGGACTGAGTCCAGCAAAAAGACCCTCTGGAAAAAGTCATCCAGTCAAGTTTTCACTTTGTGAGGAAAAGTCTAATCTTGGGCCACAATTCTTGGCACTGATTACTCATTACTGGCAGATCCAACTGAATTTATCTGAACAAATAACACAAGCTTGGTTCAAAATTATTGTTTCTGTTACTGTAGTAATGAAGTTCCTCAGCCACACACCAGGACCTCCCAGTTCCTGAGTTCTATAGAAACAAACCAAAAAGGAGCTGGATATAGAACAAGTTGTTCGACATCTAATCGAAGACAACTATAGTCTAGATATAAATCATCAAATGGACAGGAACATAGTAAGTATAGAAGCATGAGAATCCCAGGAACAATGAGAAAATATTGATGAGCTTAGTAGGCATTGTTATTAGAGAACTTGAGTCTTGCATTTTGCAAGGTATCACATTAGTGACCCCTAAGAAGAGTTTTTAAGGAGAACAAGTTTTCTAAGACTTCAGAAATGTTATCAAGGGCCTCCTCCCAGGCATGCATGGCAGGAAAATAGAAATCACAAAGGAACTTGCTTTAAAACAAACATGTAAGGGAACCTGAAATAACATGCCACTTGAGAGGACAAATGATCTTCTATCATGGGGGACAACAGCTTTTATAGATTTATATATATTTATTTTTATATATATATATATGTGTGTGTATATATATAAATATATGTGCATGAATGGAGATGAATACACCTTTCTAATATTTAGCCATTGTCAGTATGAGTCAAAAGGGTAATTAAATGCCAGGGACTGGTAGGAAGCAACATGTTAATGCTGATGCAATGAGAGAATGCTTGTGTGCGTCAGCACACATAGAAGGTTAGGAAGATGAATGTGAAATGATACAGAGGTGAACCACAGTAGACAAAAACCTACTACCCAAGGCAGATCATGTCACATGCACAAGAAAAGGGTTACCAGGTGGTAGCAGGCAGTATTCTCCATTTGTTTGTGCATTCCTCAACTTTGGGAGCTTTGTGCATGTTTATCGTTGCGTTTATGATCTTTATAAATCCGGCTGCTTCAGGAGGTACCTAATTTTCTACTTACAGGCTGATTCAGCACCGTTTGTATGGTCCAGGTGTGCTGCCTGTGGAGCATATGGCATCTTATCTGAGTCCTGCAGTAGCTTCAGAAACACCTTTGGTGAAATAGGAAAAAAAAAATTTAGAATCCATTTTCTAAAAAATATATATATATATATATATATATACACACACACACACACACACACACACACACACACACTAAATCATCCAGATTGTCAGATATTAGTAGCCACCCTGCTGGAATATGACTATAAAATTAGTCAAGCTCTCCAGTGGAGGACTCCTGGGGATAAGGGGAAAGGAATAAATGGAAATAGATGTAAAAGCAGTGTTAGCCCATGCACAATACTATCTGCAAAGGTTTTTTCAATGGACTGGCTTCCCTTGATTAACATTTTATGCTCTTAGGTTGTGTTATATGTTAGAACTCAGTTACCACAGTTTTTGCCAAGGGCTTATTGACAGCTTCAAGTCTCTTCTGATACTCTAACTAGAAATATGAGGAACAACTGAAACTACTACCAAAAAGTGCAACCAGTACAACTAAATCTAATGTACAAACTCCTACAGAACTGAGAATGCGCAGAGCTCTGGGAAGTGTCTGTAAGTTTACATAACTGTGTGGGTAACAATGCTATTGAAAGGTCTTCCAAGGGCAATGCAATCATCAGGCACAGTCAACATAAACAAAGTCCTGTCTAACTAATACTGTTGAGAGGACTGGGCAACAATGTGTGTTTTGAAGCAAAACCATTAACATGCATTACCCAAATTTGAAGAAGATGATAGGAACCTCTTACTTAAAATCAACATGGGAAAAACTAAAATGATTTTTTTAAAAGTAACAACCTAAAAATCTGCACTAGAGTAAAATTGTAAGGGTTGAATCTTCCTAAACAACGAGACACACATCAGAAGGGAATTAAAGATAACATTTAAGAAAAACAGCAGAAATCACCAATTTTATAATCATGAGAAGTATTTCAATGATATATACACTTTGCCAAACATAGATTTATGTTTGACCTACTACTTCTTGCTTAATCTTGTTTCACAGTTCTGTCCACATGTAGTCCTTTGAATTTCATAGAGATGTATTTCATTTATCAGTCCCTCAGCCATGCAGAAGCTTAGAACAGCTTTCATAGTAAGCTGGCTATTAACACTCACCTCACTCTTATAAGCTCAAATGAAAAAAAGAAAAAAAAATAAATTTCAAATCTTAACCTGAATTTCAATTTAAACAGAGATGTCGGAAATTCAGATAAAAAGAAAAATTAACAGAAAATATAGCTACCATGAGCATCTCTAACTGAATAGCAAAAGTACAAATTTTGATTTCTCTTGATGAAAGCCTTCTCTTGCTTTCTCTTCTCTGTTTGGGTTGAGCTGCAACGTGGATTATAATCACAGCATGGCTTTCAGAAATCATTAAGAAACTATTTATTTCTTCTCACAAAATAACCTGATATCAGCTATAACAAAAAATTCCTTGTTTCCAAGGAGCTCATACAATAAACAATAAAAAACAGTCAATCTGAAGTACTTTATAGTTGGGGAAAGATATTTCTTGACTTGCTAAGGTCTGACTGTTACTCTTAGTCAATATAATTGCTATTTAACAGTGGTTATTCATTGCATTTGTTACCTGCCAATTTGCAGGGAACACCTTTGGCCATTAACAACCACAAGGCCAGAAGAAATTAATAACACCTGACATTTCTCTATTAGACCCTGGAGGGAGATCATGACTGCCCAAAGCCACATTCTAATTTATTTCCTTGGACCTGCTTGCTGATGGCTCCTCTGCACACCAATGTTGTCAAGCAAACCAAACTAAACTGAACCAACTAAAACCACAAAGGAACTGCTCCTCTCTGGCTAGAATGATGGCTACGCTACAACATGTTGCCTACTCAGTTCAGTGTCGGAATTCCTGCTGGGGTTGCAAATAGATATTTTCTTCTTTAATCACATTATGTCACTTGCAGAGAGGATGTAACTATGCCTTAAAAAAAAAAAAAAAAAACAAAACAAAACCAATAAACACTTTTCTAATATGTACTGTGTCTACTGCTGTTTCACTGACACAGCTATTCTGATACAGCTATAAAGGCAGAAGGCCACCTGCATTGCCCTGTCAAACCCATAGTATCCAAGCAGCTCTCAAACATCCCGTTAAGAATAGGAATTATTAGGGACCATATGGTACAGAAGAAATTACAATTTATCTAATGTTGCACAGGATATTGTAGGCAGAAGTAGTATTGACCTAAGAATGTTATTAGCAGAGTAAATACCCTCCAAGACACATATATCTGGAAAAGTCAGCATTAGACGCCATGAGAGAGACACAATGTGTTCTTGCCATACCCAAAAGACTGGATAAATTCAACAAAAGAAGGTGTCCTCTAGATGTCAGTAGAGCATCCCTTTCCCTACCTGCCTTAGCAATTCCTGCTTAAATTCTACTTTGGCTAGCACATCCATCTCTGACCAAGGACTTGTCTAGATGGCTGGCTGTAGGGGAACCTGAGGACATAGACATCTGCACCCCCTCTAAGCTGTACTAGGCAGCTACTCCCTGATTTCTTCCTGATTGCTTCTTTGGGACAGCATCATAAAAACAAGCCTGGTTCACTCATACAGTGGCACAGTATCCTTGACCACTGCAGAGTGTGGGGACCCTGTCACACCTTCGTTATAAATACACAGTATGAAACACACCTTCACCTGAAAGGAAAAAGTGCAGAAAACCAAAGTGGCTGAAAGAAAGAGAAAGAGAAGGGGGAAAAAACCCAGCCAACACCCACAGACAGTCCTTTATCATCCAAAACCACTGATATTTTAGCAACATTTATGGACTCTACTACATTTTCTATTCACGTTGGGTTTATATTTTCTTCCCAGCAGTACATGCTCAGTATAGCCTTCTGTAGCTACAGCCATGTTTCACTAAGCAGAATGATGCAGAAGCAATCTATTCACTGTGGATGACTGTTGACTGAGGAACTTTCGCAGGCAGGTCAATGGTTATCCACTAAACAGAAACTCTTCTGACTGTCAAACTTAGATGCACACCCAGAGATGAGACAGACACTTGACATATCTCAGTCACAGGAAAAAAAAACAGTATGCTTTCTAGGAAAGTGCTTAAAATAGGTAAGGAATAGCATGGCTTATTTCCAGCACTTGCCCCTGTGAGCTTACTCCATGCCCAGTACCTTGGCCACTCCTGGGGGTGGAGAGAGCAGGTAGTCATGCTGGCTGTTGAGGAGGACTGCCTTACTTGCAAGCAACAGCCAATGCCCTGTTTAATTCAAAATACCAGATTGTCAATAGGTATAAGCAAGTGCTGTTTCCCTCTAGGAAAATATTCTGGCCAGCTGACAGTTCTACAGTGCAACAGACCAATATGATTGTGCCATTACTAGATGATGTTAGACACTAAACAAAACTGCATCTCACTAGAAGCTACATAGTGTTTTAAGAGTGAAATATTTCAAGGACATATGTGGCTTTCTCTGGAAAGTCTTGGAGCAAACTCTTTGGTCATTTTAAGGAAGAGAATTTAAAGTAGGACTCCACTAACAGGTATTTTGACACATCTTATTTCGAAAAGATGTTTCAATGGTTTTGTTCCCTCCTCAAGGCAAAGCAAGAAAGCAATAAATTTTGAAACCTCCAGAGTTGCCAGAAAGTGAAACATCATTCTCCAGAGGACTCAGTATACACTTAATTTAATTAACCACCCTTCTATCCTCCTTTTGGTTCTGCTAACATTCTTTGGATTACAAGCACTATAAAGCACATAAATACAAATAGTTGGAAAACATATCTAAAACCTAAACTCAAGCAAATACAGTATTAGTGAGATTTGAAAGTGTCAGGAACTGATTTTGTTAGAATTTCAAGATTCCTTTGAAGTATGACTGGAAGCCTGGTTTCTCTTGAAAAGTAAGATTTTTAGAGTGCAGATATCCCTCAGACTGAAAAGGAATAATGGCAAGTGTATGCGAGAACAAAAAGAAAAGATAAAATAAAAATTATAACACATTTCTTCTTTTTTAAGTCAGAGTTCTTTGTTTCCAGATTGAATTGTTTGAATAGACTAAATAGCACTATTATGTGCTATCCATTTAGGTGCCAATGCAAAGAGGCTTTTGATAAGAAAATGGAGAATTGAAGCTGTAACAACGATTAATGATGAGATGCAGAGATGACAGAAATCACCCCAAATTAAGACATTAAGTCTTCAAGCTGAAGAATGATACATCAATATCTAATACTACCTTTAAAGCTTTTTTTTTTAACCTTCCCTGTGGAAAACAACCAAAAGCAAGCTCTCTACTGAATAACGGATGCAGCACACTGAGGAAGCTTCCTTGTATTCCATGAAAATATTTGCTTTATAGATGCCAGTTCTGGAAAGTCCTATGATACTCCACAGAGACGTAATCAGAAAAGGTTCTCAGTATATTACCTTATAATCTATAAAAGTTTGGTGGTGAATAGTATTCTTTCTTATAGCATGTTAATCAGTCTATATAATTTGAAAGAAAATAACGATTTTTCAATAAGCTTTTGACTTGCCTCATAGAATTGTATAGCAGGAATGTAATTTACTTTATAACATTATGTAAAATGTTTACTAAACTTTTATGATTTATTCCCCTCATTACCATAGGAAATGCTTGCTACACTAGCTTTATGTACTGTGGTCATTTAAAAGAGAAACACTGAAGAGATGCCTCTGTTTTTTATTTATAAATACCTCAGTTGTATAGTGCTTAATTTCAAGGGAAACCACATACTTGCTGGTAGATCATTTTTTGGACTGCACTTTAAAAACAAATGTGCAAAATCAGATCCTTTATGCTTGTGTAGGGTTCTAAAAACCTATGTAGCAAATCAATACAGTCTTAAAGATGTCTTGGGATACAGCAGCTCCACATCATGGCGTATTTGTTCAATAAATTTCATGAACAATTGTCATTTTAGGTTTATTTATGTTATTGGGGTTCTATTTATATTTTTTCCACAGATGAACTATTTTAAACTTGCAAAACAAACCCAGAACTGCTGATGTAGTTTCAAATATCTGACCACATTAATTCTCATATATATAGCTTACACAGCAAGAATACAATGTGAAAATTATTTCTGACAGGCCTTAAAGTGTGTCATGTTCATAACACCAGGAAAGACAAGCATCTTCCCTGGGGGATCTTGTGTTCTAGCTGACCACAGTACCACTTCATCTCATACATTTCCAGGGAACAGAGGGAGAAGGGATACACCCCTTTTCTATCCTAAGTATTTATTAGTCTAAAAAAAAAAAAAAAATAAAATTTATATATATATAAATCAAGCTACAGGAATCTGAATTTCATTATTTGGGGTTTTTTTGGAGGGGGTTTTTTTTTCCTAACATGGATTAAATTTTCTGCTAGAAAACAGTCCAACCTTATCTGTCTTTAACGCCATAGGTAAACACTGGAGAAATCAGTTTCACAAAGTGATACCGAATGAATTGTGCCATAAAATAAAAATGTGCTTTGTGCATTAAAAAAAAAAATACTGACATTAGTCTTCTATCACCACTTGAAAAGTGGGAAAAAAAATTCTAAAGCATCTATAATGCAAAACTTGAACAGTGGTGGTTTAGGGAATCTTGATATAATAATTAAAAGTTATAGTCAGGATAAAAACAGTCCAAGGAAAATAACTTCTTACTGATAGGGCTAATTACACAGAGCTAAATTCAGAAGTGATGAAGAGGCATAACCAAGACTCTTTCTCTGGTCTGTTTGGTGTATATAGATAAACACATATATATTACTGATATATATAATCATGTATACATCTACGTAACTGTCTCTCCCTCTAGGTATACACACAAAATACTCTTTAGAGATTTTGCCACACAGTTTTACTAAATCCTAAGCTTTAGAACTTTAAGTCAGGGAGAATTCTCAACAACTATTTTTTCCAGCCCAACAGCTACGTGAACTTAACCTTCAAGCCTTGCAAGTTCAAAGCTCATTCCAATGTTAGAGATTCAAAACAGCAACAGTGGTTCTCATTAAATCAATGATACATTAAAAGTTCCTTAAGTAAATGCAGAAGCAAACTTTTAAGAATTACACAGTTCCTCAGTCTTCACATCAGATTCTTGAAATAAGAAGTCATAGTAGAGTGGGTACTTAACAGTACAGTAAAACTATAAAGTATGCATTTCAAGATTTTTTTTTTTCCAGAAAACATGCTTTTCACAACAAACTGTTATGAAATATAAAAGATAGAATCAAGACCAGCTGGAAGCTAATCAGGGTTCTCTAACCAAGAAAATGACATTACACAGAAAAACTAAATGTACCTCTTCCAAGGTGGTGTCAGAAATGCCATAGCCAGTCACATGCAGATGATGAAGGCTTTGATCTAGAGCCTGAAAAAGACCTTTAAAAGAGGTCTTATCTGCCCTTTCTGGAATCACATAAGTTAGCTCAGTGCCACTGTTCTCTTTCAAGAAGGCTTCTGGGATGTGGGTCTGTACCAGAGATGTGACCTGAACAATATGCTTAGGATCCTGGATTTCGAACACAGACGGCTATAAGGAAAGGAAGATAATCATGCACAAAAAAAAAAAACCAAAAAAACAACAACAACAACAAAAAAAAAAAAACCACAAAAAAAACACCACCCAAACAAACACACCAATGTTACCAGAAGTATGGAACTTATAAATAGTAGAATTCATACAGGAAAATTTCTATTGATAAAACTGCATCAAACCTAGGATGCAGAGATTATTTCCCAGGAATAAAGAACAGTGAGACAAAGACCTTTACAGCTAAATAATGAATCATCATTTTCAAAGATGTCATTGTGTTCTTCTAAATAATAACAACAGTAGTAGTAGTAGTAATAATAATAATAATAAAATACCACCCACCCAAAATAACCAAGAAAGAGGATAAAAACATGTTTTGCTGGTTCTCAAATAACCTATCTCACATATTACTTCCTGGCAGGGACATACAACTCCCTTAGAATATACCCAGATATTACTTGGCAGACACTGTTAAGTTCTATACAGTGCTTTTTTAATATACCTTTTTTATGAGAGTTAGACTGTGTCCCTGGCCATAAGTTTCTCTCAAATAAGAGGGAGAACCACAACACCTCAGCTGGCCACGCTGCAGGATAGCAATGCGATCGCTGAGCACCTCTGCCTCATCAAGATGGTGAGTCGTAAAGATCAGTGTGCAACCTGCATCAGAAAGATTGGTACATGTCTACAAAACCTGATTTCTAGAGAAACACATCTTGCTCTCACAAGATTACTTTAACCATAAGGGCAAGCATTTCAAGTGCCTTCAAAACATACCTGCAAGATGCAACAAAACCTGCATTCAGATTTACAGTTTGAGTTAGATTCAGGTCTAAACTTGCTTTGACTTATATTATACATAGTAAGCAGTATTAAGCCATTACAACTTCAAGATGTTTTAAGAGCTTAAGAGATTCCTTAAAACGACATAACAGCAGTGTCTGTTTCAATGGATCATTCACTGTGAGTTATTACAGCTAATTGAGTACTCACTAGCTGAAGAGTTTGCTTCCCACAATCAGTTTTGAACTTTATGGCACTTAAAAAATTAATGTAGCAGACTGACTGATGAGTCTATTTTCATTAGAAGTATATATGCCTCTATATACAGACTGTGCAAAATGGGAAATGAAAACAAGAATATAATTTTGAGAAGTTAAAAAAAAAGTAAGACAAGAGAAACTTCAGAACAGGACTCAGAACAAAACACAATCTTCTGTTAGATTGAGCATCTTTCTGTGAGATAGCAGATAATTTCTGTAGTCTCACCTGGCTGCTTGAAAGTTTCCCAAGTTCAATTAAAGTTACCTCTGAAATTAATTTATTTAGTTAGTGAATAGCAGTACTAGTATTCCAACTATCCTGCTTTAATTTATTGAAACAGAATCTTAAAAAGGAAAATAAGCAACAAATTATGGGTATATGCTTGTACCAGCTTTGTACTTCAGAAGAACATCCCAGATGCTACGACGAGAACATGGATCTACTCCACTGGTGGGCTCATCTAAAACAACTGTTTTTGAGTTTCCAATAAAAGAGATGGCAATTGACAGCCTCCTTTTCATTCCCCCAGAAAGGGCTCCAACAGGTTTGTACTGATGTTGGGATAAATCCACATCTTCCAGAGCTCTGAAACGGAAGTACAGAAACAGGACCAATTTTGAAAAGTTTTTCTAATCACATCATGTTCACTCAAATCAGAATTATTAAAAAGTCACTGTAAGTAGAAAGTGAAAAAATCCCACTATCTGTGACATACATTTTGGTGACAAAAACAAATAGAAAAATAATGTTCTCTTGACCTACAAAGTATAAAGACTCATCACCACCTGAAACACAAATTCTAGACAAGTATTGTGCAGGATAAGAACAGATAATGTTGAAATAATGTCCAATAAAATAAAACCAGTTTGGCCAATGATTTCAGCAAGCTCTAGATATAGCCTCTTAAACATGGTAAAAATGGTTAGTTTCATAACTGAAACAGTGCTTCAGTTTTTGCAAGTACATAAAGAACCTAAAAACTCAGGATTTTTTTAAGGAAATGTGTAGGGATTTGAAGTAAATAAGATAACACGACTACTTTTTTTTTTTTTTTTTTTTTTTAGCAATCCCTATGTAGAATAATACTACGTCATCCAAACTAATCTAATTCCTCTGTCAAGGACTGAGAGATACCTTACAAACATTGCCTGTTCAGACCTTGCCCTCTGATAATCTTTTATGTGAGCAGTATGTGGACGCATGCTCAATAAAGGCAGCACTGAAAAACCATCAATTTATTTTTCATCACACTGAACATCTAGCTATTGACCTAAAAGCTTTCAGTTGCTATCAGCCTGGCAAGCAAGATATAAAAGACTCAACAGTCCTAAACTAATCTCCTGAATCATTTGAGTGAGTATGCAGTCTGTATATGCCATTTACCCTGACGGGATTTTTCATTTTTAAGAAAACAGGTTTCTATAATTTTGTATAGACATATCTACCTTTTTTTTCTTAATGAAAACAACTTTTGTTTCATTGTTTTGTTGTTTTTCTAATTTCTTTGAAGTTTTATATTTTAAAGCATTCATTTAAAAAAACAAACAAACAAAAACAAACAAACAAAAACAAACAAACAAAAAAAACCACAAAACCCACACAACTTTCTTGGTATCAAGGCCTGCAGAGTGCTAAGTGACATTAGTATGACAGACTGCTGCTGAAATTACAATTCAGCAGTCTAAGTACAATAAAACACAGGATATTATTTTGCATAAATTTTAATTAAACATTAGGTTTGGTCTCTGTTGTTCTAGAGTTGTTTTCTGTTGTTTCTAGAGAGAATGCAGTGTCCCACACCAGAGATTTTTCAGATCAAAATTTTAAAGTAACAGGCTTTTATGATAGCTGCTAAAAAGGAAAGGCACTTTACCACAAATGTGTGCCCATATGCCTAATTGTAGACTTAAGAAGTCCCATCAACTTGGCATTTATTTCCACTGAAGTGTGGCAATGCTCAGCCTTCCACATAGGCTAGCATGAGTCAGAAGGTATACAGAAACTATTTATGCTGTCACGCTAGTAGAAGAGCATAGATTTTATTCCTAAAGTTTAGAAAATGCAGTTTGTTATTAGTGAATAAGATCTCACCTTGTACAGTTTACTAGTAGTTTAATGTACACGATGCAGAAATAAAGATTCTAGTCTTGTATCAAAGAAGTAGCAGCCACCTAAAAATACTAGCAAACATTCTCAACCTGACAAGTGGAAAATCCTCTGATGTCATGTCAGAGCTCTGGCTTATTTTTCCTATTGGATTGTTTGTTTGTAACCCCTTCACTTATTAAACATATTTAAAGTCTGGATTTGGCAAAGGAAAAAGATGATGGCCTAATTAAAAATATTGTAACAAGCACTGCCTTTACCTGCCTTTTCTGGTTTTCCAATCTTACCTCTAGGGCAGGTGAGGGAATACAGGATAACAAATAAAGTCAGTGTTGATTTATCTGAAAACTCAGGGTGAACACACAATTTATTTTCTTTCTGCCTCTCCAGCAAGGAGGGAGGCAAGGCAGACAGCATGAGGCAGGAACCACTACAGCTGCTACCAGGCTAACTATCTCCACTGCAGTCAAAACATGATTATTTGATGTTCTGTACACCAGGTTTTTAATCGTTGACAGTTTCACTACAAATACATTCAAGTAAATGTTAGAAACTAGGAAATCTATTTTCAAGGCACGTTTTCAGAACATGAAGTGTGATAAAAACTAATGGAAAACCTGCAGTTTCCATTCGTTTCTACTTGCAATTTTGCTTTAGCACTTCCTTGTTTGAGTGGCTTGCAACAGACACTGACTGACTGACAAATTTCAACAAATGATGGGAAAACTTACCCACTGACTTGCTGATTCAGCTGTTCCCTTGTCCATCCAGGTGCTTTCACTGATCCATAAAGCAGTAGATGTTCTCGCACCGTTAGTATGTTGAACAGAACATCATACTGTGGGCAAACACCTAGCTCTGTTCTGATGGCAGCCAGATCAGTACGTATGTCCTTTCCATTAATAATAATGGTACCAGAGCTTGGTGGATACAGACCAGTCAACAGTGATCTGATACAAGAAAAAAAAAAACAAAACCAACCACACACTCACAGCAAAATCATGTGTAATGACTGTATTACATAACTCACACTTGGATCTACTGAGGCATGCCCTAGCATCCTTAGAGCAACACCAATTCAGTTGAGCATAGTTATAGAAACACCACTAATGTTTGGGGCCTTTTTTTAAAAAGCAAACAAAAAAAAACCCAAACCAAAACTCAACAGTCCTTCATTTCCATACTTCCAGGATAGAATCCATTTTTTCCCAGCCAAATACAAAAGACCAGTTTCCTTTTTTCGTTTTTTGTGTGTGCACTCTAGATGAGTAGTAATTCTTAATTGGGTCCCATCTTGCATCACTGGTTTTATTAAAGCTGATCACAGTTAACATAAAGATAGACAAAGTTAATTAAAAAGGTAGAAATTAAGACTTCTTGAGACATTTTAAAATATCATTTCCGTTATTTTTGTTACTAGTCAACTTCCAAGGAGGAAGTCCCTTGCAACCTCTAGGAACAAATCACAAACCCCCATAAAACTCTATCCATGTGATAGGAGTACACGTGGGATGTCAGAAAAGAATAGTTTTCTGAGATATGTTCAACTCCACAACTAGATATGCCCAAATCCTACTTAACCATCTCCTGAACTACTACATCATGGTTTCAGGGGAACAGTTCTCTATTCTTACACTGCTTTTGTCATAGATATATTAGCCTTCACTTCCCATGTGCTTTGAGGAGTTTATTAAATATTTATTTGGGAAAAAAAAAAAAAAAAAAAAGAGTTCGTAAACATTTTGAAGTGAGAAAGCATAGTACAGATCAGAGGTGAGGGAAATAGCACAAATGCCAGACTTACATAACTGTTGTCTTGCCAGCTCCATTAGGTCCCAAGAGCGCTGTTATCTGACCTCTGTGGAAAGAGAGGCTGAGATCTTTAACAGCAGCCTTCTGGCCATCCATGTGCTCTTTGGTGAGGGACAGCAGCATGACACCAACGGTGGCTCCTTCAATGCAAGGGCCTTTCCAGTTTGGATGTTCTGGGTCAGTATGGGGAAGAGCAGCAGATCAAGAGAGTTGCTGAATCTAAGCATGTGCATGTGTATATATAAGGAACAACAAATTAACTTGATCCTTGTTGCCATTTACCAAAGCCTGGAACAGATGTTCAGATGCTCCAAACTAACATAAGATCCAGTGAAATCAAAAGTATTATGCTAATTAATATTTGCTAAGAATTTGTCCTGTTTGCAGTTTCAAATGGCAACCTAAAAATGTTATGCCAAGTTGTGTGCATGTCCACATATGTCTCCATAAAGTCATTAAATAGTTGTTATATTTTATTTCTAGTAGAAAAAAAAAACCCACTTACAATAAGGTTGCCTGCATCACTTGTTTATGTCTTTGAGTATGAGAAAATTCTAACCGTGTGAACTACTCCATATATGCCATCCAGTTTCAGGCACATAACATTCACAGGCATAGCCAGTTAATCCTCCTAATTCCCTCAGTCAATAAAGCAAAGCAGATCTCATCTTTGCATAATTATTCAGAGCAGCAGTCTAGTCTAAACATAATTCAGGTTCCTCAATGCAAGTAGATGCCCAGCATTTTTCTAACTGTGAGGTAACCACCTCAGCAAACTGAGATGACCACATGACACAAATCAAGTTGACTTCCTTTCTATGTCACAGGAGGAAAGGTTGGCACTACTTTCCAAACATGAGCACAGTCGATCACCAGCCCCATAAATACGTTATTAACATGTAACTTTTTATTGACTTGTTACAACTGAGAAATCTGGCAGTGGGATTTTATTTTTTTCCTATTTAAAAAAAGGCAAACTAAATTGGAATGTTAGTCCAGAGAAACGAACTGTTACAGGTGAGAATTATGAGAAGAGAGGATTATCCTTTTTAATATATATTTTCTATGTCAAAATATATAAATTATATATTTATAGCTAATGTTTATAATTTATATTTTATGTAATAATTTTATATAAAATTAAGTTATAAATAAATATATATTACAAGAAGAGAATTGGGTTTTATATAAAAATATATACAAGTATATAAAACAAATTATAAATTTAATAATATATGCTGATTTCAAGTATTCATTTGTTTACTAAGGGTTTGTTTCATTTCCCAATAGCTGGTATAGTGCTGTGTTTTGGATTTAGAATGAAAATGTGCCAAGAATGTCATGACAGAGAGTAAGATGATAAACAGTACAACAAACAGTGAAAACAAAAAGCAACCACTAACAAGCACTAGATTCTAATATACAGTAAGGCAAGCAAGCCTCATGGCAAGCACAGGAGCCTGTCAGTTAATAGCTAAACTGCAATAACAGCTAGAAATTCAAATCTAGCATATTCCAGTCAAATCTGTTGTTACCTCAAACTCAATTGCACATCCCATGTTGGGTGCCAAAAAAGACTGTCATGGTTTAACCCCAGCCAGCAACTAAGCACCACACAGTCACTCACCCCTGGTGGGATAGGGGAGAGGATTGAAAGGCTAAAAGTCAGAAAACTCATGAGTTGAGATAAAAACAGTTAAACGGGGAAAGCAAAAGCTGTACACACAAGCAAAGCAAACTAAGGAATTCATTCACCACTTCCCATGGGCAGGCAGGTGCTCAGCCATCTCCAGGACAGCAGGGCTCCATCATGTGTAATGGTGACTTGGAAAGACAAACCCCATCACTCTGAACGTGTCCCCCCCCTTCCTCCTTCTTCCCCCAGCTCTATGTGCTGAGCATGACATCCTATGCTATGGGATATCCCGTTGGTCAGTTGGGCTCAGCTGTCCCAGCTGTGTCCCCTCCCAAATTCTTGTGCACCCCCAGCCTACTCACCGGTGGTGTGAAAAGCAGAAAAGGCCTCGACGCTGTGTAAGCTCTGCTCAGCAGTAACTAACACATCCCTGTGTTTTTAACTCAGTTTTCAGCACAAATCCAAAACATTGCCTCATGCTAGCTACTATGAAGAAAATTAACCCTATCACAGCCAAAGCTAGCACAGCTGTGAATGAAGAAGTTTTTTGCTCCTTTCACAATCAATTTTAAGTTTAGAAAGAACTTTTGCCAGAAGCTTGAGATTACCTTCCAGCAAGGCACTACAAGCAGCTGTGAGGTTTCTGAGGTCCTTCTACCCATGAACTTCTCCTCCCATTAGCTTCTTCTGGAGACTAAAACCACCAACAAACACTATTCATGCTCTTTCCAGTGCTTCCTAAATTTACAAGTACATGCTGGAACTTCAAAAAACAAAACAAAAACAAAAAAAAACAAAAAAAAAAAAAACACAAAACAAAAAAAAACCCTTAAAGTACAGAGAGAGCCTCAGACAATTTATCTCAGGTAAGATTCAGAGAAGTGCTCCAAATTACTTGCAAGCAATAAATTGATCACTGCAGCACTTCTCCTAAGAGAAGCTTTAAGTGGGTAGTCAGCAGCCAGATCCCTGCCAGCGCTACTCTATTTGTAGTTCCAGCTTGTAGGACCTACACTCCAGGTCTTCCCTGACACACTTCTGATTTCCAAAGTGCTTTCCACCCTTACTGAACCAGCCCTTACTTAGACTATACAGAACAAATGCAGAAATCACCCAAGAGTACGACACTTTGCCGTTCCAAGAAAATTATCCATGAATGCATTTATCCCATTATCAAGAAAATGACACCCAATTCTTATGAAAGAGATCAAGTTCCTTTTCATGCATGGCACCATTAGAGTTCATATAGAGGCAAACTGCCACCAAGCACATGACATGCACCAGTTTAAACAGATGAGAAGATGAACAAACCCACAAAGTGGTAGGCAATCACTTTGATGGCTTGAGCCAGAGACCAACTCTAGTAACTTTTCAGGCAGAGTTTTTTTCTTCTTTCCAGAGAATGTAGTGAACACAAAGGAAAACATTGCAAGTCTTCATTTTAAGTAAAGACCAAAGACAATCATCTTAAAGAAATGGAATTGTACCAAACTGCAGAAATTCAGACAAAACTCATACTGATATTTTTTCCACAAATGTTTAAATGAAACAAGACATTTTGTAGTTTACCTTACTCTAGGAGATACGAATACATAAAACTGCTTAGTTGTAGAGCTTCTTCACCTATACTAGACAACTGGATCATTTCTGAGTTACCGTAATTTAAAAAAACAGCCCATCATATTGTTCTAAGACCCAAGAGGAAATATAAGTGAGGGTCACATACTCCTTAATTCACAAAAGATAAATGAAAAGTGAGAAAGTCTTTAAAGAGACCTGAGAGGGGAAAAAACTACATTAATTTTAAGCAAGTGAACAAAGAAATAGGACAGCAGTGAAAGTATCTGGAGACAGATAAAACCTAGTTAAAATAACAGTAGCTTTTTAAACAAAAGACTAAGCAGCAAGAACAGAAAGAATAGTTTTTGCCAATTATTAGGCCTAGCATAAAGGACACAGCCAGCATAAAGATGAACCAATAACCAAACTGTATTTGATACAAAAGGGTCAGTACATGGGTGAGCACTGGGGGGACAAACAAGTCAATAAGATTATACATAATCAACATCAATCCCACTGACCCCAACAACAACACTGCACAACCAACAATGGGTGGAATAAATGGTGACATGCAGTTTCCCATAGAAGGGACGGGAGACAACTGAGACAACAAACCAAATCCATAAGACCAAGGAAGCCACATACTGAATCTCCACACAGCCCACACTTACAAAGGCCAGACCTGACCAGAGCCCAGTCCCAGGGAGGCAGGAGGTCCTTCCCCAACAGGGAACTCCACAAACTGCATCCACCTCACAGACAGACACTGCCCCTGCCTGCAAGGGGTCCCAGCTTTTATTCCCAAGTGGGACACCTGACCTTTGGTTACTTAATGCCGACACCTGGGGCTCATTTACCCAATGGCTCTCCCTGCCAGGCCGGCTGCACCCTGGAGGGAAACCTAAAGGCAAACTCACCCCTCCTTTGTGGTGAAGGGCTGTGGGAATCACCCACATGTCAACCTTAATTTGGGGCCTGGGGTTGAAACCCCAGCATTTTAAATAGTGATTATGAAAGAGGGAAATAAGAAATAGAAGGGAAAGAAATGAACAAAGGTAATTTTTCTACTGAAACAAGAAGCAAATAAAAACAGCAGAAGAGGAAGAATTAAAAACAAACTGCAGGAAAAATAAAGTTTAAGCACAACACTTTTGAGATTCAGTGAGAGTATGAAAGGGTTCAAGGAACTTCAGAAGATCCTAACAAAGCAAAGAGGCAATACACTGAGGATGAATCCAAGAGATACTTATTTTACATATTTTAAAGTGTTTTCTTAAATATTTGTGTACAGTAGTTTTAATTGAATGATTCAAGAATTACAGGTGACAGCACAATTAACAGTTAGTATATAATGTTCACAGTATATACTATATAATAGAAGAAAGGGAGGTGTTAACACATAATATAGAACCAAGCAATGATAAAAGTATATTGATTAAAATCATCACACTACTCAGAAAAAAAGCCATTATTAAAATTCTATTGTGACTACAAACCTTTTTCTTGGAAGTTTTCATTGAAGAAAAACATATTAGAATTCAGATAATGTCTCTTCCTCCTTTCTGCTCCACACAGGTTCTTCCAGTAGGAAACAGTAAAAGGAAAGTACCATCGGTTCTTTAATCCAAATTTTCCTAGATGATAATTATGATAGAAACTGTTGCAAAAATTATAGTAATTTTTTTTTTTTTTTTTTTTTTTTTTCATTATGTGCAAAGAGCTGGTTAGACCATTTAATTAGCTCAAACTCTTAGCTGCACTTAACAAACCTTAGTAACGTGGAAAAAAGTCATTTGGCCATAATCAATCCTCAGTGATACTGTGCTTTACCTCCAAATCATCTTTAAAATGTAACAGAATCATAGACTTTATAATATTTAGACACAGCCTAACATAATCTTGTAACCTAGAGGAAAGAAAATGCACCAAACATCCTGCCAAAGCAAACAGCCTTATTTTTTATTATAGCAATAATCCATTGCATCAATCATTAAGGATTATTCTTTCATTGCTGTATGCACATTTTAAATAAATCAGTCAGCATAAGAAACCTTTATTGCAGTATGCAAGCAGAGAGGGAAAAAATATGCTCCTACACACAACCTAAACTTTGTCATTGCCCAATCTTGCCAGGCTTCGCTTCCCAATCACACAATATACTCTCTTGGTTTATTTGAGTTGTATTGTGTTGACACTGAAGGGCAGGTGTCAATTTATGCTAGTTTGTAACATTCAGTTGTGTATTCCATGTACTTCTATCTTTCAAGACAAAATTCATGGTTTATTTTTATATTTTTTAAAACAAATACAGTGTAGCTGGAAGAAAAGGTGACATGCAAATCAGAGGAATGGTAAATTTCAAAAGGCTAGTGAGACATTAGGCTAGGATTAAAAATGCATCAACCAACTCAATAATATCCATAAAACTTGGTTGATGGGAAAAAAAAAAAATCCATTACTTTCTGAGAATATACTTGAAAGATAATTGGTTTTCTTTGCGCATTAGACTGTGGACTGACTGGGACCAAGATACATTTACCAGGCAGCCTGAAGTCTTTGTGATCTGAAAACGTGTTGTCATTCATGAGCTTCAGCCCAAGTACCAACTCAGAAGATTCACAGGAAGATTTGCTACTAGACTGAGCTCTGTTACTCTGAAGTACCAACAACTTCCTAAAGTCCTTCAAATGTTAGTAATCCTATAAGCAAACAAGAGATGTTTCATGCCTGTCTACAAATTCTAGTCCATGTGTTAGCACTACTCAATATTTATATATGTAGGGAGACTTTGTTACCCAGTCCCTACAGGCAATCAGGCAGTTTTGCACATCAAAACCACTATTCAGAAAAAGGTATGAGTTCATTTGCGTTGCATATAATAAGAATCAATTCTATACATTCCATTCAATAACTTCTTCAGAAACATCAAAAAGATGACAATTCCATGATCTTACCAGGAATAATATTGCTGAAATACCAACCACCTATAGAATATAAAATGGAGTCAAAGAACATCATCCAGCATATCCATCCAAAGGTCATGTATCCTCCTTGTGCCATTGACTGGTGCACATTATTCCACTGAATTCCTAGTAGTAATAGTAATAGTAATAATTGTTTTTAAAAAGTCAAAACTAAATCAGTACAGCATTAAAGATCACAAACACATTAACACCACACACTTCTGGGTATATAAGTACCGACACAGAAAAGACTGTAGTTAAGAACAGTGGTCTTAATGAATAGAAATGAATTGCTATGACTCTACAGCCTCTGTTTAGAACAGCAGGTGACACTGCTGCTGAGAAAATGCAGAGAAGCTGTTGTAGAAAGGGCTGATTATGAAGTTTCAGCTGGCACTTAATTTGGCAAAAGAAAAAGAACAACAACTGACAAAACGGGACACCGACCTCTTCAATGATTCAGGCTTTATGCCATTCTGCTGATATAAATGGATTACAGAAAATTTAGAGTAATTTCTGTAATGCTAAATCTGGAAACTTAAGTTTGTGAATTCTAACTAAGAAGCAAGTATTCTGTGCATTGACTGTATTCAGAGGTAAACCGGAACACACTCACTGAATAATTGCTTCATAAAATTATTACATTGCAGAAGACATGAAAAAAAGAAGGTGGAAACCATGAGTACTACAGAAAGCTACCAGACTGCTAAATGGAAAACAAAAGTAAGCAAACTGTAAATTTACAAAAAGCATTGCATTTTCTTCCAAAAACACTACTTTGTTTGTGGCACTGTGGGTCATGATATTGTTTCTATAATCTCTTTTCTATGATTGTCAAAAGTAGTGCAGTTTTTCCACAAAGCATGTTTCGCCCTTTCTTCACTAAAGATGAGTCTTTTTTTTTGAAGCATCTGGTGGTAAATTTAAGCAATATTTTCTGAAACTGTCTCTTCCACTCTTACCAACTTTTGTAACATTATGATAATTTTTCAACATCTAGTAGCTTGAAACATCCACTGTCACCAATATCAATCTTATCATAGTAATAAAAAGAGAAAGGGATTATATCCCTTCACATATTTAAATACATAAACTTATATCATTTGTAGACATTTATCAAGGGCCCAGACATTCACTTCTTACTTTTCTAAAACTTCAGCATCAATAGGGGCAGCTCTCAGCTTGGGAATAGTAAGGGTCACCATGTTAGAACACGTAGCAACCTCTTAGAACACTTAACCAGTTTCCAAACACTTGTTTCTTCCTAACACTTAAACCTAATAGGGTGTTTTCATACATTTCTACACCTGTGCAGTAGCTCAGTGGAGACTTCACCAGCTGCCTCCAAGTTTGCAGAGGCAAGCTGCTACTCAAGCTGAGTATGAATAAGGTCACGCAGGAGAAATGTACAAATTCTTTGCAAAGTAAAGATAATATTTTACTTACTTTCTAATGTCTAATAGTTAAATATTCATCCTAGCATTATGTTGAATAACTTACACTGTTCTTTTTCTGTACAATCTTGTTCTCAAACTTCCATTGTGTTATACACTAGTGCATGTGTGAACCCAGACACATCTACCAAGCTCAAGAGTAGCCCAGTCCAATGAGTAGGAAGTCAGGTTATAATGCCAGGAGGCCTGCATGGATGAACAAGCAGCTCCTGGCCAAACTCAGACACAAAAAGGAAGCCTACAAAGGGTGGAAGCAAGGACAGATAGCCTGTGAAGAATTCAGAAATACTGTTTGAGCATCCAGGCATGAAGTTGCAAAAGCCCAAATGGAATTGCATCTGTCCAGGGATGTCAAAGACAACAACTAGGGCTTCTATAAGCACACAGGTGACAAAAAGATTAGGGGAAAGGTGGACTCATGGCTCAACAAGACAGAGGATCTGGTTACATGGGATGTTGAAAAGGTTGAGGTACTGAATGCCACCTTTGCCTCAGTTTTTACCAGCAAGTCTGGTCTTCAGAAATCTCAAGTCCCAAAAACCAAGTGAAAAGTCTGGAGCAAGAATGATATACCTTTGGTGAAAGAAGATCAGGTCAAGGAATACTTATGCAAACTGCACATACATAAATCCATGGACCCTGACAGGAAGCACCCAAAAGCATTGAAGGAGCTGGTAGATGTCATTGCAAGGCCACTTTCAATAATCTTTGATCAATCATGGCAAGTGAGAGAAGTGCCTGAAGACTGGAGGAAATGAAATATCACTCCTATCTTGAAGGAGGAGGATGCAGAGAACTACAGGTCAGTCAGCCTCATCTTGATCCCTGAAAAGATGCTGGAACAGTTAATCCTGGAAACCATTTCAGGCACATGAAGGACAAGAATATCATCAGCAGTAGACAGCATAGCTTCACCAAGAAGGAGCCATGCTTGACCAACTTGATTAAAATTCTACAATGAAATGACTGGTCTGGTAGATAAGACTACTGGATCTTGTCCATCTGGACTTCAGTAAGACTTCTGGCACTGTCTCCCATAAGATGCTCCTAATGAAGCTAACAAAGTATGAGGTAGAGTAGTAGACAGTGAGGTGGACTGCAAACTGGCTGAATGGCCAGGCCCAAAGGGTGGTGATCAGTGGCATGAAGTCTAGTTGAAAGCCAGTAACTAGCAGTGTACCCCAGGAGCCAATACTGAGCCTGATCATGTTTAATATCTTCATTAATGACCTGGGAAATGGGGCAGAGTGTGTCTTCAGCAAGTTTGCTGATGACACAAAACTGGGATGAGTGTTTTATATGCCAGACGGTCATGCTGCATCCAAAGAGGCTTGTACAGGCTGGTGAAACAGGCTGACAGGAATTTCATGAAGTTTAACAAGTGCAAAGTCCTGCACCTGTCAGGGAACAATCCCACATACTAATATGTGCTGGGGAACACCACCTGGGTAGTAGCTTTGCGATAAGGGACCTGGGAGTCCTGGTGGGCAGCAAGTTGAACATGAGCTAACAATATGCCCTTGCTGTGAAGACTGATGAAATCCTGGGCTGCCTGAGGCAAAGCATTGCCAGCAGGTCAAGGAAGATAATCCTTCAGCACTGATGAGGCCATGCCTAGGGTGCTGTGTTGAGTTCTGGGCTCCCCAGTGCAAAAGAGGCATTGGAGGTACTGCAGAGAGTCCAGTGAAGGACCACAGAGATGATTAAGGGACTGAAGCATCTCCCCTATGAAGAGAGGTTGAGAGAGCTGGGAATATTTAGTCTGGAGAAGAGAAGGCTTGAGGGGGATCTTATGAATGTATATAAATACCTGAAAGGAGGGTGCAAAGAAGAGAGAGTCAGGCTCTTTTCAGTGGTGCCCAGTGACAGGGCAAGAAGCAATATGCACAAACTGAAACACAGGAGGTTCCCTCTGAACATCAGGAAACACCTTTTCACTGTGAGGGTGACTTGTCTGAGTACTGGCACAGGTTGCCCAGAGCAGTTGTTGGATTCTCCATCCTTGGAGGTATTCCAAAGCTGCCTGGATGTGATCCTGGGCAACCAGCTATAGGTGGCCTTGTTTGAACAATGAGTACAGACTAGATGACTTTCAGAGGTCCCTTCCAACCTCAACCATTTTGCCATCCTACAAAATTCCCTGTTGATATCCTCCTCAGAAATCAAGCATTAGAGTTGCCAGTAACAACAGTGAAGACTTCTAAGAAACTACTTTAAACACCTTGCCAAAGCTTCCTCCACTAGACTGAGAGAAATAATACATTCAGTGAGTGAAATAATATTCAATCAGGTGCTCACCCTTGGGTAGCTCTACTGAATTTCACTAAATATAAAGTTTGGGTTTGCATCTCTAGAACAACTTCATTAGCCGAATGCGCTCATTCTGTCATCTAATGGGAAGTGCAGATTTTCCTCCAACATGAATTGCAAATAGAGAAATGCTAAGCCCACTTTAATTTATTGCTACAAAGCAGCACAAGCTTAACTTGGTTTTCAAGTGGCATTAAAAAGGTTTTACTCCTGTTACGATCTATCCTGTTAACTCATGATTAGAGATTTTTTTCAGAACAAAGTGAAAAATGTTTCCAGCTGTAGTTCTTTAAATAATTACAAAGTTTTTCTCTAAGTGGAGAGCTTACCTATTTCTTGGCCCTCAAAGAAAGTAATGAAAAACACTCCTTGCCCAAAGGCAGTTGTAGAAAGAAGACACTACAACACAAGAAGAGAAACAGGGTGTTAACATCAAATAAAACATGTTAACAAGCTCCATGAAATAATTTGTGATACTAAAAGCAAGCACAAAATAAACAGACTTTGTTTTACATAAGCTAACATTATTTCCTTTTATATTTTAAGAATATTCCCCCACATATTGAAGTAATATTTGCTCCACCTTAAAGAACTCCACTGACCTAGTTATTAACATAATAGACCAGCATAAATCTACCACATAATGAAAAGATATAATGTGTAACACTAAAATCATGCAAAGGAATATGTTTTCTGTAGTAAGGGCAGTAGTCTTACTCATTTTTGTAAGACCAGAACTCAAGAGACAGAAGCAGAAGGAACAGGCACACTGGGTACTATATGCTAAGACAACATTTTTGTGAAAGGAAATAATATTTGACTTCCAAGAAGCAACACAGTCATGCTATATCACAAAAGTACAAAATGAAAAAATAAGCAAGTTAGTGATGTATTATAACAAGGAAGTGTGACTGAAGATCAAGGGCAAAACACTGGCAAGCTCGTGAAGGCTGATGGGGAGATCCAAAGCATTACTAAAATTAATAAGCATTACTCAGAGAAAAATTTCTGCAGTTTAAAAGTGAGCTAAAATAGAAGTTCATTTTAGCTCTTATTTTAAAAGAATGCAATTAAATAAGGTTTCTGCACCATTTGATACAAAAGGAACACATCCTACTAGCTGTCTGAAGAAGTATGACATAGGCTGCTATATAGAAAGTATTCAAAATCATTAGTAGCATGGACTACGTTTTCGTAGAGAGAAGTTAATGATAAATCCCATTACCTGAGTCCCTGCCTCTTACATTGCTAAGATTTCACCATCTCCCTTCTTGGCATCTCCCCTCTCTTCAAAAATTATTGCCTTTTACACATGCTGCTTCTGATTATCAGCAAATGCAGGATATCTGAAGAGTTATTTTGAAATAACTTGCACACTTTAAAATCAGGTTATCTGATGGATACTTTTCCCTCTCCGTGGCCCATAGGAAGGGGAAAAAAGCAACAACAGATTTTTTTATTTTTTTTTTTTAAATCCACCCTTCTTATACTAAAATTCTGCACTCTTACATCCATGCTTACTTGTATGAAAAGAACCGATGTATTTTGTCTGACCAATTGACACTGAAAAAGTGTCCATTTCTTTAAATAGTGTAAGAATTATTCCACCAGCTTAATTTGATAAGTGAATTATTTTGAAAGAGTGAAGCCATAATGTGTGAAATACGGTTTGCATTGTATGATGGTAATATTTGATGTCTCAGTCAGAGATATAGTATGTTAAGACAGCACAAAGACATAAAACAGCCTATGGCATACATAAAACAGGAAAGAACATGGAAGAACCAATGCCAAAGAAACAGATATCTCAGACTGTATAGCTAGATAAGCACTAGATAGATTTCTAATCTAATCCCTAGTTGTACTCAGCAGAGAATCAATCATTAGTTTTCCTCCAAATAAATCATGACTTTCAGGAGTAGCATGTCATCAGGTATGCTTGAAAGTACACTACCATTACAAATATTTTGAGGCTAAAACATGAAGACAGCTCATGAGCATGAGGAATGAAACTTCTTTATATTTTCTCTAGGTTTACAAAATGTCCCTGAATTATTTTTTTTTTTTATTCCTTTCTACATTCAAAACATTTTCGCACTTTGATATCTATTAATGTGACTTATTTCCAGTGAAACACAGAGCAACAGAAACCTGGGGGGGAAAAAAAAAAAAGTAAATGACAGTCTAAAGTTTCAAAAGTATGAAAATCCACATCACGGTTGGAGGAGAAAAATTAGAAAAGGAAAAGAAATATTTACCATTATAATCTGTTTGACGAAACTCAACTGGTTCTGCAAGGCCAACAAAACTATGTAGGGTAAAAAGCTGATCATATACACAAGGCTGGCACACATTGCTGCTGTATCAGCACTGCTAAAAAACACTCCCAAAAAATAGCTTAACATAATAACTGTAACTCCAAAATCGAGGAGAAAAAGGAAGATGAGGAAGCCATTGCTATAAGCAAAGATACCACTTGCTTTTAAAATGATGGCCAGAGCACAGCTGCTTATTGTAAGCACAATGACATTCTCCAGAAACCAAGCAAAGAAATGAATGGCTGGATGTACACCCATTGTCTTCATATACTGTAAGATAACATAGCAAAGAGAGTTAAAGTTAGGAAATAAATTTTCTTTTTATTTTCTTTCTTTTTTTCTTTTTTTTTTTTCTTTTTTTTAAAAAGCAAAACATGTTGCCAGCAAGACACTACCAGTTCCCCAAAGGATCATCTTCCCCTTAAATTACTTATCTCTTTCCTCTTTCCCTGTGCTACCTCTTCTGTTGGTCTCTCCTGAATCAAGCACAGTTCTGAGCTGGGCTGCCTCAGCTTATCATATACTAACATGAGGAATCCCAGTGCTCAGGCACAACTCTTACATAGGGTTGCAAGACCAGATGTCAGATTACTGGGTCCTCCAGTGATTAATTTGCCTTTTTATACTCTATAAAGTACTGAGGATATTTACAACACTGTATAAACAAATGTTTTTTTTCCCCAGCTTGCTGATGAACTAAAAGTAATATATGGATATGTTTGTAAAACTTTATGTATTAGCATGCAAACAATTTAGCCCGGTATGAGGTATCACTCCGTTTTTTTTAAAACAAAAACAAAACCAAAACCAAACCAACAAAAACCAAAACACAAACCACCAAACTGCTTTTGGAAACAAGTTAATACTACTTCTGAAGCATTTTTCTTAAAATGAACAAAATTAACTTTATTAAGTTGATTTAATATTTTAAAGCATTAAAAAAAAAATAAGGCCTATCTTACAACACAAAATTTAGAGAAATTAGACAATCCCAAATTCAAAGAAGCATACTCCAGCAGTATAAAGACCAGTATAACTCTTAAAAAAAATAATCATACAGAAAATTAATTTATACAGAAAATTAGCTATTGATATAAGCAAATAATTGTCTAATTTTTTCTGTGTCATCCTCCCTTATATGTCTGATAATTACATAGTACATGGCAAATTTTTAATTTGGTTTAGGAAGTTTTATGATTTTAGACCATATGGAACAAAACACGATAAAGAATCCAAAATAAAAACAATTCTAATCACGACTTTTTTCCAAATAAAAGTTTCCAGCTTCAACTTTTATGTATCTTTCGCTTGTTGATTTTTGTCTCAGGGACAATATTTGCATACTAACAGGACTGATGCTCAATGTTGTGAATCTGAGTTGGCAGCTAGAACTAGAACCTACTGCCCAGAGGAAACAAGTTAAAATAAAGCCAGCTGGATTATGAGTATATAAAAGTACCTCAAAGTTAAAGTCTTGTATTTCAGTAGACTTTAATAAATTATTTTTTTTCCAGAGGCTCATCTACCTCTTACCTCTTCAAGATTAATTTCTCTTTCATAAACCAGCTTGCGAACCATGCCAGCAACTGAAATCATCCATGTTAACATCATCATAAGTGGGAAAAAAAACCCTATATTGTTCAAGAATCTATGAAAGAACATATATGCAGAGTTGTTAAACCCCAGAGGTAAAATTTTTTAGCAGAATGTTAATAGGTTAATACTGGGACTATTCTCAAAGTATGCACAAAATAAGATCTGCTATAAGCAATAAGGTTTATTCTTGTTCTGCTCAGAAATACTTATTTTTCATGTAACAAGCTAAATACATGTATTGGTACTACAATATTATATTAATATTTATCAACAATACAACTAATGTAATCACTCTTTAGGGCTCCATTCAAAGTGAAAGAATTCAGATTTGTGTTTATGGCAATGTTACATATTTGAACAGTAAGGAATAACATAAGCCAGTCAACTTTTTCTCCACTTTAACAGATTTATTACCTTTGACTAATTTTAAATTCTAATAGCCAGGATGTTTTGTTTGTTTTACAAAGAACAATCCTACAATTTTTCTTTTACTTCATCAACTTCACACCGGATTTCAACACATACCAAGGGCCAGTTTACAGTTTGTGTACAGGACAACTAAGTATGGAAAGTGGGTTTCTTAACATAATTTAGTTGCACAATATGTTGACAAAGTCTCTGTCCAGCAGAATACTCCACAGTATAGCTGCAAACAGCTCATAAGAGGTCATTTGCCAGGCAGAAGTTGCATAATGTGTTGTAGTCACAACTGTTAAACATTTGCTATGCTGTAATATTCTTGTATTGGACATACTGGTTCAATGGTGTGCTGAGATATGCATTCACCCACTACAAAGACCTAGTAGCTTCCCAAGTACTCTAGCACTAATCTAGTAAGGATAATATATTGAATTTAAAAGCTGAAAGTTTACTTACAGATCACTGGTATGACAAGGGTAAGGCATTGCTTGCACCTGAATGGCTGGCTCTAAGGTATCTGTCCCAGTCTGTGCTGAAATTATTGCCCTTTCAATCATGTCTTGAAGAGGAATAAAGATGTGGTTGTATTTAAACCCATCAGCTGGCAACTTCTGGGGATGCGATTTCCACACGGGGTTTTTAATCAAATCTGTCCTCATGCTATAGAGAACACTGGTTCTAATTGTATATGAAATGTGTCGTGGAAGGAGATTGCTAGAGACTTGCGTCTTGTTCTTCGGTGTATCAAAGATGATACCTGACACAAGAAGAAAAGGAGCTTCATACTCAAGCTTATATGATTTATGCTATTTACATCGCTAACTCAGGATCAGTTGTCATATGATAGTAGGATACATTAACCTGTCAGAGCAGGCCTCTAAAGTTTCTTGACCCTCCAACACAAGAATGGTAAGTTTCATAGAGACTTACATTTTTACATTCATGAATATGAAATGTAAAAAAAAAAAAAAAAAAAAAAATGTGTTTGCAACAATCATTTTTATCTGAGAAAATTTCTTCTGTGATTTTTTTTTTTTTAATTACATTTTGTTCTCTTTGTATCCAGAATTAACTCCTTTTTGGGGACTGATCTCAATTCCACAGTGAAAGCAGCAGCCATAAAATTTGTCCATCAAAGGATAACAGCCCCTGAAAGTGGATGACAAAGTAAACAGTACTGACCCACTAAAATTTACTTTGATTTTTCATTTCCGAGTCAATTACAAAACATCTTTTTTAGCACAGCAGAATTTGCATGTTTATTTTCTCTAGTTCTGTATTTAACCAAAAAAAAAAACACAAAAACAAACAAACAAACAAAAAAAACCCACCAAAAAAAAACAAAAAAAAAAACCCCACAAAACCCAACAAACCACAACCAGGAGGAAACTTAATCTGTAGCTGGAAAGATGAAGTCAAATACAGCAAATTGGCTGTGTTTTATTTCTGGATGACCCAGACTTTTTAGGACTTCTTGATGAATGTGAAATGTTGACCTTTATTCCTTAGAAAAGGAAAGAGATGTCTTACCTACCACCTGGCTCTCAAAGATAATATGATATAGAGTATTTTACTCTGTTGTAAAGCTTATCATTTCAAACTGGCCAATCTCGTTTTCCTTTTACACAAACATTTAATTTCCTAAGACATTTCATGAGGCTATGAAGGCTTCGAAGACTACAAACATAGAAAACAAGGAAAATTCCACTTTAGTTTCATATCTTACTATGGAAAGGAACATATGCCTAGATCTGAACATGTAATATTGGCATGTTGAACACATTAGGTCCCTTAAAATGCCATCTTCTCTCTTTAAGCAGATAAGCCCACAGTACTGGAAAAACTCCCAAGAAATATCTTGGCTTATGTTGGCATATGACCCTTCCCTATGTAAGAAGAAAAGTGGATCTAGAACATGACAATTCAGTTTTCTGGGGACCAAGATCTATCTGACTGTTTCTCCCCTTGAAGAGGAAAACAAACAATTTCACTCCTTACAAAGTACTTCTGAGAAATTTTCCGAAATTATGGTATGGCCTGTCAGTTTTATGTCAATTGAGGGTGGTAATTTCCATGTTCTGCAAATGGAGGTATCATGAACAAATGTAGGATTCCAGACTGAGTAATTTCATTCTCTATAACTGCTTTGATGTCTTCTGGTGTGTACTTACAGGAGTCCAGGGAGACAATAAAAATCAAAACAACAGGGGGGAAAAAAAAAAAAAAAAAGTGGCACACTTTACATAGACTGAAATGGGACACTTTTGGAAACATTACATATAACTTAAATCATTCTATATGAGAAAAGAAAGTGCATAATAAGAAAAACATTCTTGTCTTTTAAACTGTTTTGTACAATTAATTGATTCTTAGCAATAAGGATATAATGCAAGAAAAGGATAGTGTATCCCAGGAAAGAAAGAAATATATCTGTTTCATAAGAATTTATTTACTGTGAATAAACAAGTTAATTTCTCTGACATGTTGGTTTAAGAATAAAGCTTACAAAAAAAACCCCTTCCTTTCCTCCTTTTTGCAAAGCCAAGAATATAAAATTAAAATTCTGAAGGATGTAAACTAGATGATCTTGTCACAATATGTAGTCATTTCCTCAGTAGTATACATTTTTAGCTCTTTTTATTCTACTTTAAATATTTACAACTATAACTTTCAATATTTTGTTAGAAATAACAGAATCCAAGGATTCATTTGGCAGTTCCACAATCAAAACAACAATATAATTAGTCTTCACAGCATAATTTACAGCATTCAAATGTTGGGGAATACCTCTAAGATCAACCTGCTTTATTTTGCCTGTATTACATGTGTTTTCATACATACTTTGAAACTGTGTAAATTTAACCTATCTTATCAATAAACACTGACAACAACTACAAAGTCTGATGTTTTCTGTCAATATGCATTTTAAATAAGGTACTTACTAGCCAAAAGCATATTTTGCTGCATGAGTTCATGAGCCTTCTCTTCCAATTTCTCAACAGAGTCAAAAGGCTGGAAACGGTCCAGTAACACACAGGAAGAGATATTTACTACAAGCTGTGACAACAGGTCAATCTGTTTACTTGCTGAGCTGTTAAGCATCTTGTTCATCATAGTTTCTAAGATGAGGAAACAAATTAGACTTCTTTAGTTTTAATGAACAGAAAGCTATGCTCTCACCTGTACATCCTGTAAGAGTAAATACCATTTGTATTTAAAAAAATGAAGAAGTTTTTAAAAACATAGCAATTTTACTGTGAACTTGTGACAGTGTAGTTCATGTTTCAGTGGCTTTTAAAAGTTCTCATCTACGTTTTCCTTCAATTTCAGAGCAACAAAAATGTAACAAATCCTAGCAGAGTTCAGGAAAGAAACCATGTCCTTGAAGCTGTAGGACTTTTAACATTTCCCTATCTTTCCCTAAGTACTCCCACAAATACAAGTGAGTTACTTTGAATATCACAGTGGAGATCCATCTCTTTCATCTAGTAGTGTTGTTGGAAGTGTGAGAAAAGCAAAACAGCAAAAAAACAGCAAAACACACATTTCCTTAACTCATGGTGCCCAGAGCAAACAGAGGACAGGATGGAGATCCAATGATTTGTGTTGCCGCAGCACCAGTGCAAAGAAAGGTGGAGGCTGCATGGTCCTGTTCTTCCACTTTTCTCAAGGAACATTTAATATGACTAAGCAGATTTATCCCCTGCTCTTCCTCTTCTCTCGAGGACTGTTTTGCAGAACGCTGTGGACCTTATCTCTAATTCTTCCTCTTTTCCCACGAAAACAGCACACACCTCGCACCAGGGAATGTGCTGTATCATCACTCAAGAAACAATGGTTTGACCACAGTCCCACCTACTGACACACGCATAGTTAGATAAATACTACCTTGAGTTTGTTTCTAAGTCAGAGGGATAATAATGCAATATGAAATCAGAGAGACAGATTGATGGGTTTGTGCGCCCCGCCTCCCCTCCCAGCCTCAGGAGGGATGCCTTTTGGTAAGATTTGGGCAGTGAGCTATGTCAAGTGATTACTCAGGAACTAAGTGTGTGTGATTGTAATTGGGTTTTTGTGTGTACAAACCTGCAGTTTATGCATTTATCATAGGCACTCTCAAAGAATCTGTAGATGTTACATAAGAATAAACCATACTATTCAAGAACCTGACTGCTTCCCTTGAACGCAACCGGACCTGTGGCACTTGGGCTGTTTGTGCATCTGGTGTCAGGCCTATAGTTATGCCATAACTGGCATGACTATTCAGAGATAAATCCAGCCGCCCCTAGCCCCTCTAATCTCCGAGGGCCAGATAGAACACAAGGGGGTTCATTTCTTACAAAATTAACTCATTACCTTAAATGCATCATGTGTTGGCCAGTTCTTCTCTTCTTGATATTTCAAATATTTCAAGCACTTTGTCATATAGGGCATAAGCATTTTGACTCAAGCCCCACATTTTAAAAGCATCTGAAAAAAAAGTCTATAAACCCTCTAATTTTAACTCTGATCTTATCTGTGGATTCAGGATGAAAGTATACCTCAGCCAAAGCCTGGTTTCCAAAACCACTGAACCTTCAGAGGATTTCAGGTCTTCAATCATTGGTAGAGAATGTAGAGATAGTGCTATATATCCTTATGTTTGAGAGAATAACAAGAAGGATAGCATGATCTAGAAACAATCTTAACTCATCCGGATTTCATGGGAACATCTGGATTTCTCAAATAATAAAAAATGTTATAAAACATCCACACAAGTTTCCATCTTGAATTTTTCAAGACTCACTTGAAGATATAGGCTTTAAAAAGAATAGGTGATCAGCTCATTTGATAACAGTGGTGTCAGACAAACCCTGGATCATAGGTGTTATTCAGTGAGAGCACAGGAAATATTACAATATCTAGAAGGCAGGTAAGTGGAAAAATGCACAAAGTAGTCTGGAGAAGAGACACGATTTCCAGTGAGAAAGGAGAAAGATCACAAGAAGAAAAAGTGGAGGAACCAATAGTCTAGAACTTGAAAGACAGTCAAGCAATGACAGGGTGAATTAACTGAGGGAAGAGAGTGCCAAATACAGATCCAATATGTCCTATTTACTGCTATCCTTGAGGAGGACAACAAAGGAAATACCTATGCTGCTACTTGTTTTGTGGCATTAGACAGAACTGAATATTCCTAACTTTAAGCCCAAGTAGCAGGGTTAAGGTTTCACATATATTTTTGTATTTATGTATATACACATATGTGTAATTATATATAGCCATATATATACACATACAAAACAAAAATCACCAGAGATCTCTTTACCAGGTGATCTCTGAAAGACCTTAATTTGAAACTGATAATTAACTAAAAAAGCTTCTTTATTATGAATTAAACTATTGAATATTTTAGCGTTAAGAAATACCAACTAGCTTGCTGCTTGCTTGGAGTACAGCATACTTCAACATTTCCGGAACAAAATATTCTCTTTCACAATGTGCACAGACATATATATGAACAGATACAAACCTCAGGAAAGTTTTAGAATTAAGATCTATAGAATTGCCTGTCTTTTATTTTTCCAGTTTATAAATGTAACAATTACTAATTAGAAACTTGGCAAATCCATTTTCATTATTATCTTCATAGTTTATTATATACCAACTCAGTCCTTATATTCCACTTAGCTTGTTTAACCTATCATTAAGTAACTGGGAGGAAATACAGCTGGTTTATGTAAAGCTACTAGGTAGAAGTACTAATTAAGTAAAAGGTTGCAAGAAGAATAAATTAGAATAAACCAGGAATTAATTTAGGTCAGAAATTAAGAGAGAGTTTCTAGTTATCAGATGATTTTGGAAGAGAAGAGGAGGCTGAGGGGAGACCTCATCGCCCTCTACAGCTACCTGAAAGGGGGTTGCAGAGAGCTGGGGGTGAGTCTCTTTAACCAAGTAACAAGTGATAGGACAGGAGGTAACTACCTCAAGTTGCACCAGAGAAGGTCTGGACTAGATATTAGGAAGCATTTCTTCACAGAAGCGGTTGTTGGACATTGGAATGGGCTGCCCAGGGAGGAGGTGGAGTCCCCATCCCTGGAGGGGTTTAAGAGTTGGGCTGACATAGCGCTGAGGGATATGGTGTAGTTGGGAACTGTTAATGTTAGGTTAATGGTTGGACTGGATGATCTTCAAGATCTTTTCCAACATAGACAATTATGTGATTCTGTGGTGGTGGCACAGTTTTCAGTGATGTTAGAGATATTTGTTTCCAGCTTTCTATGTACACATAAAACTACTTTATTACAATGAGGGCAGCAGAGAGGTAGCATAGAGAGAAACTGCCTGTTTTTTTTTTTTATCCTGGCTGTTATATCCCAGGTCACATGTAGCTCTCTAATGGAGATTCCTTGGTAGTGAAAAAACATTTCACATTTGGGAGAAATCACAGAAGGACAAGAGAGACACTCAGTGAGCAAGAATCTAAAAAAAGAGCCTGCAGCACACCTGCCTCCCAGTGCCTTGAGAGGTGCGTAAGGACTGTGCCCAGCAAGGAGCTCACACTACACTCAGGAAATCATTGCAAATTGCTGTATTGGACAGCAAGCAGAGAGAAATACAGTTGCCTTGCCTGCACAAAGCTAGTTTAGAAAGTGGTTTAAAAAGAAAACCACAAACTTTTATGTACTCAGTTAAATATTTACTTTGTTCCAAGTGAGTAAAACTGACATAGTAACCTTGTAAAACAGTTTTAGAAATTGGTAACTTTGTGAGGTCTTATAGCATGATAATTTTATAGTGAAGTTGGAAGAGTTCTACAATTCATTCTGTGTCCATGACACTTTCCAGAAGGAGTAGCAGCATGAAAAGCATGTGACTAAGACTGTTAACCATTTTTAAAGAATTGTAAAGAAGTAAAAATAAGATACAAACATAAGTACCTTGGATTTGAGCATAATTAGAAGTCATCTTAATGCAAGCGTAGATATAATAAAGGAAGGGAATATTTGCTTTAGTTAGAAAACAAAATACATAATCACGCTGATTAGGTGATTTTAGAAAACTTGAGCTTTGCATGGAAATAAACAGATTGTTAGTGATAAAACCAATAACATATATGGATACATTTAAGACTTTAATTGGATCCAGGCAAGATAATTACAGGACTAAAAACCTGATGCAGTATAAGAGTAATGAATTTAAAAAAACCCCATAAGAACAGAGGTTTACAATAACAGCTGCACATGATTATAGAATAATAAAATGAACAAAAAAGCATATACAAAACCAACATAATATTAAGAGGGCATAGGCATTTTTCAAAAGGCAAAAGGACAAAGCGAATCTGTAGAAAGAAGTGTAATCAAAATGTAAATGCAGAAGAGTGCTCTGGTACTTTGGACAGATCAGCTTCTCAAAGGCTTAAATGCTATTGTGATCTACAGTCCATATTGATTTTCACTTTTTGCATTATTTATTTTTATCACATGTATTCCATTAAAATAAAGACATTCTAGTTTCGTAAGTCATTCCACTTAAATGTTTGTCTGTATTCACCATCCAAGACTATTCATCATTTATTACACATTGCCAAATATCCTTAGCTCTTTCAAAAAGCTATAGCTTGCAAAACACATGCACAGATTTCTATGATTATGTTGTCTGCAACAGTGAAAATGGACCTGAGAAGTCCAGAGATCTTGCTGTGTTTCCAGCAGGCTTTGCAGGTTAAGAGACTTGCTATTTGCTCCCACCTGTCTTTCCAATTGTGTGATTCTGTGAGGGTTTTTTTCAGTTGTATTGTGATCCAGCTTCACCATGACAGGTGAGCTGTGCCTGAACCAGTCTAGGCAGTTTAGTCGTTAAGAAAATCTTCCTGGGAGATAGCAGATTCAAGTTTGAGTCCATTGCCTGAGGATACTGAGCCCAGATTCTTTACTTTCTGGATCGAATTCTGGACACCATTTGCCTTTTTTTTTTTTTTTTTTTTTTTTTTTTTTTTTTTTTTTTGTGTGTGTGTGTGTGTGTGAAAATGTGCACAGTTAGCCTTCAAAACAGCTTTCAAATTAAGGCTAGTTTCAGTTAAATCTCACATACTATATGCAAAAGAAAAGTCAAGAGCTTCAGCTCACACCAACCATGACAGGACCATCTCGGGGCAGTTGTGCAATTTAAGACTGAGAACACACTGCATCATTCACAAGCTCTCAGGAACTTCAGTGGATTTTGTCCATCTCCTGCTTAGAGGCAGGTACCGAAATTCAATAAAAATGACACTTCAGGTACATTTATGCACTTAATTTAGCTCCAGACTTAATTCTTTGACTGCAGAGCAGACTTAATAACCTGTATTGTTGTAAAGTCCATTTTCTTCCAGCAATGAGGGCCACACAGCCCCTTCATAAGGGAATCTGAGAGCTCATCACTGCCCTCCTCCAACAAACAACCAGAACAGTTTTGTGTCTGGCACATAATTATCCTAACACCCACTGATAACTACACAGATCTGTCCTCTCTACCACTCTCCTCCTCTAGGAAACACCCAGCTCCCTTTTACGTGATGTCACACTATCTGTTATTGCATTTTATCCCACTCATTTCTCTTTCTAGTCCTCCAAACCATGAACTTTTTTTAAATTACACAGACAGCTTTTGATTAAACACACTGTATCTCATTTTCTATTTACTTCCATTTAAGTGTATAGATTTCCTTCAAAATTTACAACAAATTTTACTACTACCTAATGGAACTGTGGCTACTGGGATTACTTCTCCCTTCCCTCCTTTTAAGTATAGCTCCTATGTTAATAACTCTCCCATGGCAATTTTCCACTTCTAATTTGTTACCAGATTTTCCAAGTCTTTCAATATTTTGAAATGCAAATTATCCAGTCACTCAGTAGAAAAAAGACGATTAGAAATATTTGAGACTATCTCAACAAGAGAACTTAAAGTCTGCTAATTTAGTATCATTTAAGTAGGTAAAACATTCAATTTCAACCGAAAGTAGTTCTAAGTTCAAGTTAAAGTCTAGTAAGGGTAATCAGTGCATATACTTTTATGTACATACCATATAGTTGCATTTTTTTCAAGAGTTCTTCCATGTCAATATCCAAATTACTTTCTATGAAGTGCTTTATGAAATTGCTTTGCAGTGCTTCCTAAAATGAAATGTGTTAGAAGTTACATGAGGTTTATCATCTCTAAAGGAATATAAAATACACATATGCATTCATGTTCAATTCCATTACCGATTTTTCCTGCATAACACTGGAGAAGTCACTTAGCTTCTCCATATCTTCAGCCTTCCCCTCTTAACAGGTTAGCTCCACACATTTCAAATAAACAGCAGAACATATACTCCCCAATACTGTACATCACTGTCCTCTTTTACTGCAAATATTTTAACTGTGAGTCCGTTCTAATGTCCTTGCAAACCTGCTGGGACAGAAACCTATATTCTTCTCCTGCAGGACTTTTGGGACATTACACTATTAGCACTAGAAGTAGTAAAATAAATATATTTAAATACTGGCATTTGGGAATTCCTTTTACATTACTTTAGCTTTACTTCATTTGCCAAGTTCTAAGGGGGGGATGATTATTAGCTCTACAAGAGCATAATGGGATCTTAAAGTCTAATGCATGATTACTAGCAGAACTCCTTAAATGAATTTAAAAGTAACAGTTCAACTGATATGTATGAGCCATGACAGAATTCTGCTTGCTTTCCCAAAGTGTAACAGCCATGCATGTTTTCACAGGTCAAACATGGCAAAACTAAATTTTACTGGGAAGAAAAAAGGATATCGATATGTAGAATGGGAAAAATCCCAGTAACAATGCTCTTTATATTTAATTAATATTTCCCACATCATTTTTTTTTTAATCAGTTACATACACTGTTGGAAAAAGCAAGTGATAAACAAGCAAGTTCAGGAAAAAAAAAAAAAAAACCAAAAAAAAAAACCCATTTTATTTCCTATGACCTTACATTTGCTTTAAATAAGTGTGTCAATCTTGTAGGTGTACCTACTTCCTTTATTTCCCCTATTGCCTGATAATACTGGGCATAGTAAGGTAACATTGCTTTTAAGTATTTTCACCTCGAAAGCTTTTCAATATCACATTGTAGGCTCATAACGTAAAGCTAATCTTCCTATTTTTTAGCTCTTTTTAAACCTAAAGTCAGATAGATTGACAGTTTTATTTTATATGTATAGAAATTCTGTCTAGATCACATAGCAAATAATTGGAAAATAAGAAGCCATCCCACAGTTCACCAACCTGCAGTCGTGAGACCATGAGGACATTTCCACTGCTTTTAAAAACCTCAGACATCCTAAGCCATGTTTCAGAATAAGTCTTCAAGTTTTCCACAAAACCAAAAGTAAAATTAGCCTGGAAAAAAGAATATATGGTAACAAATGAAGTAAAAACTGCATAGCAAATCTTAAGAAACAGAAAAAACTGTCAGGCTTCAGATCTTCTGCAACTCCTCTCCATTTTACTTTGGTAGTCTGTAGTAAGGATATCAGTGTTTTCTTTTTTCTACTTAAGAAATGAAAGGTATTTGTTTCAGTTTCTGAATATGAAGTAAATCAAAGAAAAGTCTTCCTGCAGTGTGTATTCCTCCTACCTGAAGTATCATAAAGACCTCTTTATTCTATAATGTCTCTTTCATACAGGGTATCATAAAGGTGCTTCAGAAAAACAGACAAAATCATACAGATTTTTTGTCTGTGAGTCTTTTATTCAAACTACTTTGAATACATAATAAAAGTGAAAGTTGGAAGGATGGTCTGGAAAATAAATTGAACTGACCAATCAATCTATTTCAAAATACTCTCACAGAGGAAGACTTGAGTATAGCAAAATATTCTCTGTTCCAATCCAACATGTTACAATTTCTCTCTTAGTCACTAGCAAACAACCATCATTTTTTTACAGCCTGTTTAAAAAAAAAAAATCACAAGCATACTCAAGATTAGAAAACATAGCAGTATCTTTCTGTTTAAATTGGTGTTATCAGTCACAGAAGTGCATTTAAGAACAATCTATTACGGTAGAGATCATGACATTTCCCAGCAAAGAGTGTCTGCAATGAGTTGTAAACTCCAATTTGGGACCACACTTTTTGCAATAATTCCTATTGAAAGTACACAGTTTTTGCCATAGTAATTTTAAGTGTCTTTTGCAAAATCCCACTGATAGCACAACATAGGAAAACAATTTGTGGTGGTTCTCTCTTCTTGTTTGTAGCACAGAAGGCCCCAAAGAGACCATTACAGATATTTTAATTCTCCTGAAATAAATAATGCATCCTCTATGAGATTCTCCATGCTACTTTCAGATGGAGAGTTATCCTAAATGTGAAACTAAAGTTTGGTGTCAAATCAGCTAAACCAGTTCTTCTGTTAATAAGCAACACAGAAACCCCATGGACTGAAATCCCAGGCTTGAATATTTGGATCATGTTACCCACTGCACAGGCAGGATGGTGACAAGCTGAGGGAGACCAGAAATGGTGCAAGGGTATAAAACAGCCAGAACGGGAGACCGCTCTTTCCCCAATACAGAGCAAACATGGGTCACAATGGAACACAAGGAGGTCAAATTTTCTGACATCGTTAGAAACTGTTATACCAAACTTCTTGACTTGATTCTGAGCAGTGCAAATGATTTTTTTTTTTCCCACTTTCAGAGAGCTATAGTAACCATAATGTGCTTGTATTCAACTTCCTTATACAAACAACAACAAAACCTACTGCAGCAGCATGGATTTTTAGAAAAGATGAACTTTATATAATGTTGAAGCATATTTGAAAGAAATTATAAGCAGCAAAGGGGTAAGCTGTGTGCAGGAGGTACAGAGAAATTTTAATGCAGCATAGACAAAACTGAACAAATCTATATTGCCTAAAAAAAAAAAAAAGATTTGAGAGACTTGAGAAAGATCATATTGGTGCTCACACACACTACACAGCAGGAAGCTACTAGGAAGCATCCTTTTAAAAAATCCAAATCCAAATGAGAATACAAGAAAAACTAGGCAAAAAAGGTGCTTTTTTAAAATTTTTTTGTCTTCTCATTCACCACAGTAGGCTTTTGGGAAGTTCCTGTGTCAGAAGCCTTCTATATGACGAACACTTTAGAGAATCTGTCTCAAATTGAAGCACCAGTACAAAAAAAGACCATACAATCTAAGAAAACAAACAATAAGTAGTTTCCAGGACAAGGTAACATCCAGACAAGAATTCTAAGAGTGCTCAAGGACTAAATAGTTGAAGTACTCACTGTAGTGTAACCTTCTGATTAAAATTCCCTTGTTATCCAGGAACCAGAAAATAACAAATGCAATGATATTCATAAAGATGATAGGGGAACCAGAGGACTACAGACTAATAACTCTAAAATCTGTACTAAGCAAATTTTAATTTTGTTATAATAATAATAGTAAATTACAATAAAGAGTAGTAGTGGAGAGAGAGACTAGAAATAAATATCGTTGGGAGATATAAACACAAGATTTTAAAAAAGAAGTTGCCTCAGTTGAAGTACAAGCAAATGAGGAAGAGGTCATTGATGCAGCATATCTCACTATAGGCACTATGAATACTAAGGGTTTATAGAAGCTCAAAAAGCAAGTGAACAAATCATAGCAGGAAAGTCCTGGCAAGCCTGACCCTTAAGTTTTTGAAAGTTGGGACAGTATTTGGGGGGAATATCACTTTACTGACATATTCTTTAGTTCTTACCTATACAGCATTACTGTAGAAATCAGAACCTAAAATGGAATGCTTAATCTTACATGGTAAAGCAACTCCCATGTGTTTGTATGCTAATGACTAGCTGGACTTTGATGTTTAATAGAAATTCTCTTCAAGTTCTTTTCTTCCTGATCAATGAAGATCCATTAAAATAAATATTCTTTATAACACCTAGGCTGGATATTGCCTTTGATTAAAATTAGTCTTCAATATCCAGTCTTGTCTGGATTGAATATGTCTAAGCCTCCTACTGATGTAAGAATAAATAAAAATGTTATTTTGAGCTTACAGAACTGCTTTTATTATGACATCTTTTAACAGACTGACAAGTCAAGTGTGCTTATGCAAAGCCAGAGAGGATATGTAAGTTTAGAATAAGAACTTACTCAGCTCATTATGAATTTTTCTAATTATACTAGAAAGTAAGGCAGGGAACTGAAATTAATGAATTTGCTAGACTGGCTTTCTTTCATTTCTCATTGTCTTGCTACATTTATGGGTTTTTATGTAGAGATGTGTGTGTGTGTGTATATATATATATATATATATATATTTTCCGACTGTTCCAATTAAAAAGAAATAGCACAAAGTTGTGCCAATGTGATTGCCTGAATATAAGATCTACTCTGAGAATCTTTTGAAATAATAAATACTTTCATAATATAATCTCATCAGTAGTGAAAAGTTCAATTGCGAAAGCACGGATCAAAGACATCACACATGGTCTTTGAACTCCTGGATGCCAGCTGCTACTGAACATTTTTTCTCTCAGTCAGCACTGCAGCCTGTAGGTTTTTTTCACTTTCATTGTTATTCTACACATTAAAACTGTTGACTTCTCAGAAGGTAAAACCAGCAACCTCACAATTTATCGAAGAATGGTCAATTACAAAGTCTTAATAAAAATAGTCCATGTGAAAAATTTACAAATATATCTTAGTACACAAACATCAATGTTCTTTATAGCTTTAATCCTCTACTTTTTATTCTAGTAAATAGCTGTCATGGGGTCACATAGTCCAAAGCAAATTAAAACTTCTGTTCCAATTTCAGTAGGCTCTGTAAGGGCTACAAGGTCAACTTTTAGTAGCCATGTTCAAGATATCTGGGATAATATTTTATGTTTAAATTTTGTTTCTATTCAAGCAATAGCTGATAGGCTTCTGTACTAAAACAAATTTTAAAATTGCTGAAGAAACTTTCCTTCTACTTTCATATTTAAACATAAACAGATACACATTCCTAATTGCCTGTTAGGTTTACAGGTTTGGGGGAAAGGTGAGTGTGTATTTATACAGGTTCCTGAATAAGGTGATGGAACTCTTGTGAGCCTGAGAATACATGAGAATGAGAGATTATGCTAGAGGCATCTACCAGAATCTTTGTATTGTTCCAGAGCATTAAAAAAAAAAATACCACAAAAAAAAAAAAAAGCCACAAAACCAAAAACAAACCAAGAACACAAACAAACTTCATTCTCAACTGTATTACTCAGTCTTGATTTCACTAAAAGATCTATAGGGGAACACAACATATGTCAGGAGATTTATCTTTCTTATAGATGCTTTTAAGAATGTAGTTTTGACTTATTGGCAAAATAATGTGGAAATGTCTTAAGTGCATTATACTAAATGTCACTGTAACAGAGAATTATGTATTCAAAAATATTTGGATTTTTTATAATTTCTTACAACTTATTTTTTATAGAATTTCCATCTATAAAGAAAATATTTATTTTTAGCTGACTAAATATTTCAAATTAATTATACTCGACTCCTGAGAGATGGCCTGTTGCCCTAATTGGGTTCTTTAACTACAAAATATGAAATCACTGAAATTTTATTTTCTATTCGTAGCAGGAACTATAGTTACCTAGTATCTGCTACCTAATACATGCTTTTTAGCTTAGCTTTTTTTACTGTCTTTTAGAGCATAAGTCAGAATACCAAGATGTACTCCATTTACACAGAAAATAGTCACCATCAGATTTAAAGTTACTACAGTCTTTTTGTGTACCACTTATAAGCAGCAATGTTTTTTTCTATATTTCAAATTAACCCAAATTACCATTGTCACAATACATAACATTCAGGGTAAAAATCATGTGTCTGCAAGATAAATGCAAAATTTGCACAGAACTCTAATGTGTATTTATAATAAGTCATCATCCCTCCTCCTACAGAAGTGCCTCAAAGCTAGTCATGAACAAACATGTCTTTGTAGAGAATCATGCTCAAGACAAAGCACCTACCATACCAAAACTGCAGAGACAGTAAAAACTGTTGAATAATATCAAGTCATCAGTGTCCACACCTATGGCAGCTCAACTACTGCTGGTCATTCATACTACTGGTGTTAGAAACATAATCAGGAAGGATGCACTGTAGGCTGGTTGCTTTTTATTTTTTAAACACAGCTCAGTGACTCTCTCATAACAGGCTTTTGCTCCTGGGGTGTCCATTCCCCATGTTTCCCTATGCTGCCCCATTAGAGTTCCCATCATAAGAAAATATTGAGGGCAAAAGCTCACTTGGAACCTGCACCTTGATACAGGTTCACATGACACTTCTTTTAATGTGTTCTTTTTAATCTTTCTATACAAGCGTTAAGAAACTTTGAAAATTCTGCTTTTCACACTGAAGCGAAACAACTGTAAGAAGTTAAGAGAAATATTAAGCTTTAAGTGGGAACAAGGTGAGAACGCAGAAAACAGGGTGGATCCAGTTTTCTGAAAGGCAATTATCTAATTGCTTCTACCTACCCTGAGAGAAATGGACCTTTAAAATGAAGTACAAAGACAAAATCAATAAACAGAAATAGTGTTTCTTTTGATACTCACTTTCTCCATGACGAGGTCAATCATGTTGATGTTTGAATTGTACAGTATCTTCCCATGTAATAAAGGTTTCAGGAAAGTCCATAGCAAAGCCCCATTAGAAGATTGCAAAATCTCCTGATAAAGCTTCAAGCAAAATGGAGCTGCAAAATAACAAAGACAGTCACATTTATGACAGACAAAACAGGTGAGGTTGGATTATTATTATTAATTAAAAGAAAATCTTGAGCCTTAATGTAAGATCTGCCATAGCACCATGCCAAATACCATCTGCCACTAAGCAATCACTACAGGTCCTTGAATAGAAACTGGTTAACCACAGTCTACAATAGTCTTGAGGATGCAGAACTCTAAATATTGGACAAGAAAAAAAATATTTTAATCCAAATGTTACTGTAAAAGCCAGAAAAGGAACTCTCTAAGACTCATTTTGGAGTTTTAGAAAGCAGGCATTCTTTATTGCAGCACTGGGTGAACATGTGAATAGCTTCGCAAAGGTGAACATGCCCCCATATCTATAAGTGGCAGCTAATATACAGTGAGATTATACATATTGATAACTTTTCCAAGAAATTAGTTACATATGCATTAGATTTCCTGGAACTAATTATAATATCTGCATCCTAATTACACATGTGTTTTCTTGCTGGGTGGTGGTCTCGAGGGGTCCCTGGTGGTTGTGGCAGTCTTCCTCACTGTGTCTGCTGGTTGACCTCATTGCTCACGCATGTTCACAAAAGTCTGTTTAGGAGGCGTTGTGCAGCTTTGTTGTGTCTTAGCTGGTTTAATTTGTCCTGACCTAGTTCCTGTTATCTTCAAGAATAGACCCCAACTGTCTTATTTACTACTGTCTTATCTTCAAACCCCTTTCTTCTTCATGCTTGTGAAAAGCAGTCTGTGAACCCCATGTATCCTAAAAGATACATTACTGCATTTTAGAGTGGAAGGACACATGCAAAACCTCTGCTAAATGAATGCTGAGTGAAGAGTCACCTGTTTTGCCAATTATTAGGCCTAGCATAAAGGACACAAGCCAGCATAAAGATGAACCAATAACCAAACTGTATTTGATACAAAAGGGTCAGTACATGGGTGAGCACTGGGGGTACAAACAAGTCAGATTATACATAATCAACAACAATCCCACTGACCCCAACAACAACACTGCACAACCAACAACGGGTGGAATAAATGGTGACATGTAGTCTCCCATAGAAGGGATGGGAGACAACCAAGTCAACAAGCCAAACACATAATACCAAGGAAGCCACATACTGAATCTCTACACAGCCCACATTTACAAAGGCCAGATCTGACTGGAGCCCAGTTCCAGGGAGGCAGGAGGTCCTTCCCCAACAGGGAACTCTGCACAGGGCATCCACCTCACAGACAGACACTGCCCCTGCCTGCAAGGGGTCCCAGCTTTTATCCCCCAGTGGGACACCTGACCTTTGGTTACTTACTGCAGACACCTGGGGCTCATTTACCCAATGGCTCTCCCTGCCAGGCCGGCCGCACCCTGGAGGGAAGCCTAAAGGCAAACTCACCCCCCTTTGTGAAGGGCTGTGGGAATCACCCACATGTCAACCTTAATTTGGGGCTTGGGGTTGAAACCCCAGCATTTCATCACCTTAAAAAAGAGACTCACTCCACACTCCCGGTTGTTCTGTAGCTTTCTATTCCTACTTAAAGAAATATGAATACACAAATTCCTTCACAAATACAGACTTCTTTATCCGTATAATTTCTAAGAATATAGCAAAAATACAGGAAAATAATTTGGAATGACACTTAAATTCTTGCTTTGAAAATTGAATCAATTCACTTTTCCATTCCTTAACGAAAAAACATGTTCTTACATCAGATGGGGCTATTAATACAATAGTATGTCCTTCAGAACTAGGATCTAAGGAATAGCTTCCAAGATATCCCACTACATTTCCACTCAAGTAAAGACAATCAGTTTGCTGTGAGAGACATTTGGATTTTTATGCCCAGCTTTTGTGTTTTGGAGTATTTTGTTATTTATTATGAGTATTTTAGAAATATCCCATTTCCAGTGCTGTGAGGAAATAATGTCATTAACACCTCAAGGAAGGCAAATTATTGTACATAATGGAAAACTAAGCCAAAAATATTTATACTCCTGACGAAAGTTAAAGAAATGAATGTCAGAAATGTATCATTATGACAATCCAGTTCTTTGCTCAGATTTTTACTTTCTTCAAGGAAACAATCATTACTAAACACAATCATTGTTAAATGATAGCAAAGAATTAAGAGGCTCCAAGCTGGCCTGTCAGAAACATCAATATGCTAAAGACACAGAAGGCTTGCTAATCTGAGTTTGCTTTGATTTTCAGAAAGTCATTGGCAAGTGTCTGGTACACGAAATACATACAAAGTTAATCACTGTGGAGGAGTACAAATCAAGTTTCTGTGGCCACATAATTATTTTTTATTTTCATTTTCCATTGACTCATTTAACAATTTGTAAATTACAGGAAATAGTATTAATTCAGTCATAGGAATGAGAAACTAACTAATGCTTTAAAGATATTTCAAGATCCTAAGGTAAAATGTCTTACAACATTTCAGAGTTGTAACAATATTAAAAAAAAAAAAAAAAAAAAAAAAAAAAAAAAAAAAAATCGAGACAGATAGGGCTTGTGGCCTAAACAACTTTGAAAGAGATTAAGTCCCAAACAGTCTTTCTAATCAGACATCCTGTTAACTCCATTCTTCAAACAGCAAAGAAACACAGAGCTGCTTGCTTTCTGCTATCCCACACAAGTGAAGAAGGCTAGGGCAGAGCTCTGGCTCCCTCCCAAGGGTACCAGCCAAGTCAGAGTGTTTCTGGCTGCAGAAACTGATCAATGATAGAGCCATGATTCACAGTCACAGATTCTTCCCTAGTGACACTCTATCACTGTATTCTTCTTTGTATGGGGCCACCAAGGCATTAACAAGGTTATTAACAATATTAAAATTAATCAGGGTAAGTCAAATGTATATTGAGGAAAGGGAGCAGAAGTGAAATTATGTAAGAGCTAAGAGATTTTCTGGGAACTTGATAAAGAGAATAGGAATATCAACTATTAAAAAACTTATCCAGAGGGCTTACATATTTTACAGCACAATAATACCACAGCTTTGTGTTCACAGAAGAAAGGTATGCAGCAATAAATTCTGAATCTTGTATTTCAAAGATATATTTTTAATATCAAGTGCTTTAAAAATTCTAATAAATATGTCTCTAAGACAGGAATGTTCTTATTTTTTATTTTCAAAGATAGAAAACAACCAGAATCACTTGTGTCTCATCCACAATTATCTCATAGCCATAAAACTTTTATTGATCAACCCTTGTGCTCAGGATTACAGTGTCAACTGAGATGTCAGCTGGTACATAAACATTACCATTTAAGAGGGAAAAATGTCTCTAAACTCTGAATGCATACATGCAACTTGTGATTGACTTACTTGAGTCTTCAGGAATGCCATATTTTGCCATATTTCCCTCCAAGAGTCCCATGATCCTAGGCATATCGAGGAACAGGTTTGCATTGCTGAAAAATGAAGATTCTTCTTTACACACTGCCTTGATTGCAGACTCTAGGGATCCAACAGCTGAACTTCTGAACTGCCCACCTTGCAAGAACTAGAATAAACAATCAGACATACAGATGAATCAGAGTTGCTTTTAGTAGCTTCAGGGAGTAGCCCTGGTGTTCTCTCGATATTGGCATCCAAGGAGATTGACAAAATTATTCTCTTGAAACTGCCTACAAGAATGAGGGCCTGCTGTGCTCTTTTGTGTTCTGATCACCTTTATGATGGGGGAAAAAAAGAAAAGTAATACAGTTTTAATTGCCAGAATAGTCGATGAAAGATAGTTGTATAAGGTACTACATTAAACTTTGAAAAATACTGTGTATCAGTTAGGCAGAAAAGGAATGAAAACATCAAGACAACTGGACTACAGATTCCATGCTTACAATGTCAGTTTTCACAAAGTCTGCTCTTCTGGTAGATTACTTCTGTGTCACAAAGACAGCAGAAACAATCAAAACCATTTTGCATATGAATGTTCACAGTGAAAAGGGTTGCTAAGAAGGAAAACTACATTCAAGAGCACGTCTTTTAACTTGTTAGATGTGCTGCTGGTTTTTGCACATCTTGAGTCATACCAGCATTTATTATTGCCATTTGCTCATGACTAGCATACTTCTAATAAGGAGAGCAATCTGACTGTTTTTATGACTTAAGCACCATCATTTATCACATTCCAAAAAAATAAAACCAGCTTCCTCTGTGCAGCTTAATTTTTCAAATAAGGTGTAAATGGTATCTCATGGAAGGCTGTACAGGTGCACAGTTCTAAGAGTGGATACAACTTCAAGGCAATGTGCTGCTAGAGGATAACTGAAGGACTCATTGGCTTGCCTGATACTCGGTACTTGCAGATGTGTGTCAAGAAAAACATGACTATCAGGTATCATTTGAAGGTTGTACAACTGGCAAATAGAAAAAAAAAAAATGTGATATGTCAACCAAACAACAGTGGACACTAAAATAAATTAGCATTTTATCACTGGAATTTATTTTTTTTTTAAACAGAAGAGTCAATTTTCAAAGTAGTACAGCCCTTTACAAGAAGAATATATCACAGACCATTTAGAGATTGTGCTGTTAGTAACAGTTTATCCTGATCAATGCATTTACTGAAGTGCCAGGTGCTTCTTTAGTAATCCTGGAGGAATATTAGAAAGTATTATTTAAAACACAGTGTTGGCTGCTCCCAAAATCTGACTTTTTGCATACAGTTTCATCATAGAGCATAGTAAATAATATCCAGAACTCATGATACCATCTTCTACAGCTCTTGAATGAATCTACTGGCATGGACTTTATTGGGGAATAAACTTTATTTATGCACAATGCTGAATAAAACTGGTTTTGAATCCTTATTAGTGACTATTTGCACTAGAAGGATAAATGAGGCTTATTTCAGTCAAAGAGCAAAAACTTGCTAATTAACTCCAGTTCCAATCAAAATAACTTGAAATTCAAATAATGAATATTTATGCAGTAAGCTGCCACCAACAGACTGAATCTACTTACTGTCTTTCAACTAAATATCCACTGACTCAGTAAGATATGTTTCCTAAAATTTGGCTTTGATAAAGTGGGAGAACTATATAGGCTAGATGTTCACAAAAAGTTATTTGATCCAGTTGTTCTAGTTTAAACTAAATGAACTAGGATCTGTAATCAAGGCTGATGAATCCAAGCAAGCAGCCTCCTACAAAAGAAGTAAGCACTCAAGCCAGTTGCTCCAACAAATTCATGGAAGAAGGCTGGTACTGAAGATTAAAAAGCTATCTGGAACTAGATTCTCAAATGGGGGCAAAATCCTCATAGTTTAGGGGCTTTGGACCTAATTGGAAAGCTGTGTGTTTAAAAAAAATATCATGAATAAAAACAAATTAATGTGGAGTAAAAATAACATCTGCTTAACAAAAGAAAACTAAAAGTCCAACCAGGTTACAGATTGCACATAAAACAAAAACAAGTTCGGAATCATTACACTAAGAGAAAAAAAGTAATACAATTTCCCTGAAAAACTACAGGAAGGTTAAAAATAATTAAAAAATTTATGAAGCCAAAGGGCTAAAGGAAACTAATGCAGACAAACAGATATTCCTATTTCTGGGCAGAGCCATAAACAAAACAAAGTATTTATTGTACTGAAATTGACTGAATCGGGGGGAAAATTACAAAATTGCTGGTTTGGTTAAAATATTTTTCAGAAGCCTATCAAATTTATATGGCAGTATTTGAATGAAAAGTAGAAAATTCATCTATACTCAAGAATGAGTGACATAATGATCCCAGAAATAATGAATATCTGGATGTAATATTTAATAGGGAAGGTATACAATTAATTTTAAAGTAGAGATCAGTTAAAGACAAAAGTATGTGAGAAGTAGAATCTAATGCATTCTCAAATTATCATTCCAGATCAATACAATATATTTATGTGGGAAGGCAAGTACTTTTTCCTAAAAAAGATACATGCTGTCACTTTAGAGATAGCATATGTCTTTTCTGAGATAGGTGAACTCCCATTAATGTTCTTGTCCTAGAAAATATTCATAAGAATTAATCCAATAACTATCTGGCAGGTAAATAATGGCATTAAGAAGATATTGCAGGGACCCTGTTAAAAGGGAAGAAAACACTGGATGACAGAGAAGTAACAAGTATTATTCCTGTGAATACTTATCTCAGGTCCACTGTGATAAGTTTTTTAGCTCTGAAATAAGAAAATTGCTGAAATTTGCCTATAATTTAATACCAGAAGGCAATGCAGGACAAAAGAAGAAGATCAGAATCTAATATGTCAAGAAACCAGTAACCTAATTTAAATCAAATATAACCAGTGCAAAACATTATTTATCAACTGAAATCATGAGATGCTGTTGTAAAATTGAACTTACCTGGGTAGATCACCAACCCTTGATCAAGTAAGAGACAAAATGTATGCATCTTATGAAAAAGGTGAATGCAAGATTAAGACAGTTATTTTCTTAGTTATAGATGTGAATGAGCAGAACTACAACAGACATCAGCCATAATTCCCCTCAAAGACTGTACACGTTTCTTGTCCTCAATATTCAAAATTAGCTTTAACACAGCATGCAAAAGTGTCACTAGGATGTCTGAGACAACTGAGAGACTGTTATGAAAGAAAAAAACTAAAACAAACAAAACAAATACTAAAATAAATCTACTTAATCTATCAAAACAGAGGACTGACTCGCCTTCCACAAACATGTGGACAAGTCAGAGAAATTCTAAAAGTTGCAGAATACTTTTGATACAAGAGTAAACATATTAACCATGACTAATCTTAAGCCATAAGTTTATACATTTATTAAGAAATTAAGCTTTTCAGTAATGATAGTTTTAACAGAGAACTTATTCAAATTAGTGGAGGAATTACAGAATGAAGCCACCTTTCACAACTGACAGCACTCAGGAACTCAATAAGCCCCCTCGTTTATCTATTCATGAGTGATACACACCAAAAATTATCTATGGAAATATAAGTAAATAATTTCAAACAACAAACAAATAGGAAAAGATCATGATCAAAATCAGCAGGTTTTCCTCAGGAAGTTATCCATTCACTCAATGTTGTTAACAGCAGAACACGTGGTTCTATATTCCAGTTACTGCTGACTGGCAGATACTGAGTTGTTTACGTCATCTTTTATTACACAATCTGTAGTATACAAATTCAACTTCATGTTTTACAAATATTTTAAAGGTATTTACTTTTCAGACAAAAATCCATGTGCGTAATTGACAGTTATTTATTACCTCCATTATAGAAGTAATTGCTTTTAAAATAAACTTTTTAAAATGAAATTTTCAGTTATAAGATAATGAAAACAATCTGTTCTACTCTATGCTGAAGGTTCACATATTTTTACTTTAAAAGACCTTACGTCCTCTATTTGGTAATCTTCCTAAGTCACTCAACTACTTTGCTGTTGGTTATCATGACAAAAATCCAGAAGGATGGACTCTTTCAAAAATAGAATAAAATATTTGATGAGGAAAGTGTATAAAGAACATGTGCACTTTGATAGTACATTTATTCAGTAGCACAAGTCTGGCCAGTATAGAAAAGAAGCAAACAAAATGATCAATAATTAAAGGTGTTATTGGAAAGTAGGAAAAAATCCACTTAAACCTGAAAAGAAAAGAATAGTTAAACAACTTTTACTAGTCTACAAAATGAGAAAAAGTTACAGAGACAGAAGAGACCTTCAAAACGTCAAACATATATTAACAAAAGAAATAGACACTGAATTTTTTCATCCTCCACAAATTAGGTGACAAAAACAAACAGCAGTTTCTCAAGAAAAAAATTAACAAAAACTAAAAAAAATAAAGATTGTGTCAGAAAAAGTGAACAAAAAAGGTAAGATGTAAAAGGAACAAAGATTCCAAGGTGAAATCTACGCTATATTACAGGATAATATGGGTTGTCATGCAGCAAAGATTGAAACTGTAACCAGATGGCCCTCTGCTGTTCGATTTGTTCCTTCGCAACCTTTTTTTTTGATCAGGACCTTTTGAGATGTACTCCTATCAAATAAGCAACTTCGAGATTTCGTTCCAAAAAGAATATTTCATTTGTTCGAGGAAAGGTCCGAGACAAACAGAACTAGTTTAAGGAAAGCAGTAAAGATGTAAGCCGTCTGATGAAAGCTACCTTTCACTGAGGCAACCAAAGAGCTACTCAAAGAGTGGCTCAGAATTAAACTAGTATACACAGAACAGCATTTTACACCATGTCTCTGCCACACAGATTAGAAGATCTTGAGAAAGATTCATATCACTAGGGAAAACAGTATTTAAAGGCAGTGTTTACACTGTACTGTAGTCACAAACCAGTTTGCACTGTTTACCACTGAGGGATCATTTAGAGGTTTGCAATTTTTAGAACCAGATTCGATCCTAAAATTTCCACACAGAATAGCAAATCCAGAAGGTAATGCCATAGGGTTCAGCAGGACTTTTATAGAAGTGGACCCTGCTTAGAAACAGAAATCTTTTTTCTCATTTATTTAATACAAGATCCACCACTGTGCTAGCTGTATAGATGCACACACAGCAACTGCCCTTAAAGGCAAGGACAAAAGAAATATTCTCACTCACACCTCATGCCACTTTTTTAAAAATGTCAAACAGAACTATCACACAAAAACCTCAAGCAACACAAACAGAAACCCATGACAGATAGAAGAACTGCACATGCTATCTTGAAATCTTATCCTTTAATAAAGCAAACCTATTTCTTGTGAACAAAGTACTAGTCTGCTCATCAAAAAAGTTACAGCATCAGCAGAAGCACCATGGCTACCTCCAAATCACAGATCATGCTATTATTAATCAGTAGCTTAGCACAGTATTAACTTAGGCTATGATCTCCTAAATTAACAAAACAAAAAAAAACCAAAAAGCCCACAAACAAACAAAAAAAAAAGATGAGAGAAACAACACATCAATAGTCTCAAAATCAGCAGAGTGCTTGAAAGAGGCCAAATGAATCTTCCTAGGTACTACGGATTCTCTTCTCTTCTGTTTAAGTTGCCAACTTTCTAGGACACAATTTCTATTACTGTTCCTCCTTACTAAGCACATGTCCCTAACAAAGCACCTCAATGGGTATTAATTTTGTATACTGAAAACATACACATACCTGCTGCAATGCAGAAATGTCAAGCATACCAATATTTTGAATTCCTTGGAGGAACACTGGAAGGTTTTCCATTACATGGTGGGCTTTATTGAGAAGAGAGCTGATACTAGAAACCACATCCAGTAGCATGTTTAGTACATTGCCTATCTCAGTTGGTATCTGAATCTTGGAAAAGAACAACAACAAAAAAAATCACAATAAATTCCAATTAGAAACAAACTTTTCAATGAAATACTCAAAATTATTCAGTCTTGTTCTAAAACTGAATATACAATGTTCCTGCAAACCATACTAAAAAGAGTTTTGTTAAGCATAAGACTTCAGTTACTCTCAAATTCAGTTAAAGAAAAATTCTCTTGTAATATTAGAACTGGCCTATGACAAATCAGGAATTAAAATCTGGGGAACATGTTTATACCTACCAAAGTGAAGCTCTCCTACCCAAGCTGTTAATGGGATCTGCAACATCCTACCCCCTTGAAATTCCATGTAAATGAGGTTTGGTTCAAGATGCTCAATGCAAGAGTTGTAATATTTTTTTAAATACTTCATAAGTTAAATTAAATCTAACAAACACTTTAGTTGATTTAGGAATCATATTAGACAACAAACTTTCCTGTCACACTGCTCCTCCTTTTGCATTGCACTGTCTAAAATAATTGTGCGCATTTCATTGCCTCCTTGGCTAAAGTTCAGTTGGTTTGTTGCTGTTTCCACCATGCAAGTTTTGGTACTATGAGTTCCCTCTCTACTTCCTTTGCTTTTATAGGTTATTTAGACGACATGGTAATACAAACTGACTGATTGTGACCTGCCTATGAATGATAATAAAAGCAATATAATCTCATTATATGCTGCTTCCTCTGATTATTTTATTCAACTTTGACTTCTTACTATGATAACGTATGCTTAGTTTTCTTCTCAGCCTTCACCTGCTTTTATGCATTAAAAAAAAAAACAAAAAAAACCACACAAACACCACACACTAGAAGAAACTGTAAAAAATAAAATCTTATTCAGTCAAAAAATTAGTAAAATTTCCATAATAATTTAGGATGAGCTGACAATTTTTTAAAAATTTTGCTAGGGATTCATTAGGATTTAGTAGAAAAACTCATCAGAATATGAACTTTTTTTCTTCTTTTGTTGTTGTTGTTGTTGCCCCCTGCCCCAGGTTGGCAGATAGTTCAGAAAACAGAAATCTTTTATTTTCCCTCTGGTATTTTAACTTAATCTGGGAAATTGTCTTGTTTTTACAAGTATGTGCTCAATCTGTTTAACTGTGCATGCAGCATCCGGATTATAACCCAGTATCTACGGCTTTAGAACAAAATATCCTCATTACTATTTTTCAATTATTTGTACTTAACATTATGTGTTCTGCCAAGCAATTACCCTAAAGGAACTAAAATGAATGTCTGGTAATTATCAGAAATCCCATCCAATAATTTTGTTCTTACAAATAAAAATATGTCACTGAACACCCACACTAGATCCCAGATTACCTACAGTTGTACAGATGATACAGTTTTGCTGCACTGCTACATCTGCATCCCCTTCATTATGGTTTTGGCACTGTATTATTCTTGTCAAAGTTATTTGACTTGGGTCATATAAAATATAGGAGGTGTGGCCTTACAGAGAGAGACTCATCCTGAGAGCTGGAAAAGCTCCTCTCTGAAGGAGCCACCTGAATTGCCAGCATGATTTCTACAGTAAATAAAATTAATTCCAAAGTGCTATGAATTTTTCCTAGAAAATAATTCTATATTTTTTTGTTATCTCCTATGTTTGTTTTAGTTCCAGTGATGCCAGATGAGTCTTCCACAGTCACAAATTAAGAGGTGACTAATCATATGAACTGCAAACTCCTGTGTTTTCTCTAAAGCTTTCATAATTAACTCACTCTTCAGTGAGAATTTTCCTGAGGAAGCAAGAAATGGAATATAGTAGTATCTACCAACTCCATTCTTCAACTGTTGTGCTTGCTTTGTGAAGCTCGATGAAGACAAAAAATGCCATACATCCAGTGCTTGCTTCCACAGAAAGAACATCCAAAGAAATAATAGTATTATTAATTTATCTGCTTGCGTGCTTTAGACCGCCTTCAAAATAAAAAACATTGAATGCTTTTTTCCCATCTTACCTTGTAAATGATATGACGTAAGTTCAAATTCTGTGTAATCAGCACAAACATGGTATATAAGTCCAGTGCTGGTAAAGAACATAATTCTTCCACTACCAGGGAAGTTTTACTGTTTTCAGGTAAGTTTAGCAGCAGGCTAAGTACTTCTTCATCACATCTTCCAGTTAAAGCTACCACAAAGGCACTGTAAAAAACCTATCATAATGTATGTGTATTAAAATATTTTCTCCCTGAAATACATCACCTTCTTTTATAGTCAATAAGGTGAGAATTTGTGTCACAGTAACATGGCAATTTGCGGTCATCAGACCTTGAAATAATGAACTATACAGCTCTATATCAGATTGGTAAATTCTTACTTTATATTCTATGTACATATAAAGAGGTGAAATATATTATAAAGATTTATTTACATTTGTGAACAGGTCAATAATTCATTCAACTTTTATACCACAAACAGGCATATTTACAATGCTGAACATATCCGTTCTAGCAGATATACACCTTTCCTGCAGAAACACCTAAAAATCAAAATCTAGATGTATGAATCATTAAAATCAAACAATATGGATGCTTCTTCTTTCAAAGGACACACAAATTTAACACTTAGGGATGCCTATATGTCACAATGTTCACTCTGAGCCAGCTCACATTTCTCATTTCAATACACCCTTGAAGTGTTTTTATTTAATAATGGATGAAGGGACAAATGCCTAGGTAGACCTTGGGCAAGATGACAATAAAAACTCCTTGGATAATGATAGTTTCTTTCTTCTTACAAAGATGTCAAAACAAAAGACAAATGCTTGCAGCCCAGATATCTCAGAGTTGTTAGCTACCTTTTCTCCTGAAATGCCTGAAAGAAAGCAAATGGCAGCAAGTCCACAAAAACTACAAGTTTGGAGCCCATAGGAGCCAAAGTACAGTACTCAGGGCTCCATTGTACTCCATAGAACAGAATCTGCCTGCATTGCCTCCACTGAATGCATCTGTAGCCAGTACATAGTGAGGGAGAGGATCCCCAAGAAAATCAGATTAGGAACCAAAGTTGGTCCAGACATGCAATTTAACTCTTTAGTTCCTATGAAGATTTTAATTTCCAATTTAATAATTTGACTTTTAGGTTTTTATTCTGGAACAGAATTTTGCTTTGTGATTCCAAATTATTTCCTATATATTTAAATATTCACTTTTTGTGCACATACAAGCAACAGAATATGAATATGAATATAATTCTACTAGCAGCATAATACTGATTTACACTTCTTGTTGTGGAGGAAATTTGACTCTGTGACACAATTTCAAAGGTATTTCCTCGTGCCTCACGTGAGTATCACCATTTCAATCTCGTTTTAACCCATTCAGCATTTTTTCCTCTAGATTAAGTCCCTCTTGAACTTTCCTTGCAGTTTTGTGAGTACCAGAGCTAACCCAGGTTCCTGTGTTCGGTAAATGAATTCTTGTGGTCTTCGGGTTACAGGTTTTGAGCAGTTTCAAAACACAATCATATGTCAATGAGCATGGCCAGAGTAAAATATTGTGGTGGAAATTAATGGTAGCTGCAATAAGCACAAACAACTCACAGGCTTACTCTTACCCTTTAAGAGGCAAGCACAGTAGTAGTATACAATCACAGACTGCAGTGGGCCTGCAGCTATCATTAGAGTTATCAGACAGTGACTTTATGTACCATAAACATAATGCGCATGCCTAAATTACAGCTTTAAAAAGTCCTTGTGCATCTTGCATAATGAGTAAGAGACATGGGCTTTAATGCTCCACTTGGACTGAGGGAGGATTAAGCACTTAAGCAAACAAAAAATTCTGTAGAGACAGGCAAATGTGAGATGTGTACATATATCTAAACTCTACATAGGACTCTAGGGGAAAGAAAAAAAAAAGGTAATTTGAAAATTCAGTCAATTAGCATTATTATTCCAAAAGATCAAAGGCATACTGAATCCCATTTAACTGAATCACTTCCGATGACTTCTGTCATCACTATTTACTGGTATCAAAATAACAAACTAACAATGAAGGCAGTCACACTGCCAAATAAGCAGAAGAACAAATCATCTATAAGTAGTTACGATGGTCTGAACTGCCTTTTTAAGAGCCACACTGCTCAGGAAGAGAACTTGAACCAGTTTCTGCAGGTGGAGCACCGGCGACACCCAGTGGCTGTTTGATCGACCTGATTAGTTTATACCGAATGTAGCCCCAGCTCTTTTCAGTCATACAAACATTAACAGGAGAGAACAGCTGTAAGTTAGGTGACATTTTTCATGATTTCTACTAATCACGGGAATTACAGGAAACAGCTGCAATGATAACAGAGTCCTTCACTCAGAAAACTTACACAATCCACCCTTTTAGACAATACTCAAGAAACAACAGATAAATAAAGCAGAGGTAAAGCAAGATACTAGTAAGATAATGTAAGAACAGTGAGGAGCACATGAAGGAATAATAAAAAATAAAAAAATAATAAAAAAAACACACACACACAAACCAGGCAACTCCATACTGCAAGGATCAGAAACGGGAAGATACAAAACCATTTCTCCAAGAACCCTCACATTTTCTACAACACCGAGGTAAAGAAGCTCAAATTTCATGTCAGCACAAGGGAGTTAAACACTGCTGAAAGTAATGAAGCAGTGCCATTTTGACCAGAAGACTAGTGCTACTATAAATTATTTTGTTAATGCTTCACATTAATTCCTAAATCTCATAAAATATTCCACATAGAAGTGACAAGGGAAAATATAAGATCCCACACAAACCAGGTGGTTTGATTTGTTTTGGTTGGCACCTCCGGCTATAAATTATTAATTTAACACCTCTTTTTGATCTTTTACCTTTGAATGAGATATGCTGGCTTCCAAGATGGTATTGATAATTTCTTCAGAAATATTGACAGAGGAACCAATGTCCAGCCTCAACTGAGTAAGATTCTGCACACACTCTTTGACTTTCATATCTGTAAGAGAAGAATAGTGCCAACAGTACCAATCTGCTTAATTAAATTGCCCACAACAGTACCAATCTGCTTAATTAAATTGCCCACAGACTGTATCTTTTTATTAGATTTATTCTGAAGGGTGATAAAGGACACATAAACTTCATATCATATAATTAACTTCTGTTTCAAATGTATAGATCACTGTCCTGGCAGGTTGAAGGGCTTCTGCCTCTGTTTTCAAAATCCTATAAGAGTACCGTTTATCCCAAATCCCTATATTATGAAAGCATCTGAAATTAGTGAAGCAGCCTTTAGTTCTTTAAGATTTTCTTCTTCTTCCACTAATTTAATTTCCCTCTTCTTTCTAACGAATCCCTTATTGGACAGGGTCTGACGGGGTAAACTGTGCTGTCCTATGCTGACTCAAGCACATGTATGAGCACATGTGCATTGAAAATATATTGCAGTAAATCAGTAGTCTCCAAAGAAGTAACTGTTTAAAGTTTGAAGAATAATGAAGCAGTTATTGTCCTACAAAATTATGTAACAGTAACTTGTAAAAAAAGTGAAGAAAACTGGAACCCACCATTCAAAAGATTAAAATTGCTGAGAAAAGATGCCACTTGATTTTCTGACAACTGTAGCTCCAAATTGTCAACCACCCTGAAATGACAACCTTAGTTTCACAAGTTATCAGAACTGTTACTTTGTACTATGTATAAAGAGTAACATGAGTAGTGAAACAAAATGAGGCCAAATGATCACATTATGCTCTATATGCACACAGTGTGCATGCAGTAAGCAACTCTACAGACATTCTCATGATATATTTATACGGTGCAGGGATCATCATATTTCATGCCTAAATGAGATTGCAAAGGTAGTGATCTTCCCATGATGACTAAGTGCTCTAGCAAACACTAGTTTATGAAAAAGCACAGGTCTAACGTCTGTCTTACTTCCATGTTTCTTATTGAACACACATTTTTAAAAGCTAAAGATAAGAAGCATTACAATTCAGGATGAATAAAGTCTATCTAATTGTAATTTAAGTAATAAAGAGTATACACACATCAGATATTATTTACCATTCAAAAATTGGACATGAGTCCTGGTCCGTAAGAGCAGCCTCTAAGCTCAAGTTCTCCTATATTATTACTATAATTCACAGACACCATTCAAGCCTGTTATGAAAACAATCCAACAAACTAGTATAGTAACAATTATAACAACGGCCACTTCTAACTGACAGCAAGTTTGAAATACTCTGTAGGAGCAGTTTTATTCATTCACTTAAAATCTACTATTTTTCCTCAGGGGAATAGCAAAAATCTGAAATTATTCAGAGTTCAAGCCTGTCAGTTTACAAGCAGCATCCTGTGTTTCTCACTGTTTGAACTGCTGAACAGATCTGAATGTTTAATGTTTTGCAGAAGATATCCAGCTGCTGAGGGGACAAGGCCATAGCAGCTTTAAATAAAAAATAAAGACATCAAAATTTTGACCTAAGGAGGTCATTGAAAATTGAAAATTTTCTTCGTTGTGATTCAAAGCCTTCTCCTTGTGGAGCAGCAAGATCTGCTGTAAGTGCTCAGCAAAAGTGTAAGGGCTTTCAGAAATATCCAGAATTTTACTAAATTACTTAAATAATTAGGGCAATGTATCCACTCATTTTTCAATTAATTTAACAAAGCTTAAAGAGACTTTGATAAACAATATTTCTCCTGTAATTACATAATTTAGAACACAGACATATACACAAAATAACATCTCTAACAAGAACTGTTTGAGGTACCAAGATGTAAAAAGCTTTACATTTGCAAATGTCTCTGTATATTCCCCAATATTAGTTGACATTCACAGCTGTCATTGCTGGTATTCTCCAAGGCTTTCAGGAAGTTCTCCAAAATATTTGAAAGTTTTTGGTTTATATATGCCATACTCTCACAATCCTCCTTGTTGAAAGAAAGCCACATTCTTTCAATATCCTGTAAAACACAGTGATCATATGGTTAGCAAATTCCTGAGATTGTTATTGCTTTAAGTAGCAAGTATTGGTACCTAAACAATGACTATTTTCAAATGAGAATATGGATAAGATAATACTCTTTTATTCACTGTATTTGTAATTGAAATTGGGTGAGGGGTTTTCTAGAACCAACAAATTTTCACAGATCTGGGTTTTCAAAACAACCAAAAATAGTTTGAACTAACCTATCAAGATTTATCCATTAACAGAAATGCCAACATTTTCATTTGAAATTTCATTTCAAAATTAAATGAACTTTTAATTATTTTAGACCATTTTTATCTTTTTCCCAATAAAATGTTCTAAACATCAGCTTCCATTCAGCAAACCAAAATATCTGAATACCCATATCCAATGTTTTTCTTGCATTATGCATTGAGTAGTATTCACTTTTATATTTTCTCCTGAAAAGTTCTAATTTTGCAAGGGATTTTTTTAAATATTTGCAGAAGTAGGTCATAGAATGCCGGTGATGACAGAAATGCGTTTGTTCTGCAAAAGTCTACTTTGAGACAGGAATGATGCCTCTGACATCTGTTTACCTTAAAACACTGCTGGTCATATCAGCAAAATGTCCAGGTAGACAAACTGGCAGAGATACTTCATAAATAAGAGGCAAATTCTATACCAAAAAGCATTACTTTCACATTTTGTCTGTATGTTCATTCATGTGTGTGCTATGCAAAGGCCTGCTTCCAATTCTGAATGACTCTCTACATGCCAAATGTTACTCTTTCCTGCTGGCAATTTCATGCACCATTAAAGAGAAACAGACTGACCCCAACTGGTAACCACAACTGCCATTTTAGTTTGAATGACTCCGGCCAAGAAGTTTATTTGTATCTAGCTTGATCTGTGAAGATTTAAAAGCATAAATGTACTCCGATTCATTAAATTAGTAGCATCACAAAATTTAAAAGAATTAAAAATAGGCTGCTGTTTGGTACTGATTGACAATCTAGTTATTCTAGTTATATGAATTCTAGTAATCCTAGTTCCATTTACAGCTTTTGAAGCTCACCAATATTTATTTAAGGAATTTCTTCTGGATATCACTATCAAAAGCATCAGAGCTACACCCATACAAACCTCAGCTTTGTATAGCCACTGTAGGGACTCATCATTCAGAGAGTAGGAAAAAAAAAAAAAAATTCCATTAGTTCTCAAAGTTTAATGTATGTTGAAAAGAACACCTGTAGGTGTGGAAACCAGTCAAACCTGATAATGATCTTGAAGCAGAGCAATTCCTTCAACCACAGAGAGGAGTAAGTAATTTGCTAATCCATCTTTACACTTTGTAACAACACAGAAAAGGTTGCCAGTGACAACTGGTTCTTCTGTAAAAGAAGATATCCAGGCTTAATCAATTTAAAAAAAAAAAAAAAAAAAAAAAAAAAAAAAAAAAAAAAAAAAGTACTGTAATCAGATGAAAAGTTAACCAAATAATAAGGGACAGGAAAGTTTTTTAAAAGCAAATAAAGTCTAATGTGTTAAGGTACTGAGAAATGTTTCTGACTAGATTTAGTTATTTTATCATTGAAGAGGGGAAGAAGGACTAATTTGACTCAATTTTCACCACTCTTCTCCATTCCACTTTTCTGTTCAATAAGAACAGCAATACCCGTTAGAGAACCAGGGAAGAAAACTTCATTTTTGCTCTTTGTAAGAAAGCAGCATAACTCTGAGAAGCTGTGTATATTAACCACATCTATCTCCTCCTTAGGTGGGCTCCCCTGATCCTATTTACCTGTGGAGACATCACAATATTACTAATCCTTCGGTGAGTAGTAACTTTCAAACCCTAGTTGTAAGGGGAGGGAAATAGTATTACATAGACATTTTGCATATCTAGGGATAAAGAATGCATATAGTGAATATTTATCACCTGATCATCCATGAAGTTTCTACCCTAGCTTGCAGCCCCCATGCCTCTGGAAAAAAAAAGTTCCATTCCCCTGGACGTAGTGGGTTTGTACATGGGATAGAAAGGAAGGAGTTTGGCTTGACAGCTGAATTCTGGTTTATGGAAAGATTAAGTTCAAATTTTCCCCCCCATGTGTTTTTCTTTATGTTTGGTTCATAAGTCAAGAAGGAAGAATAATAAACAATCACCACTGCCTCTAACAAGCAAACCTTAATCTTTCTCACAGAAGCAATACAATGCAACTCAGTAATGCAAACCAACTCGAGAAATTTTCATCCTTTCTCATTAGGTTTTGTAATGTTTTCTACATCCAATGAAACATAGTGAAACATTCTTATGACCAGCATATTGAAACAAGAATGACAAAAATTTAGTTCCTTAATCTCAGTTCTCACAAGAAATAGACAGTTCTTCAGAGGTCAAAGACAGATCCCAAGTACCTGGCACACATTTTCAGTATCACTTATTCTGAGATCAACATTGTTACTATTTTATTCTTTGGGAACTACATCAATCACAAGACAGTGGAGAAGATAGTCAGAACTCGGTTGTAATCACATTTTATATTTTGTTTGGAAATGAAGTTGATACGAGACATTACCAATCTCATCCCTCACTTTAGAACAATGGGTTAATGCCTCCTAATTAGTCGTTGCAAACAATTTTGGGCATAGTTAGGTTAAAATATGATGTTTGAAAAGCAAAGGCTTTGGTTTACCTAAAGAAAACACATCCTTAGGTCAATACAGAGACTTTCTTAAAGTGCTCATCTTGGATATCTATATTCAAGGAATAAAATAAGCCTAACACATTAGAAATTGAACAATTTGTTGAGAAGTTATTCAGCTATAGTTAGCCAATCCACTGGCTCAACACAGCTAGAAATGGGAGGTGGCACTTCCCTTATACACTTGCCCCATTTTTAATTTCTGTCACTATACTCTGCCTTGTGACAAATCTGGGTCATTAAAAAATCCCAACCAACCAACAAAAAAAAAACCACAAAAGAAAAAAAAAACACATACACAAAAAAACCCCAAACAACCAACAACAAAAAAAAAAAAGCCACCTCTGTGATTTGTCTCAGTTCACTAGCCTGGCAGAAAAATATTCAGTAAAAAAGGTAAGACAAAACCCCAATGTGTATACAGCCTTCTGCTAGGTTTGTGAGTCAGATCAAAAAAGGAAAAGGTCCTGGTGTGTCAGGGTAAGTCCAGTAGGAAGGAAAAGAGAACATGGCTAAAAATGGGAGAAGAGGAGCTGCAAGTCCTCCTGCTTCCACTGAGATTCTGAATCAACATGATTACTCCACACAGAAATCATCCCTTTATGCGTTCTGCAACAAAATTTTTCCTGTGCCTCTGTTGGTTTAGTTTCCAGGCATCAGCATGATTGCCTTGCTTGATGTCTTACAAATTAACCTTTTACAAGAGGTTGTTCAGAGTAAAGCCTTAACACTATAATATTAGCACATATGGTGACCCACAGTCACTACTGTGGTAACTAACCTGAAACGATTTTAAGAACATTCAAAATGGTAAACTGCAACTTCTGCAATAGTAGAACACTGGCAGGGTGCAAATGTTTCTGAAGAATCCTGCAGATTTTAGATGCTCTGTAGAAAGATTAATAAGAAAGTGTGATTTTCATAACAAGGGTACCACAGAAAATTTTTAGCATGTGACTACGTATGGTTGCAACCTTCAGTGCACAATATAAGGATTTCAGTATTGACAGTTATTACATTTGTCTGAACTATTTCAAAACCAAAAATAATTCCACATTTTAAAAAATAAATAAATAAAAAGAGAGAACACCAAGCTTTTCATCAAGGTAGCAAGTCATCAGCTTTCTTAAGACCTTAAGAGTGCTAGAAAGTACCTTAGCAAAATAAGCAAGATCATAACAGCCTCAGAATCTATACTGGGAGCCCACAGCATATACAGTACTTTGCTGTCAAGTCTGTATGTTGGTAGGATCAGTAGATCCACCAGCAAGACACCCTAGAGCTGTTAGGAGCAACTATCTTGTGCAATCCATTCAGTGAGCATTAATTAATACAGCAACTCCAGTCTAGCAGTACTTTTATTAAATAAATTGTCAGTAAATATTTTCCTGAAGCAGATTTACCTCTGCTACTGAATTACATTTGATTTGAGTAAGCTTAGCAAAAATTATCTTGGGTTCAAGATTCCTCCAGAAACTGTATTTGTTAAACTGAAAAATTTAACTCTATAATCATAGCCCCAAAAGGGTCATCTTGTTTGCATAAGTCATCAGCAATTTTAAGTTGAAGACATTTCAAATACGGTGTATCTACATTTAGATAGAGAAAAAACAAAAAAAAACAAAAAAAACAAAAAAAAAACCAAAAAAAAAAAAAAAAACCCACAAACCCTAACTACCACAAAACATTAGTCCCAAGTATTCCTCAATATTTATCTCTATAGCTAAAACAACTGTTGTCTACCAATAACTGTGCATTCAGCATTCAGACCTGCAAGGATTTTGAAAGACTAGTATCTTCAAATATTTGGTTCTATAAGAATTCCAAATAAACCACCTCAAATATCAGTACAGGTGACTGCACACACCAACAACCTGGTCCACACAATATAACATGATACCAAATATGGCTGGTCTGAACCAGCTGATACAAGATATTGTTTTACTCAAAGGCACAAATCTGAAATGAAACAATAATTAAAGTTTTGATTGAGTTATTAATAAAAAGCCCTTTTGTCATTGTCAGTACACTGTCAAAATTAGTACACAGAAAATACTCACCTCATTTCTGCCATTATATCCTTATGTAAATCCTTTAGTAAGAAGGCTATTTTGTTCCTGTCATGTTCTGTGGTAGACAGGAATATTTGCAAGATCTTTTGCATGATCTCCAGAGTTTTGTTTTCGGACTGAGTAGAAACTTCTCTATAATGTGAAGTGTCAAAAAATGAATCAAGTAAGTCAACTATCTCACATTTAGTATTATTTGTATGAAGAGCTTCTTCTATAATGGTAGGATCAGCAATTATATGAAGGAGACAGTTTATCAAAACTGAATTAGCTGTATGAATATTATTTGATTTTTCTCTGCTAAGATGGCCATCAACAAACAATATAGCAGTGTAATCTTCCTTAGACTTGTTTTGGAATAGCTCCAGAAAGTCAATAATGTCTTCGACAACCAGCAGCAAGTCATTTGATGAATTTTCATTAGCCATGAGGAGAATTAGAGCATGCATTATTTTAGAATAATTTTCATTGTTACACTCGCATAGAAAGCTGGTCACAATCTCTTGTATGTCTTCAAAATTCCTTAACATAGCATCTATAGATGATGTATTAAACTGCTGTATTAAAACATCAAGATCCATTGAAGATGAGTGTCCAGTGGCTAACCTTAGTAATTTAAACTCTTGGTCTATCACTGCAAGTAAGTGTGTAACATTAAAATTAACCAACAAATCTTCTATGCTTGTAACTACAGGAAACCAGAAGTTCTCAAAGTTATCAGATAGATTACTGTTTCCATTTAAAGCTGATAATATCATAAGCATTGAGTATGTCTGGTTTCCAACAGAAGACAGCGTCATTAAAGGCTGAATTACAGAAAGAAAAGAAAGGACAGCTTCTGTATCCAGGAGTCCAGAAATTTCACTTGTCATATTCTTAACATTAGCGAGAACAGTCCTTAAAAGTGATGTTCTTGAATGTCTGTTCCAACTTAGACCATCATAAAGATCATCCAGCTCTTCAAGAATACCTTTGGCCATCTCTATTTCTGCCTCTGGCATACTGCTCAGTGTTTCTATGATTTGTAAAGCCACTTGTCTCTTTGGTGTGGAGGAACAATTAATTGAGTATGTATTGTTCACCTGCAGTGGCACAGTATAGAGGGACAGCTCATTCCAAAAATCTATCAGCTCTTTAAGAACTGATCCATTTACATGATGGAGCTCAGAAAACTTCAAAAGAATAGAGCTCCATTCTTTGATCTGATTAAAAAAGCAAGTCAGATTGCGAGCAACATCCATCTGAAATTCTTCCATAGTGCATGAGGAACTGTCCTCCAGAGTGATGAGTTTCAGCTCCTTAATTATCTCAATGACTGCATTGTAACTAAGAGTAGAATTTTTATACACAAATTCACACGGTTTAAAAGTGGGATCGCTCTGAGGTGTTGCTGTTGTAAGAGTCCAGCAGAATGCTGTAGAAAAACAAATTGAGGCTTCTGCAGGTTCATCAGACATATCCATCAGTGTCTCCAGTATTGTTAGAAGACTTTCTACTTGATTAGAGAACTCCTCTTCAGTAAACATTGGCATTTTTGCTTCCTGAGTCAGTATGAAAGCATATACTTCACTTAGTGCTTCCGTGATGTTTCCGTGAGCTAATCTTTCTGTAAGGCTGATAACATCAAGGAGGAGATGGAACATCTCTTCTACATTGTAGAGTTCATTGTGTTCAAAGACTTGTGTTATTTTCCATAAACCAGTCAGGTTCCAATTACATGAACTGTTCTCAAATGCATCCCACCAGTCTGTTAACATTCCAAACTCAGAGTTCTCAATATACAAAGCTTTGATATTTTTAAAGAAATTATCTAGGCTCCTCTGGACTTGTTTGAATTGACTTATCAAGAACTCAACATCCATGTTTCTCGTATTTTGCATCAAGGCTACCACATGCTTTAGAAATTCTTTATCATCTCTTAATGGAAAACCAGTAAAACTAGAAGACTTGAAAATTTTAAGTGCTCTCCTTACCAGTTCAATATTCAGAGTTGCTGTTTTTATCAGTTTCTGGAGAAATGTTTTGTGTTCACCCTGCAAGTCTGAGTCAAGTTCACTAATAACATATTGAAAGAACTCTAACAAACTGGTATTTTTCTCATGCAAGAAAGGTTGAATCTCAATATCTAAGTGAGAGGAGCTGTTTTCTTGGATTTGAGAAGTTTTATTTTTTAGAAGCGTTTGAATTTCTGCTAAAAGTTCTACTGATGAAAGTGGAACATGGTAAAATGAATTAAGGAACATCCTCAAAGTCCTGTTAAATCCATGGATTGACTGACTAAAATGGGTTCTATTTGATGTATACCATAAGTGCCCCACTAAATCATTGACAACCATTCGTATTTGCCCTCCAGAGTTATTTAAAAGTGTAAATATAAATTCAAGAACACTAATATCATCTTCTACATAAAATTCAGGAAGAATAAATTTTAAAGTTTTTGCCATAAAATTGAAATAAACATTTACACAAATCACATCAGAACCATTTAGGGAACATTCAGGGAGTATCAGATTAAAAATCAAATTAACGAAATCCATCACATTCACTAGCTTAGCATCTGTCTCAATGTTTCCCAGAGATTTCAGTAGAAATAAGATATGTTTTGCCCTTTCAAGGTGGGAAGGTGACTTGTATTTTTCACTGAGATTACTTAATCCATGTATCCATCTGTTACAATCTTCTGCTTCATCCACTGTACTATAAAAGTTTAGAAAGGAATTAAGGTGAGATGAAAAATTTGTTTGCAAATGGCTTATGTCTTTCAGAGTATTGTCCAAAATTAGTTTGGTAATATTCTGGAAAATGCTCATGCAAACCATATATTTGCCTTGAAGTACACTTTTAAAGACAGCAGTTGTGTCTTTTATCTCGGTGAGAATAATTTCAAGTTCCTTTTGGGAGAGCTTGAGAATAGTAGAAAGGGAATTACCAACAGAAAACACACCAGCACCCCTATCTTCTCTCTCAGAACCTCCTGAGATAAAAGTATCAAGCCAAGAATTCAAAAACTCTCCATTAACAACCTTCAGTATAGATTTCTGCAATTCAGTTATCATGACTCCCAGCATTTCTAAAACACTTTCTAAACTGTTACTTTTAAGCAAATTTGTGATGTCAGCTGAATCAAATACAAGTTGAAGATTAGCAAGAAAAGCTTCAAAATCTTTCCAGTCATTTAAATCACCACCTCCTTCAAATATGATTTTTATTAAATTCAATGCTGCTGTTGTAGTTTCAATAAAAACTGTAGCTGTATTATTGCACAGTTCATCATGAGTTGAATTTAAAAGACTTTCAGAGAGATCTGTCAAATCATTTCTTACATAGACAAAGTAGGTTGAATTTAAGTTTAAGACTTTGGATACTTCCTCAAAAATCTCTGTCCAGGTTTGAAGCCATGTAAAAGTGCAGTGCAAAGCAGAAGACACACTTAGCTGATCTCCCAAGTTTGTTATATTAGACAGAACACTGTCTAATGGAATCAGAAGTAAATCGTAAACTTCTGCTGAATGATCTACAGAAGTAGTATTTGATAGATAAAAATCAGTGCACCCATTATTTACCAGGCACTCTGGAGATATATCAAGAAACTGTTCCAAATAACAAGCAGCAGCTGTTTGGATCTCTTCATCTATAAACAAAGTTTTAAGGCTGCTCAGAGTGCTATAGACAACTTGCATCTCTTTTTTTCCTTTCTGTGCAAGAGATTGGGCCTGAAATTCTGTGTAGTTGTAAATTATTAGTAACTTTTCACAGAGAGACTTGCTGGTGAAGTTCCAGAGAAGATCAAAAGTTTCAGACAGAAAATCAAAAACTCCATCCCTATCTTGGAAACCATTCCATACTTGAAAAGACAAAATATCTTTTGAAATCTCATAAAGAAATGTGAACAGAGTGCTATTGTTCTCAATATTTAAGACTAGATCATCATTCTGATACAGAGAGAAAAGTATTGGAACAAGCGAGGCCTCACTATAACTGTTTAATTTTTTTATATTTTTGAAGAAATCATGCATAATTTCTCCTAATTCTTGTACTTTATATATAAAAGTTGCATTGGAGAGTAATAAAGAGGAGGCATTACTCGCTCCATGAATTGTGCTGAAAGACACATTGACATGATCATCAGTCAATGATCTGACCTCATAGAGATTCCTTAGGAAGTTTTCACTTAAGTGTTTTAGACTGTTCAAAGCAGCGATACTTAACTCTGCCCTATCAGTCAGGATATTTTGAAGTAATAGCATACTTCTATTATGCATTTTATTTTCTGTGATGGAAAATATAATTCTAGATAATGTCTCCAATACCTCATCCTTTTCCACTTGACTCAAACGAGAGAGCCTAGAATTAATTTCATACAACACAATTTTCACTATATGCCAGAAAACATCTCTCTTTTCTTTTGTTCTGAATCTCTGAAGAGTCAGAAATTTTTTTCTTAGCTCATTATGGAGTTCAGAAACTGCAAATGAGAAATTGGTGGCAAATTCCTTCTCCTCAGCAACATTATTCATCCATATAATTGTTTTATTCAAGACATTTTCAATTAGAGACTGGTTTGAAGAAGCTGAGAAATCAAGCATTGCAATTTCTTCTATGACTTCTACAAGATAAAGAAGATGATCCACTTCCTTTCCACCAGAAATCCTTAAGTTTCCTTCTCTCTTCAAAAACTCTTTGAAGGATGTCAAAATTCTGAAAGATTAAGCATGAGTTTTGTCTTGTTAGTTACCTAGCAGATAGTCAAGAATTGGTTAAATATATATTTTATAATTTTAGAATACAGTTTTATTTACTTAAAGAAATTTCAAATATCACTTAAATTGCTATCACTTAAATAGCTATCAAAAATTAATCCCCACAAAAACCAAAATAGCACAAAATGACAATCACTTTGGTTTTAAAAAATGTGTCAAAACTCACTGAAAAAATATCACAGCCACATTCAAATCAAAACAGCTCGGTTAAAGAGTGCATTTATTAGCAATTATAATCAAACTTGTAAGCCACAAAGAGTCAAACACCTTTAATTTACGTATGTCACATTTTCAGCTGCTGAAAAGAGCAAAGCTTTTATGCTCCACCAACTAATTATTTTATATAAGGGAACTTATCAATAAAATCAATCAAAACCTCTAATTTTCCATGAATTCTGAAAAGAAATTTTTGTTTTAGCGTACTTATTGAAAGCCAAAAATTCTAGCTGACTGATGGCTGAACAGAGCAATTTTATTATCTAGAAAAAAAAAGAAAAAAAACCACACGCTATGAAATCAGTGAAAATTGGAATGCTCTAATTGGTGTTTCCTTTGTGTCAATACTATTTATCAATAGAAGAAATCTTTACTAACTCTGTAAGACTGGTCAAGAATGAGGTTCATGGAAAAAGGAGCATTCCAGTGCAAAGGTCTCAAGCTGAAAATACCTCCTCCTTAAATGTTTTCTTTTAATAGCTAAAATGTAGAACACCAAACACCATTAAAAAGTTTGTGAGGGAATTTCTGTGTCAATTACTGGAATGGCTTCTACAGGAGAGAAACCAAGATGTCAAACAGTGGAAAAAAAAAATTCCCTATGTAGAATCTCTTTCCTAGACTTATTCAAGTCAAAGAAATACCTCTGCATGTATAGCAAAGAAAACCCAAACACATCAGACAATTTTGTTAGTACTAATCTGCAGAGAAAATAGTGCATGCTCTAGAAACAATATATAAGACCAAATCCAAATCTTTACCCTAGAAAATGTGTCTGCATTGATCTTTATAACAAAGTTGGGGAAGAACACAAAAGAAAAGTGATTGAACATTCAAGATAGCAATTTGCATTCTACTCTTTAGCTTCCATTTTGTTTTTATTGTATATGTCAAGAATATCTCAGATTTTGAGATTCCAAACAAGGAGTTCAATGCTTCTAGATCGCCCTTTAATCACCTCCTAAAGTCCCTGTCAGTTGTGCTTGAAGTGAAAGCATGACACAACCTGTCTAACAGTGGAAGAAACACTCAAATTGTGCCATTTATAAACTTTTATTCTTCATCTTTTGCTGCATTGATAGTGGTTATTTCCATTTGATAAATTAAACAAAAGATTGATTTAACAAAAAGCTAAATATCAGCATAATGAAAAATAAAGTTCAAAATGCAGGAGTGTAATTTAGAAAGTAACCTATTAACAGCTCTGATCACCAGCATAGCATGGTAAATAGTTAATAGCACTTAATAGCAGAGACAGCACTCAACAATTAGGATGAAGTTGTTCCATGAGGAATGTTTTTCTTTTTTTGAACAGTGATAATTAAATAGCTTCTGTTTTACTGTTCATCTAGACATTAGCAGGACTATAATGCAAGTAACTAACTGACAAGAAGACCTTGCAATAATAAATTGGAACCCTCAAGTGTTCACCACTTTGGTTACTACTGATAACACAACAGAGATGGAGATGTCTTGTTTTAATACTTTTTAAATTACAGCCTCAAAGATGTAGCTTTCTTTGCAGGATTCTTTTTCTTCCCAATAATACTGAAAAACACCAGTAATTTTGTGAAAATAGGCAGAGTAATTATGTTCAAGAACTACAAAAGTCCAAAGTGGAGGTGGGTTAAAGGATTTCTGGAAAACGATTAAACAAAGAAATTACATTGACTAGTTCAACCTTACCGTGCCCAGGAAATAAATGAGGAATAATCTGGTAAATCTTGCAGAAATTCTAAATAATGACCCAAGATTGTCTCCAAACTGAGCTTTTGTCTAGAACATAGAGATGCTTCTAGTCCATCTGCAGAGAAAATAAAAATTCCAACATCAAGAGACAGATCAAACAAAGTTTTTATGAACACATATATGAACAACTTGATCAACTCCCCCTGAAACAACCTGAATAAAGCCTGCCAAATTTAGTAGGACCTGAACGTGTGCAGAAAGAGAAATACATTACATACATTTAAAAGTAGTAAATATACAATTTTTATTGAAGTGTTTGGCATTAATTCTACTGAATGATTTAACAGAATGCAGAATCAATAAACATCAGCTCTACCTAAGGCACACCTGTATTTTCCTTACAGAATTCCTTACAGAAAAATTCAAATACAGTTCCTTAGAGAAAAAAGGAAAACAGAAGATGTCTTTTGAATTATACATAAACTGCAGAACTAGAACTTGGTGCTGTACTCAGCACTGAAATGAATTTTAATATTTCTTTTTCCTTGGAATTTCAGTAAAAAGAATGCAGTTCTGTGAAATTAACTATTACTGCCCAGATAACTGAAATATTTGGAACTGAAATAGATTACAAAACTTGTACAATCAATTGATAGTTGAACAGTTCATTTTAGTAACATAGTTCTTTGATTAAAAAATACTGCTTATTTTTCCATACATTCCATAGCTGCCTCCTTACTGCTGAGGTATTCAGCACATTTCTGATTAGCTCTGCAAAGAAAAAGAGCAGAGGGAAAAAAAAAAAAAAAAAGAGGATATTCAGAATAAAACAGATCTTTAGCAAGAACAAGATCTTTCACAAATCTCAAGAACTATCTTGAAAAAAATCCATCGTTAATTCAAACCCTTCAGAAGCTGGAAATATAAGTCATCAAAAAATGGAAGAATTGGGAGCATAGTGAGAATACTTAAAGGAAGTAAACAGGTGATAGTGGGTTAAGTCATTTTTTAGAGCTGTATGGATCAGCCACATTGTGCTCTACTTCATAGCTCCACTAAAATGTTAAGAAAAGTAACACAAATATTTAAACTGAAAGAATTTTGAAATGGAAGATCTCTGATTTCTCAGCATAAATTGCAAATATTTCAAAGTTTTCCCCAATAACGAAAAACTAGTATATTCCATAAAAATTAACAGCAGATGGGTCAGGACATCTGGAATATAACAGGACAACTGGGATGAAGGAAATCAAGCATGAAGTAATTTCCTAATATGAAACAAGTCTAGAAATAGTAGAGACTGGGTGACCAGCTAGTCTGGTCTCTCATTTATATCCTGAACTTAAGAAGCCTTCCTGACAGAACACTCTTGCAAAAGTAGAGACTCCAGTCAGATTCAGCCAGTTGGAATTTTCCCAATAGAAACGGATGATCCAAAAATTTTCCAGATGGCACTAAAATCATAGTTTTCTACCAGAGTCAAGCTCTGGATATTATAAGTTTTCCTTGTTAATGATTCAATCACCTGGTGAATTGTAAGGTTGATGGAAACACAGACAGAAACAGGCTCACAAATGTAAAAATCATGTTTTTCCTTTCCGAGGAATACCATGCTCTAAGACAGGGAACCACCAGAATAAGGACTGTGCTGTACAGTAGCTCTCTCCTCACCTGCCTGACCTCCTGTGGAGCCTGCTTCCTCATTCAGGTATTGAGCTACCTTGCACATCCAACTGGCAAAAGCTGTTAAATCCTTCCAGTATGAGTCTCCCTCAGAAGCAAACAAAATTTCTTCAAGTGTATTATTAATTCTGAAATGACACAGAAAACAAGGCTACCATGATTAGAACAGTGATTTCTTTCAAATTACCTTGTGAACACATGTTGTTTCCCTGTAAATCTCTAGCTAAATTCTATTACTACTTTATGCATACAGACATGCTATTGACTTAGGGAAGAACTAAGGCAGGCAGGCTAATAGCAGAATCCTTTAGCTGTTACCTCATTCTAATCACAACTAGACTTTACCACGCAGTCTTGTGGGCAGGGAAAAAAAAAAAAAAAAAAAAAAAAAAAAAATCTAAAAAGCCTTTTAAGAAACTCCCAACAAAATGCTCTGGTTCAAAAAGTAACATTTTGAAGTTGAAAACAATTATCAAGAAATGATTCCTCTTGTCCTGAAATAAACCTTTGCATTAAAAAAGCATTGCTTTGTCCCTGAAAAACAAACAAACAAAAACCAACAAAACACCTCACATAAAAATAGCACTGAGCTTTTCTTGCTCTTCAATGTTACTTAAACACAAGCCTCTATTTCCAGAGGCTTTTTTAGCTTATCTGTGTTTTTGATACTCAGAAAAGGAATGTAAAACTAGTCCTCCTGGTGACTTCATGGTCATTTAGAAACATGGGGGGAGAAAAGGCAATCGACCATTGACCACCAGCAAGAGGGACAGGAAAAATTATAAACTTTCTAACATGTCAGGTGTTATTAATATCTGTGGATTTAATCCCTGCTGTCAATGCAGTTTGTGAAATTTCTGATGGATTCTTGAATGCTAGTAGTTTTACTGCTTTAATAGCAAACTCTTCTGCCAAGTTGCTCACGCACATGTAGATAGCTGTCTTCTATGCATGTCCAAGTTTGTAACCTAGGACATCTGTCCAGTATAAATGCAACTTCACATTGAACTCATTATGCTCATACTTTACATTGCCAAGCATGAATAATAAAATCATATCCTATTCTAAAGTGCTTTATCAATATAGGGATTTGTCTCTACTGTACTTTAACACCATTAAAGCTTAAAATAGTAGAATTGCTGAGTTATTTCAAATTATAAATCAACTTAATAAAAATAATAATGGATTTTCTGCCAAAACAGAGGAACGGTGACCACTTGACGTGTTCAGAAAGCAACTCAAGGATGCAATACCCCTCCCAGTGCATTTTCTAACTGCCCTTTTTTTAATATTTTCCTGCATCTCCCAGGAGTCTTTCAGATCCAAGTTTCCAAGCATTTTGAGCAGCCCAGCATCAGAGAGGTATGTACCAGGAAGGAGGCTGAGAAGTAGCAGAAAAGGCTTGGATGCAAGAAGATAAAAAAGGAGATAAAAAAGGAGATTAGGCTTTTAGAATCCTAGATACCTGCTTATCCTCAGCCTATTTCCACATCTATCCCCATCCTTAAATATTAATACTACTAAAAAAAATAATCCACTACCTTTTTGTTTGTGCCTATAAAAAGTTGTCAACACTGGGTGGTAATCAAGAGTAGAAAGCCAGAGCTTAACTTTTTATCTATTCAGTTACTGCTTATAATATAATACTTCAAGTTAGTACCAGTCAGGACCTTTATGCATTAAAAGGTATACAAGATACATACAGTGAAAAGAGCAGCTGTTCCTGACAAGAGATGATATGGACATCCTCCTCAGATGGTGCCTCTGTGCTTAGTAGTTCATTAATTTCACAGTAATAAGCATAATTTTTGGTTAGCTGCTCTTCTATTTCTTGCCATCCCAAATAATCATCCATTACTGAATCTGGCAGTCTTTCTTGTCCCCGAGTTACTTTCTGCAGAAGCAGGACCTTTCACAGTAAAGAAAGCAATATTTGAAACCAGTAAAAGGGAGACTCACCTGAGACTTTGGCCCTGCTTCTTTCAAATCTTCTCAATATTTTCTGGAATCCACATCTACTTAACATGTCTAAAATGTCACATTCACTCAAGATACTCCATGAGACCACTTGTGCCCCCTTGTGCCTTGCCACCAAGCACATTTTAAACTGTTTAAATAATCAGTTACCCATCCACCTATTAATAGCAAACACCAAGTAGTAAGCTGCAAAGGCGGAGGGGAGGGGGGGCGGGAACAACAAACCAACCAACCAGCCCACCCACCCCCAGAAATACTTACAGATTCCTTTAGCGACTGGATCTGGTTATTTAGCTTGAAGGCCACCTCTGAGCTATTGCCAGGACACACGTATATTGCTAAAATGTCAATGTCATCTGAGCCCTGTGGAAGTCTCAGGGTCTCCTCAAACACTGTGAGCACATCATTGCATATATAGGAAGTATTGCTCATCAATATCTAAAATTTAATGAATATATTGTCACTTTAAAAATGAACTCAGGGTGAAGGAACAGATTTAATTCACACAATGATATGCCAAAAGACAAAAATGTACAAATAAAGTTGGAAAAAAATTCTGCTGAATAAAAAATACTCTACCTTTTATCCCCAAAAATAAGCCTCTGCAGCTTTATGCAAATTAATATACAAATATTAAATAACAACATACCTTTTTTAGCTCCACAAAGAGCTTTCTGATGTCTAGATAAATGAAGCCATCTCTTTGGGCAAAGGGAATCAGTTTTTCCAGGCTACGTAAAGCTTCTGTAAGACATTTCCCCAAACACCCCACAAAGAAAATACTTATCTTACAGGAATCAAGAGTAATCAGGAGTAAATCAGGAACAGTACAGTAGGAAACATCCTTCTGGGAGAGCAAACTGTGCATGATATGGTTTAAAAATATAGCAGTTACAGAGGCCGAAAGGTTCTAGTTTGATTTAGATGACATCCCTGACCAAAGCACTCTATCATTTTGCACAGAATATGTACACAGTTGCACTCTGCAATTCTGAAGAGCAAAGACTGCTCCCCTACTGCACCACCACTGAAAGAGGCTTGTCAAGACAAGGCAGAAAGAAGAGACCAGTTTTCTTATACCAGTAAAAGCATGACCCTATTGCCTTTCATATTTTATATCAGAGCTATGAATGCTGAAAATAAACTTGGGCTCTTTCCATGTGTAATTGTTGATTTAGCCAGCAATTCTTCTGAAATATGGAAAGATGGCCTAATTCCTTAAACTCCAAAGCAAAACTAATCTTGCCCTTCTCAATTAAACTACAGCTACAGAAATGTTACCAGGACATATTAGCAAGTTGCCAAATCCAGTAGCCCTACAGAGGTGAGACTGCCATAGCTCCATGCCCTCAGGTCCGCTCACCAGGACTGGGGAGGTCAACATGCAAGGCACATATACAGAAAATGCACATGGCTGGCCATACAGGTCACACACGCAGCACTGGCAAACACACAAACAGCACCAATGGTATCATCCTGTTCACCTTTCTGTTTGGTCAGGAAGTCTGTCAGAGGGAATACAGATCTAGATCTAGATATATATGCACACACACAATCTGGTTCCCCTCAAGCAGCTGGGCTCAGACACCCAGTCTGCCCAGCAGCTGCCCCTGGATACCAGTCTCCCACCCCAGTTGGTGGCACCTGGACATACGAGCCCTCAAGGCTTCAGTCCTGCTCCAGCTTTTGGTACAGATGTGCTTGCTCACACACGGAGTGGATCACTGCAATAACTCAGTCCATCTAGCAGCTGCCCTGGTCCCTCAGCTCCCCCCAAATGACACACATGGAAAGTAAAAAAATCAAGTCTCTCGGTCAATCCCAGGACATATTAAATGTCCTAAAAGTGTGCCTTCAGAAAACTATGGTGAAAGAGTACTTGTTTTCTCATGAGATCTGCTCCCTGCTATGCACTCAGTCCTCGTTCATTTTTAGAGGCCAAAATAGATTTTAGAGTTCAGTTTAGTTAGCTGATACAGCTAAAGGGTATGTTGGACTATATAATTTTTTTGTGTTTATCAACAAGAGAACTGCTCACTAAATTCCCAGAGTAATCAGCTATAAAGGAATTAAAGGCAAGAAACATATATGTACCATAGCACATAATCAAGGAAAGTGGACTTCACTGGTGCTGTAATGTGACCTGCACAACCTTTACTGCTAATAATGATACACAATACAATACACAAAACTTCTGTCAGAGTTTGTGTTCATTTCCAACAGTTATCTTCAAACAAGAGTTTTTTATTTGTAATCTGAAGACATCTGAGCTAGAAATCAAGGACAAAATTGCACAATTTCAGTGGCATCTTGGACAAAATTTGTACTTTTAATATATTGTTTATTCTTTACTGCAGTCATATGCAAATATCAAGTAATTTAAGATTATCAACATCTCTAAAAGAACCAAAGAGGTTTTGACATACCTAACTACAAGTGAGTAATACAAGCACTCTTCCCATACATACCCACTTTATAGTATTGCAGGTGTTGACTAAAAGGTGTGACAGAAAGACATCTTGTCCCTTTTCCTTTTTTTTTTTTTTTTTTAATTTTAAATCCAGATCAGTGCACCTTATGATTATATTGCTGGACAACTCCTGGGTATCATGGCACTGAGTATCACACAATCTGAGTCCTAGTACACCTTACAATAATGTATACAATAAATGTATACCAAACCTGAAAGTCATAATTACTGAACAGACATATTTACAAGAACTTCATAGGAGCTAGTTCCAGATCCCCAAATTCTTATAAAATACATCTCTACTTTCTCTGATTTCTTCAATACTGCCCCCTCTCTTCTGGGAATGGGAAGGGCATCCTCCACTTCCTTCACCGTCAACCTAGATTGGTGTCCAAAAGCATAGCCCCAGAGAAAGAATCCCCCTGCCTCTGTACTTCACAGCCCTCAATCTATCCTTAAAGAAATCAGAAAACCTACATGTCCAACTCAGTGTTTTGCTTCACTTGCAAACCCAGAAAATTCACCACCCAGAAAATTCAAGCTGCATCTTAATCTAAACCCAATACTTCTTGCTCACATCTCGGACAGTGATAATTTTAATTTTTACTAAGGAGGCTCTTTTTCCTCAGTTAGACCTTTAAACAACAGCCACAGAAGCATACATCATATAAGATGCCTAAGGAAATTGTTTATTCCTCATATGAAGTGAAAATGGGTATTATGTTGTGTTCTGTTATCACTAAGGAAAACAAAGATTTAGGAATTCAAAAGTTGCTGTAAATATCTATGTGTGACATGTATTACAGAGCTCAAATGCCTTCCTGGAGGGAATATTGTCCATTTCCCATGTTATTCTGTGACAGTCATTTGAGTGCTATTAACAAGTAACCACCATGCAGCTTTACCTTCGGTGAAGTATAAATACTGTGCTATTACATTCCTCATGGCTCCATCTACCAGAAGCAATCTCTCCATAACAGGCCACTGAGGTACATCCTGAAGTACAGACTGCATTCTCTCCAGATGCAGGATTCTGCAATCAAAAGAGGTACAGCATAGAAACACTGCGTACTACAAACAAAAAGTTGCTCAAAAATTATGGGATATTTTTGTTGTGCAATCACTATATCATCTACTTTGTATTTTCTTACAGCAGCATAGTAGTTTCCTCTTATTAAAAAAAAGAACCAAATTAAAAAATGTACAACTAAATTATGGAACAATTTGACTGCAGTCTCTCACTTAACTAGATAACGAATTGTATCTTTCAGATTTATCCTCAGATGTTGATTTGTATAGCATGGATCATATCTCCATCAATTAGGGACAGTTTTTGATATGAACAAGTAGAGCTATTACAAGCAATGCCAAATTAAAGCCAACATTATAACTCCCAGAAGCAATGCAAGTCATCCAATGTGGTTAGAAGTATCAGTTCCTGTGCTCTGCCAATAGACTTTCCATGAGGCTCTGCTTTCTTGACAAACAATCTGCAACTTTTAAATCCTGTGTAGAAAATTCCAGATTTTTATAACAAGTCTTTTTTTAAAATAAATAAATAAATAGGGAAATGGAGCTCCTAAACCACTTTATTTTTCATAAAACACCCAGAACAATTGTCTTGATATTGTTTTAAAAGTATGCTGTGAATGAGAATACCTGAAATTAAAGCACAGTCAATCTTTACAAGCTTGTAGTTGAACTTGTCCTGAAATGGGAATTGAAGGCATTTCCAAATTTTCAACAAACAAAATAGATTTCTACTGGATTAGTGACCAACTGCTAAAAGAATACTGTACAGGAAGATTTGGACTACTTCAACAAAACAGTTCATTCTGAAGAAGCACAGAACTTATAGCTATATCTTCATATAAATTGCTTACATTTGCATTAAGTGATAAGTCAAATGGGGAACTTGAAACTCAAACAAAAATTCAAAACATTAAGAGAAATCTTAGTCTTAGAGTGCCTAGATAACACTGAAAACTACATATATACAAACACATAGAATTACTCTGTATTTCTGTTCCAACATCTCCTGCACAAACTAATATGTGACACCTACAAGAAAAATCCAAGATTTCAGATGCACTGGACTTGCAGAAAATGAGTGAATTGATGCTATAGTATGCATGCATGATACACATTACTGAATCTCAGCAACCATTGGTGGGAATCAGACTTTGTTTGCAGATAAAAAAGATAAAAAAAAATTAGGTCCTTATTCAAAATGCTAAATTATACACAGCTGCTGATTTCTATGAGTCCTGATCATGTATTTGAGTTCCCTGCTGAACCTGTAAGTAGCTATACTCCAAATCACAGATTAAATTTCTTTCTCAGAATGTGTATGCATCAGCACAATTATTTGACTGTATATGAGGCTTTGAATTACAGAATACAAAATAAAAAACCAAAACAGACAAAAATTAGAAATCAATGAAATGTAATGTGAAAATAAATATTCAAGTTAATCTGAACTTTATAAGACAAGTTGCAGAAAGATAAGTGTAACTTACAGGTCATGAGATGCAGTATGTCCTTCTGAAAAGTAGGTATCTGATTTCTCATTCCATTGCTGGATCAGGGTATTTATCTCTGAAAAAACTTCCCTGACTTCCCTGTCATCTAGAAACTGAGACATTAAATCAGCTATGATTCTTTCAGGTTCCAAAAGGAGTTTCTGAGAGAGCCCACTGCTGCTGAACCATTGCTCAAATACCTAGCAGATTGAATGCAAAACAAAAACACACTTTGTTATAGAAATCAGAGCTTTCTTATTTAGCCAATACACAATTTGCATATGTTAAAAAAAACAAAACAAAAAAAAAACACCACAGAACAAAAACACACAACAAAGAATTAGCAATGATAGTCAAATTTTTCCCTAAAAAATTGTCTACACTCTGAAATGACTGGTCTCACTACAGTTGATTTTCAGTATAGTTTGGACTGACCTGCAAGTTGGCAATATAATGTGCCACAGAAAACTAACATCCTATATTGTGCTGTCCTTGCCCAAAGGCCCAGGAATGACAGAAAGGTGGCCCAAGACTGAAACCAACCAAAACCAAACCTTCACAGTGAATTACCCTGACTTGCTTTCCTTTACAGGGGTTCTGCCTACACTACCAAGAAGATGGAAGGCAGCAGCCTCAACATTTTTGCGGTCCCATTACACAAAGATGTGGAGAAGAAGCCTGTATGCTCCCATTGTGTAGCCTAGAATAAGGCATACCAAGGCCTAGCCAAGCCTACTGACTGCTCTGCTCTTCTCTACCATTACATTTTTTTAATGCCAAGTGGTTATAACAGATCTTCAGTATAAGAGATGTCCTGTTCACCAAGGGAATTCCCAGTGGCCAGCAGTTTACAATACTTCAAGTTGTCATGATAAGGATGTCAGCTCTTGCAAAGAGTTTTAAAACAAAGGCTGAAATTATTACTGGATTTTCCTACAGCTACAATAGGAATTAGCGCATTAGTTTTGGCAATCACATTAAGTTTTTACTTCAAGTCGTCACACACTAATAAAACCTATATCAAGAGCGAAATCAAAGGTTACATTATTGAGGAAATACATAGTAAACTTCGCATGCTTTCTTTAGATGATATTGCAGACAACTCCAGAGCAACTTGATACACAGTTGATTATTTTTATGGAAAAAAAAAAACATGTTTCATGGGGAAAAAAAAAACCACTAGCGTTAAGGCAGCTAGGTAAGTGTTTTCCTTAGAAAACATCGGAATGTTTTATCCTTTTCTCCATGCAACTACACATAGGTCATCATAGAGACCACATGAATTAAAAATGAAAAATCAATTAATTGTATACTATATCAGTGGAGGCCTGTAGTTCGCCTACAATTTTGCTCAAAATTCAGCCTCACTTGGGCCAGTAAATGGGTCTTCCGTCTGTCAGGCCTCTGCAGCGCAGTACATTTCACCATATTCCTTATTAGATTTCAAACCTGTATTTGAGTTAATGAGAAAATCTGATTAAGTGGACACATGGTGATAGATTATGCTTCCACTGTAATGTTTCTCTATAAAGATTACTTTGTCTTATTGGCAAGATGAAAAAAGCTCACAACAATAACATTTAATAGATAACTCAGATCTTTTAACTGAGTTACTGTTGACAGCCTACATGCAAAAATTAGGAATTTAATCTATTAATTTATTAAAGCGTACCTGTGCATAGAGTCTGAGCTTGCTGACAGCATGAACAAGATACAGTTTGGCCTCATGCCGTGCAGAAATACAGGCCTCTCTATTATTCTCTTTGCTTGCTTCATCTTCTGACATGCTGGACAGAGCAGAGCACACAAACTGCTCCAGTGTGTCTCCTGTGGGAATCTGGCAGGGACATAAGAAATGGATGAGTATCTCAAGAGAGATGCTGAGTGTTATCCCTGCTATCAACTTACTTATCTGGTGAAAAAAAAAAGAATATCACATAGCTTCCTTCAGTGAGAACAAACCCCATTTAATCCAGCCACATATTCTGGGGCACGTACTTCAAAGTACTCCACATACAGAGTGCTGTATAAAATACCAGTGGCCACACTAGGGTACTCATACAGCAGGCAGAATGATGGGACTTGTTTATACAGGTATTTTTCACCATGTATCTACACCAGTGTTTCTACTTCTACAGTCACTTGCAGGCTAGCGCTGAACTAACTTGATGATGTTACAGCACACCTACAAAAGGATTTTGCACTAGAATAACTATATCGAAGCAGCTTCAAGCTGTAAAAATTACCGATGCAAAAAGCATTCAATACAATGGTACATCTCAACCAACAATTACATGCAACAGACTAGTTTTAAATTGAAGTTGGCAGGTTTCAGCAGTGTGGACAAGAGGCCAGAATTTTTTCCTCATAGTCTGACTTCTAAATTCCATGTTGAAAGATTTATTATTCCCAATCATATAAATAGTATTAAAGCATACAAAAATAATTTTATATATTTTAAGTTTCCCTATTAATGTCTTTTTGAGATACTTTGCATTCTAACTCCTTTCAACTGTGACTAGAAAATTTATTAAAACCTTTGCAGATGTTTTGAAACTAAATGAGCTGGGGCATTAGATTAGAAGTGCTCAGAACAGACACTGTCCAGGCATCCATATTTCCCCTCATACTTTTTGAAGGTCTTCAATGCCCTAACCCAAGCACACAATATCAAGATATTTGTTTAAATAGCTAGCGAGTTGTCTGGAATTAGCCAACCATAGCTACCGGGCTGCAGCTGAATTCAATTCAGTTGATCAAACCAGCCATCACTGATATTTCATTAAAAGGCTACTGAAAGTCAAAGGATTTTTATAATTTATCCCTTTGTGCAAATCAGCTCTTTTTATAATGCAGTCTTCTGGAGTACAACTCTAGACTGTACCTGGCAAAGAACAAACAGATTTCAGATAAATACAAACATGTTCTATTCAAAAACTATGGACTTTCAAAAGATGTTTCAACATTTCTGCCTTTCAGATCAGACCATCACAGCAGATCACTTTGCTCTAGAACATACATAAGAAAACCCTCTCTGAGAAAAGAGATTTTCTTCAATATTTGACACTTCACCAGTATATTTGAATAGTTCCACTGAGACAAATCATCAGTCAAGTATATTCATAACAAGACTGCACAACTGAGAAGAAAGGAATCCTGACATGCCTTAAGTTACACACAGAAGAGACAGGTATTCTTTGTCCAGCAGACCAGATGAAAAATGATAGCTGCCAAATCCAGGCAGCTTCAAATTTCAGATTTAGTTTAAATATCTTAGTGGAGCAAATCCCAGAATTCTCTACAGGACTGGATAATAAACTCAGGACTTTGCCATACTCACTGGTGACTTCACAGAAGCATACATTCATTAATGTACACAACTAGATCTATCAGCATCTTCATGTGCAGAAATTTCAGCTGGAGCTAAACGCATTTATTTTGATGGGAATAAAGCCAGGATATTTATCAGTCTTGTAGCTGCTTCACAAATCTAAGATATGACTATAGCTTCTGTAAGGGATGAAAATCCCTTCAGGGTACAAATAAAAACAACGAGGAAAGAGAGGAACACTGAAATTTTTAAGTGATTTACCTTTGTCAATTGTTCTGTATAACTTAGCAGCTTCTCAACATGAAGATGATCAAACTTAAACTTGGATTCAAGTTCTGCTCTCACAGCATGTGGGTTCCACAAAATATCCCCAAGAGAAAGATTATACTGAAAACCTGAAAGAAAGGAAACCTGTTTATATCATTCCTGCTTTTTATTCATTTTGTTTCTTGATGATTTATTTTTGCAAGATGATTTTTTTCGGGGAAAAAAAAAAAAAGTGTGTACATGACCACCAATGTCACTAGGATAAATCCATTGCTGCATTAATAGTATGGCATGGTCCATTAATCTGATGGTTTTGTGACAGTTGATATGAAAATGGTGAGAAGCCCCTGCACAGTGATTGCCAGCAGACCTACCCAGCAGGGTGCCATTCTGAACTGTGCGTCTAATTCTACACATAGTCATGGAAATGTGTGTGTATGGGCTCGATATGAATCATTGCTGAGAGGGAGAGCACCAGGAGAGTACCAGAAGTCCCAGGGAATTCAAGTTCGCCCTCTGTACAAGGTCTCCAGAATATCACCTTTGTACCACTTCAGTCTTTGTTTTGAGAGGTGAAGTGAGATTTAAACTACATATAATTCTTAACCTGACCTTCCATGTAGAGCAGACAGCAGCTGCACATACAGTCTAATCGTGTGTCACCAGACAGTTTGCCAGTGAAACTTGTTCCTGACGTTTTGTTGAGGAGTTTTCCTAGGGCCAGCCTACTTTCTCCAATTAAAGTCATCTCCCATACTCCAGCACCAGATGGGAAAATGTAAACATTCAGCTGAGAGCAAAATTTAAGATAACAGAAGAATGAAGCTTAAAATAAAACAGCCATAATGCATGTCCAAAACAAGAGGCCATCCTTCCATCAAATGGAATAAATTGTCCATTGTAGTGATTTGGGCACTCTCCAAAATTCATTACTAAAAGATCATTCTAAACATGATATATTAGACAAAACGGGCTTTGTTTATCAAATAGTTGACAGAGTCCGATGAAATTTAGTTATCAGTATTTTAAAAAAGAGATTAATAAAGAAATGTGTTAGCACTACAACAACATAGTTCAATTCTTAGACCTTTTACATTAGATATTTAGCAGAAGGTCAGACAGTTACTACTATTACTTATTCCCAGCATGCTGACGAGGTACTCCAAAGAAAATCTGAAGCAAATTCCTTACCTTCTAAGCTCCTATCCTGTATTGATGCAGCAGTTAAATTCAGTGTTGTTTTCACTGCTTCATAGAAACTTTGGCCCAATGGCATCATAGCTAAATCCTTCAATGATGCTAAGGTACTGAAAGTACAATTTAAAAAAAAAAAAAAAAAAAGAGAGAGAGAGAGAGAAAGGGTTAAAAGTGAGAGCAAACATGAGAGGAAAACCACCACAAGTGTTCTCCTAGTTATCCCCACAATGTAGGATGAACACAGAATACTTATATTTTACTCTCACTCAATCTGCTGAGGAAAAAAAAACAAAAAAAACCCCAAACTTTTAAAGCAACAGAACATTTATTCTCACAACAAGTTAAATAAAGCACATTGCAGAACTCATTGATAAAATTGTATCTCCTGAAGTACTTCCAAGTCCCAGTCTCAGTCACCTTAGCTGTGAAACAAACTTCTTTGTTAAAGTAGCTGTAATTCATCACAAAGCTTGTCACATTTACCAGTTATTTCCTATAGAGTGTTCCTTTGTTATTTTGCAAATAAGAATCAAGTTTTGTTAGAGTGGATCAGCACTTTCCAACTATTTAACTTTGCTGAGCAGGTGTGAAAAGTGTCCAAGTACCTCTGAGTGACACTAAACATGGTACAGCCCAGGAAGTGGGAGAAGTAAATTTAGGAACCTTTCTGCTGACTAAATTCTGCCTGAGATAGGACATCTAGAAATGTATGTTAGTAATATGAAGCTAGTCAAGAAGGAGGAAATATTTTTTTGCGGTTTACTTTTCAAATTGCATTATAGCAAATTTGGTCATCGAAGGGCATCAAAGTCCTAATAAAAAGCAAAACCCAAATGTAAACATCTGAGTCTCCTCTTGTTAATCACTTGTGGGTTGACCCCAGCTGGCAGCCAAGCACCTACAGAGCTGCTCATTTGCTCCCTTCTCCCATGGGACAGGAAGAAAATAAAAGGAAGGCAAGACAACTCATGGATCAAGACAGTTTAATAGGTGAAAAAAAAGTTGCGTATGCAAGAAGCAAAGCTAAACATGGAATTTATTCACTACTTCCCATCAAGAAGCAGATGTCCAGCCACTTCCTGGAAAGCAGGGCCTCAGCATGCATAACAGTTACGTTGGAAGACAAACACCATAACCATGAACACCCTCCACTTTTGTCCCCTTCTCACTCTGTCTGTGCTGTAGGGTCAGCGTAGAGAAATCACTGTTGAGATTATATTAACAGGTTAATAACTTGACCCAGCACAGCAGCCAGTGGTTACTGTTACCTTTGCTTACTGCTGCTGAACAACACTTGGACTCTGAGAGTTTGCAAACCTTTCAGAAAAGACTTCTTCTTTTGGGATATATGCACTGCAAGCACAACTAATACCACTTTGCATGTTAATAGTTCAGAGAACAAGCTGGAATAAATTTACAAATGACTTAAGCATAAGGGGACAGGCAAAATCAAGGCCCAACACAGTTGCAATCTACATATTGTAATCAAGAGAGACTTATTTCCCAGGCTTTTTTTAAAAAGAAAAGCCATCATACCCTTCATAACTTTTTTATTAGAAGAAAAAAAAAAAAAAAAGTGGGATACTAAAGGTGACAGAATCATCACAGTAACTTACCATTCAAAGTCTCTGGGCCCCTGCCTCCCTGTGGGGTAAGGGTGGTAAAATTCATGGCTGGTCTTGCACAGTCAGCCATGTTCAGTGGCCTCCTCTAGCCTTAAGGATGTTAATTGGCTACAATGACAATCACCTATCAACCTATTACAACCAACTATCTACTCTGGCAAATACAGGTCTGACTTTTTCCTAACAATTCCCTTATTTTACTGAAAATTCCTGTAGATACTTGTCTTAGCTGTTCTTTTGATACTATGACTTCCTCTGAATCCAACTGTCCTTTACCCAAGGCAGAAAACTCACATTCAGAATACAGTCTCTGTGGGTTTTTTCTTACTGCTCCACTTCTTGCAAAAGAACAGCCAAAGCTATTTTGATAGCAAGAGGCTTGAGAAACAAAATGAAGTAATTTTCCTGATACTGACCAAGTGCTACATATATATTAAAGTAATTAGAATCCAAACTATTATTTTCTTATATTCATATGTAAATATTCTGTCTTTCAAAGACTTCCAAGGCACATTATAATTTTCAAAGCTGTATTATGTGATGGGCTAAATTCAGGCATTGCTAACATGAAGTTGGAGACCCCTAAGGAATCTCTGTTGAGTTTGATGGAGATGAAACATACAGTTATGAGGAATCAGAATGGGTGAAAACTCCTACCATACCTCTTATAAAAGCAGAATCCAGTAAGCAGAAGAAAATTCCAGCTTCTTTACACCAATAAGGATGCTTGCTTTATTAAATAGCCAGTGAGAAGAACAAGAATCACAAGTAAAATAGTAAAGCACTTTCAAGAACGTAAAAGTACTTACTTTTCAATAACTTTTAGGAACTGTGCTATGGCAGCTAACTCATCTTCTGTATAAAAGGTGTTCAATTCAAGGCGAGGGAGTGAATGTAGAAGGTTCCAGAAATATGGTTGCTTGTACAGGTTTTCTGCTCTAGAAATCATTTCCTCTGCTTCATTCAAATCCATCTTTATGTGAAGAAAATACACTTCCATTAACAGAAAAAAAATAGCAGGTGTGTGTTATTTCCCCTACCCTCTTGAATTTTAAACATTTAAAATATTTTTTTTCAAGTGGAAACTTATCTCTAGCTTTAGTAATTCACCAGATCATTCTGATGGTACTTTGATCTTATGGCAGCTTTGTTTTAGATGTCTTTCTGTGCTCCAATAGAAAATGGGGCTGGGAGAAAAGCCAAGCAACCTCTTTCTGCTCAGAACTGTAACTCTTTTCCCAAAGAGAAGGATTATCTTTGAGATCTCAAACACAAGGAACTCTCTAGCCCTGCAATGAATTTCTAAGTTTAGTGTATAAAGACCAAGGTGCTGCCAGGGACATGCCATCCTTGCCTCACAGCTCCTTGGGGGATATGGAGCGGGTGTCAAATAATAATTGATAAGCATGACTCTAAAGATGAACTGACTGTTGTAAAACCACTTCTTTTGTAGGACTACATTTTCAGATGCCTATGCAAAATACAGGATCCCTCATACTTGTTTATTACACAGTCCTTGTTTCTCTAAATTAATGTTTCACTAAGGTTCTTTTAGATAATGGTAACAAGTAGGGTTTATACAAAAAGAAGCTTGTGTAAGCAAGCTCTGTTACTAATAATGATAGTCTACTTTCAACTAAATATTTTTAATGTTGATAAATACATGCCTTCTATTTTATATTCCATTCCTGAAGTGGAATTTCATATTGAGACAGCTTCTTTCAATCCAGTATTTCATGAGGAATTTAAAAATGTTACTGTAAAAATGCCATCTGATTTCAAATTATAAATTGGAAATCTAGGTTTCATGAAGTAGCACTTACAATCAATCAAATATGGAGAAAATTACTTGTAAAATATTTTTGAAGTGAAACAAGTGATATGTGAAGGGTACAAAATTGGCAGTAATGGAGATTCACTACTGTGCCCATTCAGCCTTCCTCTTTCTGTTGAGATTTCAAGGGAGAAAGACTAATGCATTAGAGACAGCACAAAGACCAGACTCATTCCACATAAACTGCCAAAGAGATTCTGGAAGGAATTATTATCTTGCAAATCTGTCTTCCTTCACCCCCACTTGAGTCTACTTGCCATGTTTACTGGATCACAAATCTGAATTTAAAGTAATCTCATCCAAGGAAGAACGTCATCTTCTCAATCTCACAGCAGTCCTCTTATAAGTTTTGGGTTGGCTTTTTTGTTTGTTAGTCTTTAATAAGAAGTACACATTAGGGTAAGAGTTCCTTACAAGACGCTTTGTAACATTATTTTATATAGCTACACAAGGTCTGGCAGATGCACTTTTAAATTGCTCTTAATGAGCAACTAGCCTTCAAGTAGCTGTAGTCTTTAGCTACTAACAACCTAGACTGGTTTAAATCAGTAATCTAGGCATCCCTGAATTTCTATCAAATTTACAAGACATCATTTTTTCCATCAACAACATATCAATATTTTTAAAAGATAGTTTACTGAAACTTGACAGGATACAAGTTTCTAACCATTATAATAAAGATGCCTCAAAATCCAGAACAGTAATTTAGAAACAGACTGTAAAAATACTTACAGCAAGAAAAGTAGTGATGTTATGGAGCCCTGTAAAATCAAACATTTTTCTTTACAGCGAAACTTTATTAACTTCAGAAAAATCAGGTTTTAAGCAACAGTAAACAGTGCACAAAGTCCATTTCTACAGGAGTAAAGGCATGTGAAAAAACTGATACCCTAGAAAGATAACAATCCACTTGATTTTCTGTGCTTTCCAATACTTTTAGTATTATCACCAAAAAAAATTAAAATAAATTGCTTATCATTAACTTTTCAGTAAGCCAAAACGATCACATCAACACTAGATGAACGTACTAGCTCCCAGACAGCCAGGCATAAAAATGACTGTTTTGCCTAGATCTTTCTTCTTGACAACTCAGCCAGAAAGGCCGGGTAGTAGTAGGTCTTAAAAGCCCACCTGCTAAAGCATCAAGGTTTCACAACATGGGTGGAAAGAGAGCAGGAGCATCAGACCTCAGTGTCTCACTCTTTCAGTGCAAGACTGACTTGTTTGCCTAAGCATCACCAGATGTGAGCTACTGAGGTTTTCTGTCCCTATACTCTCTAGTAACAGAAAGACCTGGGAAGAAAGACTTTAGTCCTGATAAATTACTTTTGAATGCATGTTAGACCAAGTAACCATGTACTCAGATTATTAATCCTTACATTTAAAACTTTCCCCTCACAGTATATCATTAACTATCAAGTAGTAGAACAAGGGCACAGTTTTAGAAAGCTAACTTTTGTTCTGATAATTAATTTTATGATGGACACAGTAATAGCAATCATAAAATTGGCTTTTTTTCAGAGCTGCTTAAAATTTTAGTTTTTCATTTTATTTTTAAGATAAGAGTTTTCCTTTGTTTGATGGTTATCCCTACCTGATAGACAAAACAATTCATCATTAGAAAGATCACAGTTTACCTGAGAACTTTGAGTTTTCCTCCCATAGCTTTTCTAAAGCCATGGCTTTCTCTGTGGTCTCAATAAATCCCTTTGCAAGTTCTTCTATCTCTTTCATGAAGTCTAGATCAGGTCCTGTGAATCTCCCTGGTCCACTTTGGATGCCTGCAGTACTTTTTCACAGAAAGAAATGGGACAGGGGAAGTAATTGTAAACTGGAATCAAGTACCTGAAAAACGTGTATATACTTATGGCAGTATTCTGATTTGGTTTTTAACTACTATATATTTACACGAGTTTTATTTAGTTCATTAGTATGCAAGTTGCAGCACTGAATGTCAAAACCTCAGGAAAGAGGGCAAGGAAAAATTGCTGAGCTAGAGCCGCTCACTTATGACAGTAACCCAGTTCTGCCAAAATCAGATGTATCCAAAGAAGTCTTTGATGTTTCTGGACACACTCAAGTCTTCTCCCCTGGTTTATCATGAGTCCAAGTGATAGTTCTTTGATGGCCTGTACCCTGAAGTAAAAGCTTTCCTATTGCATCTAAGACAACATGCTGTAACCAGAACAGGTAAGTTGATCAATGTCATCAGATGAAATACAGGTAAATCCATCTTTCTTCAGGGCCAAGAAAGTGATGGATTTCTTTTTTAATTAGTTTACTAACCAACAGAACTATGATAACAATTCCACCACCTTAACAAAAAAGCATCCACTCTAAAAAACATATACTGATTCCAGATGACATGCTCCTCAAGGTACTTTTCTACTTGAAAAGTGAGAAGAATGGTGTCTCTGGATACATATTTTTCACAGAATCACAGAATCATCTAGGTTAGAAAAAACCTCGAAGATCATCCAGGCCAACCATTAACCTAACACTAACAGTTCCCAACTACACCATATCCCTCAGCGCTATGTTGACCCAACTCTTAAACACCTCCAGGGATGGGGACTCCACCACCTCCCTGGGCAGCCCATTCCAACACCCAGCAACCCGTTCTGTAAAGAAATACTTCCTAATATCCAGACTAAACCTTCCCTGATGCAACTTGAGGCCATTCCTTCTTGTCCTATCGCTTGCTACTCGGTTAAAGAGACTCATCCCCAGATGTCTGCAACCTCCTTTCAGGTAGCTGTAGAGGGCGATGAGGTCTCCCCTCAGCCTCCTTTTAGCTTATGCTGACTCACAAACTGTATAGGTTTTCCTAACAACAGACGCTTTCTGTGTGTATCTGGGATATGACAGCTTCTTTTTCCAAATACATTCAACAACCTGTAAAAATAGTATCCTATTATCACTATTGGTTTTCCCCCGATTTTAGTTTACAGCTAAAGCCCTGGTACATGACCTTTCTATATAATCCCTATCATACTCCATCTGGTGGCTACTCAACAGCACCACCATTTTCTAACAATACTTTCACGATTAACTCAGAAGTCAGTCATTTAAACATCTCTTTATAGGTCAAAATTAATTAGACTCTCCTAAGGCATCATAAACAATAGAATAATCATCTTCAATGTGTTACTAAGCAGTTGAATTCTGGTTTATCTTATAAACAATAATTGTTCAAACAATATTAGAGTGAAATCCTGTGTAGCCAAAATATTGCTATTTTTCATTAGAAGCACAATTAACTGTCACATAAGCCCCATTTACAAAAATATAATAAAATATGTTCCTTCCTTGTGAAACATACATGTAAATATTAGTTTTCAGCCCAGTTCATACTTACTAGTAAAGAAAAACCTAATAAGTTAGATTCACAAACCAAAGCAAAACATCAGCCACTACTTTCAAAGTCTCTCATTTCTCTTTCTCTCTCTCCCTAATCCTCATTTGTTTAGACACCCACAGAGCTGTCTGCAACTTTAAATTTAGGGACAAGGAGAAAATTTAATCTTAAAACAATCAAATTCTTGATTGTTTCAGTGCAGATTATTTTGATTCCATCTTGGCTGACAACCAATAGTAATTTGAAAAACTCTTTCACCAACCTCAGACTCAATGGATTAAAGGCAGAACAATCCTCTCCACATTTTCCCCCCCATTTTAAATGAAGTTTAAAAAAAAAAACAGGTTTCTGTTGTTCAGAGGGCAGTTTTTAGGATGATCAATAGCTTCAATTTAGCTATTGCTTTTGAAAACTATCACATAAATTCCAATATTACTAACACACCTACTGCCTGAAATTTCAGCTAGAAACACTGGTATTTGGCAAAGACCAGGAACACTAACTACAGACTGAAAACTTTCTAGCACTTTGCTTTTTGAGCATGAACAAGTGGTCAGAATGACAACCACCACATTAGTGAAAACACAGATCCAGTAGAATTTGAAAAAACAATACTCTGGCTCAGTTTCCACATGATTTTCCACATTTTTTTTCCAAAATTCAGAGAAGTGCAGCATAAAGGCAGTATTTCAACCCACATTGTTTTCCCTCCAAACCACACGTAAACCTTGCATGCCCATATACAAATCTCCCAGTTTTGGAAGCATTGCAAAAAAATAATGCTTTAGGGAAAAAGGACACTTTCATTCACATAGGAGCGTATGACTGGGCTGCAGGGCTGTTGGTGCTGCCCAGTCTCCCTGCCAGCAGCAGGTTGGACAATTAACAGTGACCGGGGGAGTCATTAACACACTCTCCTCTACCCCCATAACTGACTGCTATACCTCGGATTTGCAGAGCTTGGTTTGATGAAGTACAGGAGAACAAAAATCCACTCTTGGCACCTAATTTTATGTTATAGTCACCTACCTGTTTGATATATAGCAGAAGCACGCTTGATAACACAGGCTGAGTTGTGTCAACATTAATTGCTTCTGTTAATCTGAATCTCTTGTGAGTAATCCCGGCCCAAAAACCATTCAGCCTCACATTGCACAGAGCAACAAGCAGTTCTCAGAGCAAGCAGGTAGCTAGCAAATTTAATAGATAATCAAAGTCCTTTCAGCAGTAGCTTTTGAAACAAAAGGAAAACTGAACTCCAACACCCCCCAATTTGAAGGATGAAAAATGCTGTCTGCTTTTGATCACTTAGCTTCAAAATGTTTCACCAACAGCCGTAAAGCTTCCTTTGAACTAAGACATTGGGCAAAAGGCTTCAGGTCATGTCGTCCTGTGCTCCCACTGTGCGAGGCAGCAGCAGCAGCCTGCTTAGCCCTCCTGCTCTGCCCCTTGCCCAAGCAGGACAGTAAACTCAGCCGGGCTGTCCCTTCAGCGTCTCCAGGCCTGTGGGGTGGGGAGACAAGCTACTGCCCTGGCGAGAGGTCCCATAGAGTACACAGGGAGGGACTGGGGAAACGTTAAAGAAAACAGCTGGCAGCACTCAGAGCATGGTGGCTCTGAAGAGCCCCGTGGAGAAGTGCAGGGAAAAGCAAGTCAGTGGTGAAACTAGAGAGTAAGCTGGGAAACAGTAGGGGTGTGGAGATATTTAAGGTATGAGAGAAGGACCAAAAACCATTGCATAAGGCTTCCATTGCAGATGAGTATGTGCAACCTGAAAAACTCATAGAAAGCCTCTCAGCAGGACAACAGCAGTCATTTGGACGTGCTGTTTCTTCACTGTTAGCTTTATGGGGATTTCCAGGGCAGGACCAATGTCAGCCAGCTGCCACTGGTGTCCTTTTGCTGTCATTGCCACAGCCCTTCCTCTGGTTACTCTTGGAACTGAGCTCAATCTCATTTGGAAGAGGAAATAGCAACAGGCATTATATTAGTTATTAGGCTCAGTTTTATGAAATAGATTAATATATTACAGAAGTTCCACAAAGCCCCAGCTGTGCTGGCTCCCATTCTGCACTATCTTAGGACATCCTGGAGATATGACATCTGCATCAACACCAATACACATGCTGGACAATAACCTGCTGCATGTCTGTCACAGAAGGATCTTTCCCCTCCATCTTGCATACCACTATAAAGCTTTTAAAATGCAATGGATCAAAAAATACAAAGGACTAAAAATTACAAACCACAAAAAAAAGTGGTGTTCTTAATTGGCTATAAAATGGAGAAATCTCATGTTTTAAACCCCTTTTCTCCCCAACTCTGTGATAATCTATAAGCAAGATCATGAAAATTTCTTAGTTTTCTCTTTTCCAGCTACATAGCACAAGACTACAAAAGATGGCCCAGACCACACAGGTTACTTTTCCAATAAGCTTCTGCAGACATACAGTTGTCTTGCAGAATTATTTTTTTTTTTTTTTTTAATTTGAGGATACAGATTTAAAGAAAAAATTGACCCTCTAAGCAATTCTTATGCAAATTCTATCATTGTTTTGTTTTTTCAGACCAGCTCTTGTACATGAGCTCTTCTGATACTTCTCCACTAGAGAACCGCAGAGGCCCAAGTATCAGTAAAACCAGTAACGAGCCCCAGTATGAGTGGGGCTGCTCCAGGAGGGGGTCTAATCTAGGAGCTGAGGCAACTCTAGAGAAGGCCAGGCCCTCACAATCCCCAAGGATCCTAGCCAGGAGGCAAACCTGGCAGTGGGTCACAGGCTCCAGCAACAGCCCCAACACGACAGGATGTGCCCAGGAATCAAGTCAGGTGCAAAAGGAGACAAAGCTACCACATGGATCTAAGTAGTTAATCCAGAAGAAGATGCCAGACAGACCTGGTGCTCCAACACACCTACAGGGTAAAGCTGCTCAAGCTGCTACTACTTGTAGCTAAATAGAAAGAAATAAATTAACGTGCTTAAAAATAGCATTCTAGAATCTTGGTTTTGTCACCTTTGTAGTTCTAAGTCCAAGAAAACCTAGGCTTAATTTTCTTTTAGGTATTGAGAACTCTAACAAACATAGATCTCGGAGTCTGAGCTGCAAGAGTAAATCTCACATTCTGCAAGATTTGCAGTGAAATTAAGAGTGCTAAGAATATGTTATGTTTCCATGCACATGCACTCTTGTTTGTGGGTATAAGGCCATAGGACACTGTACTGCATGGCTTTTATCTTATTTTCATGCTCTTAATTTTACTCTGTGCTCCATTAAGATGAGGTGGGGGGTTCAACATTCTGGAAAGAACAGGGAAAAACATCATTTGCCATGGAAGCTCCTAAATATTTCCTTACTCCTCTGAAATACTGCTGGGTGTAAAAGTCAAGGGAATCAGAGCTGCAAGACAGCAGCTTCTGCAGTAGCTGAAGAGAAGAGCAAGGAGCAAGGCCTTGGAGCTGTTAAAAAATGTACGTTTTCCAAGGCATCAGAGGAGGTGGCAGATTTTGCTGCAAATCAAAGTTAATGAGGTAGTTGTAGCCTTCACCTGGCTCATCTTCTCACCATGTTGGAGGCTGTTAATTGAGCCTGGTGCCTGAGGGGATGGCAGCACATCTATGAGACCAATGGCCTGCACCAGGACGACTTCAACCCCTGGCACAGCTCGCCTCAGGAGCAGCCCTGCTCAGGCTGCACACTGACAAATAGTTATTTGAGCGGTTTATAGCTTTCACAGTGGAGGTTCCAACAGAAGTCATAGAATTACTTTTTCCAAAAGATAGCAACTATGTTTCAAGTGATAACACCCATGTAGCACATACTGTGAAAACAAATTGGTTGTGTCCATGCAAACTATGCACAGTCTTTAATTTACCTTTAATAAACACATTGTTGATGCAAAAATGACCCTGAAAATTATTATAAAGAACCACCTACGGTTTGATATAAATCCTAGAAGGGAAGATATTTGATATTACTGTTCCAATGCCATCCCTTCTCTCCAGTCAACACTGGGACATTGTAGGATTCAGTTGTTTAGCTGATCACGTTGACAGTTGGTATTCCTAAGGCTGTTGGCAGCCTGCATAAATCAGAGCAGCCCTGAGGCTGATTTAATTTATACTGATGGACCTGCTGCAACAGACTGACCTCAGAATGAACTTCATCCTACCTTTTTACCCCTTTTCTTTACCTAGGCTATATGCTACTCAGTGTAGCCTACTGGGTGTACAAATATACAACACATGCATGCATTTTATTTTTCAGCTGAAAAACTGAAAGCCACTGAATAATTTCTCCAATTCTTAAGTAGGTCTAAGACTGCCTCCAGGAAATTATTTCCTACTTTTTATTTGAGCTGAAATATAATTTGGACAGTTCAGTTAAAGCTGTGTAAATAATCATGCAGAGCAGTCAATATAGGTCACAGTTTCTAGAGGTTAAACACACTTCGATGGCATCTGGACTAGTGATATAAACAAGAAAACTATCCTTTCAGGAAGCATTTTTTTAAAAAGCCAACAGTTACTGTAACCCTATAACCCAGTAATATAATATTGCCACTGCAGGTAACAGGCTACAGGCTTTGTCCTGAGTTTGCAAGACCATGGCACAGAGGCTTGCTACCTTTGCTTTGTCTGCCTGAACTTGACCTAATATGCCTGTAATTTTGGCTTTGACTTGGTTTAGTGTTTGTTTGGTATTTTTTTGTGGTTTTTGTTTTTGTTTTTGTTTTGTTTGGTTTTTTTTTCGTTTTTTTCTTTTTTCTTCTTCTTCCCTGGTGAGATAGCTATGGCTATTTGATTTATTTTCATTTGTCATTATATAATGCCACCATAGTTTTATACAGACAGTAGTAACAAGTGATCATCTATGCAAAATGAGATATTTATGATTAACATAGTAAAGCAGTGCAGAGGAACACAGGCCCAGTATAATAGGGGCCTTGAGAAGTGGGGACACAGGATGCACTGTACTGGAGTACAGGTCCAGGATGATAAGAGATGGGGCACAGGCTGGCACTGAGGATCCCATGGCTCAAAACAACTCACCAGTAGCAAGTTAAAATGCAGAACTATAGCTGGACAAAACCAATGTATATGTATCAGGAAAAAAGAACAGGTATCTAACACGAAAAGGACACCATATATATTCAGAAGTACCCTATAAATGAAGATGATTCATAGAGATGCAGACCAATGGATACCAAGCAAGGTATAAAAGCACATTGGCAAACATGTGACCTCAAGTGCACCCTAGAGTGAAAAGAAGTCATCACCACTTGCCATAACAACCCCACCACCGCCAGACTGCAGCCACTGACCTTATGATTCAGAGCAGCAGTGGAAAGGTGAGCATCACCCCAGTGAAAGGAATGGAAACTAAGTGGTTGTGTAACAATTTTAATTGTATTATTTGGATAATTTTTGTTTAGGGATATTACTGCAATACTGCTATTTCTGTATATAAGTATTTTGTGTAATAATAGATCTGGACTAATAATGATTTGTGGCTTAAACTGTTAAGATTTTAATTCTACTAACAAATTACTGCTTTATGTAAAGGGGTTTGCTCATATATAAGCTTTATTTTGCACAGCTTTATGCTCAATCAACAGTTCTCTACATGTATAAATAACTAGAACACACTGTCTAGATCAAACGGTAAGTATTATGGCCTATTACTGTTATACTGAGACTTGCCCACTTGCTGCATGCTGAAGTTGTTGCTACCTATAAACCTCTACAATAATAAACCATGAAAACCTGATGCTCTTTCACACTTACCTAGCTTAAACCTCTAGGATCTTTTTTGGTAGATACTCTCAATTTTCTAATAATAAACATACTTACATACACACATATATTCTGATTAGCTCACCTTAATTTGATTTTATTGTTATATAATTTGAAAGGCTGTTTACAACTACCTGCGTCAGCCAATTTTCATGTGTCTTGGAATCTCAATGCTTTTCAACATTTTGAAGTAGAAGCTGTTACTACATTTCTTAAAGAAAAAGCCCAAATTCAAGTTCATAATTTTTCTTTCTGCATTTTGGGATCCTGTGACAACACTCTCTTACAGACTACTTTTTCAAGTTCTTTTTATTACAGAGCTTCTGCTACTCTTTTTGGTTCTTTGTTGGTCTTACTCAAGTTATCCTTGTTTTGCTTTTCTGTGTTTACTTCTCCCACTATGTACAGTCCCAAACTACTCAAAGTTTAAATCCATGTATGACACATTTTGTTGCTCAATCTCACCCTCATGTAATAGAAGACTTTCTAGTGAAGGATAAAAGTATGGTCTCATATGTCAGCAGTGAAGAGTAAGAATATCACATGGTACTCCTCCAGTTTTCCCCAAAACCAGTTTTCAGTACCTAATAACAGCATGAAATGCCCATGCAAGGCAAACAAAAATTAGGAAGAGACATGATTAAGGACCTACATCTTTTGCATTCATAAGGACACTGAAGGAAACATTTACCACAGAGTGACAAAGCTCCTATTCTACCTGCTACAAGGCAATAAGAACCTTTGCTGTAGGAAAGGATACACTGTGATACTGACAGCTCTGTCAAATTAATATAACTTACCTTAAGCGGTTGTTTTTCTGTGTTGTGTAACTAGTATTCTTGCATCTTGAACCAACATTACAGAAAAGGGTCTGCATGAAAGGATAAAGGCCCCGACTCGGTAAATCCCGAGCTTCTAAGTAACCTAAAACCAAGTAGCGGCAGAATTAAAACCAGTGACATTTCAGTTACCATCACACCATGTTCCCTTCTAGAAAATGGCTTTGTCACCTGAAAACAATGAGGTTGTATCAATGGCAGATGTCCCATTTAAGAACAACTAATTGATGACAAAATTAGTAACTTCTGTGTCAGACTGTAACAACAAGGTATTAGATTTCAGAGCAGCCTTTGAAAACTGGTTTTCATGGTAGTAACACCATTGCAACATCATATGCTTGCTAGCCTCTCTGCCCAAAATTACTTATGACCCAGATTAGAATATAGATTTCTTCATAAAATAGTATTTCCTCTTTCCTCCCAGGCTTTCATGAGATGAAGAACTAGTATTCAGCAATGTCCGAATGTATAACCATCAAGACTGTCTAAACAGCAACTTTTTCATATCTCTGGAATTTATCCATATCTCTCCATAGTTCTGAGAATTTAAACTTCAAAATATAAATCAACTTTTTCTTTATTTTGAAACATAAGGATAGCTATAGGGTTCCTATTTAACTGAATTTCTCTGTTTAACACAGCTTAAATTATGAAATACCTGAAAAGTCATTCCTCTCTTCCTCTGGATAACCTTCTTGTCAATTATTATGTCAAAATTAAGGGAATAAAACAAGGAGATAAAGCTAGTATTTGGGCTAGCACTCATTGAATATTCAGAATCAAAAGATGCAGAAGTGGGGAATTTACTACATGTACATGATACTTAAAATTCTAATTTTATTTAAGTTCAGGTGCCAATATTTGAGACATGTAGCATTAGAAACTGCACTGTTACTCAAATCATCTTTCACTTCTCAGGAACTCTGCCTGATGTATAAAACAATGAATTTTGAGTTGTGAATGACCAGTTCTATTTGCAGATGAGTTATTTTTACTTAGCACAGTCCAGTTCATATTGTAGAAAGCTCTCTGATCCCATACACTGGATCCCTTTCTGTTAAAACAAAGCAGAAGTACTAACAGAGCACACTTTATGTACTCAAACCATTAGCATGCATTGCATCCTAGTCCAGACTAGAGCTAGTCTAAAGTAAATGTATATAGGGCAGGCTAGATTCTTGCCAGATGCTTCACTCTACAGATCTGTAATTGTTTTACCAAATTGATTTCTAATGTAGCTAAAACTGGTTCATCCCCAGATTACTGATATCAGTGAGTAACAGAATAATAAACTGAATAGGCTCCAAAATCATGTCATTATTTTCTCAATGAAGTTAACATTGGACAAGATAAAAGCAAAAAGAACTTTATAAGGTGCAGGTAGTCATAAAAACTTCTGAAATGCTGATGGAAATGGAAGAATTTATTATTTACAAAATGTTCATTCTAAATCCCAGGAAATGAGTAGGGAAAAGATTCATACATTAATATATACTACATAATTATCTACCTCCAAGCCAGTCATCTAAACTCCATTACTCAATAGAAAGAAATAAGTACAAATAAAACCAAAGCAATCCACCTTACTCCAAAGTAAATGTCTAAAACTGGTCTGACAAATCAGACCTTAAACTTTGTATTTCTTTCCTGCCTAAATATGACTCAACAAGATTCACTCCCACTATAGGATTCTTTCCTTTGACTCCACTACATTTAAGTCCCCCTTTCTAGGATATCTTTAATATTTTCTAAATACTTCTTCATGCAGAGGCAACCAAAATAGAACACAGGTGAAGCAAAACATACAGTTTTCCTTGTATTTTGGGGGCTCCTGCAAGCGGATTGCAGCCAATATCAAGAAAAGTACACATGGCCAGAGTATCTCACTGAGAGACAGGATCTGAAAAAGGAAATCAAAACATTGTCAGTACTATAGAAAACAGGATTGTGGAATAAATCATTAAAATTCATATATCTTTTAATTAAAAAAAAAAAAAAAATCCCCTCTACAACTACTTAGAGGAAAAAAAAATAATTGAAAGAAAATTAGTAATTAAGACTATTTAAAATCTTAAAACTGCCAAATACACTGCCTTCAGAGTGCAAAAGTAGTTTTCAATTTGTCTATTTACAGTGTTTGTAGATATTTCCCTCTGGTCAACACATTGACTCTGACAACATGAAGACAGCAGCATCCAGCTTTCCCATACCTGAGCCTTCTCAGAAGCCAGCAGCATTCTGCACCTTGCTGCAACTGCTCCTGCTCCCTGAACCCTGCCTGATAGCATACCTCCTTGTCCTTACCTGGCTCCCTGAGTGCTGCCATTGCACCCTTGCTTTCACCTGCAGTCACTTCTCTCCAAAAGCTACCCTTGTCACCTCCAGCAGCAGGGTGTTATGACAATAAGCTAACGGGCCTGAGGCTGACCACCACCACTCATTTCCCCACCTTCCCCTTTCCAGGACCACAGTGAGAAGGCACCCAAGCTGGTGTACAGAGGGACTCACAGGTTTTGAGCATGTCTCCTCTGAACAAATTGCATGTACACAGTATGTGCTTGGGCAGGCAAAGAGATTACACAACCCCCCAAATGAAATGCACAAAGAAAAAACAAACAAAAATAATTTTCCCAATTTTCAGTTGAAAATAAAAGGAACTGCCATTCAACCAACTTTCAGAAGACTTAACAGATTCACTCATACAAGTGCTAGGAAAGTGTGAATACCAAACTCAGTAATAGAAGTGTAGAAATCACAAAGAACCACACTAAAGATCTCCCATTAGAGACTATTAACTTCTCCATAGCATATTGAGGACTTTTATTTCTAAACTGTCAGAGTTGAATCAAATCCCACTGGGGAAGCAATTTCTAAACTTGTGCATGTTAGAAAAATACCTGTGAAAGTAACATAATACTTAAGAACAAAACTCAATGGCAGAGTCTTTCCTGTGGAAAGACTGCTGAACATGAGGCAAGGAACTAAAGGCTTCCTAAAATTTAGGAAAATTGACATTTTTCTAAACTGAACACACTCCAAACCCAACGGGAGCCAACAAAACAACAACAAAAGCAAGACCCAGTGCTTTCAAAGTTTTAAGGAGCAGTGAGGGCCAGCTGCTCCCTAAGGCACAGGGTGCCATACCTGGTAACACCTCCCAGCAGGGCAGGGGCTTCACCAGCTGGGGACCTGTCCCACAGGATGCCCCAAGGAGAACAGGGCAGGCTCAGGCCTCCCAGCCAACTTCAACCAGGAGTCCAGATCTTCAGGCAAGGTCACAGTGATGAGGTATGACCACAGGCAAGGCAGAAAGGCAGTGGCCAAACACAAGATCTGGGCTGGAGAGCAGTGTTCCTCCAACTTCATCCAGACAGGAGCTGAGGGCCCAGAAGCCCCATTTCAGCTGAGTCTCAGGCCCAGGTGAGGCTGGTCAGGGTCACTAAGGCTTAACAGTGCCCCCAGGGCCCTAGCAGCAGCCTGTGGCCATAGCTCCCATGTGGGATGAGAGGGCCCTTGCTGTGATGGGGTGCCATTGTTGCTGTGGGCTGTTTTGGGGTGTGGTGTGGAGCCAGGTACAACAGATGAAGAAAGGGACACTGGAGAAGAGGTTTGGAGGAGGTGTTACCAGGATGCCCATGAGCGGCTGGAAAGGGTCAAGTCTGCCCCCAGGGACACACACCACTACCACCCCCCCAATGCCAGTGCTGGGAGAAGAGACAGAGGGAAGGTCTCATAAGAAGCTTGGGCAGGTGGTTAGGGCTGTAGGAAACCAGAGCTTGGGGGCAAGGGTGATGCTTATGGGGAGAAGGCCCTGAACAGCCACAGGCTGGGTTCCCTGGAGCTCACCTCAAGGCAACCTAAGCTGGAAGTCAGGGCACAGCACCAGACAGCTGCTCCTGAAAGGGCAGGGAGCCAAAGGGGATGCCAGGCCAGCAGGGTCCTTGCCAGGCAGGGCAAGTCCTGCAGTACCCCAGCAAGGCAAGTGGGATGAGCAATAGTGACCCAGTTCAGCTGAGAATCTGAATCTCCAGGTGAGTCTGCAGTGGTGAGATAGGTCTAAGGTCAAGCCAGGAAGCAAGCATGTAGGCCATAGTCACATTCAGTAAGAGCAGCCAGACTCAGACAGGAAGGTACAGACGAACCATAGACTACCACTCCTACTGAAGGCCTCAGACTGAGTTTAAATAGTAGCAGGCCTGGGTATGTTGGTGAAGGCCCCAGGTGAGGCTGTTCAGGGCCATTAAGACCTATCAGGGCCCTCAGGGCCCTGTGAGCAGAGCTGTGGGTGTACTTAGGTATTCACTTGATAATGTCCTCTAAATAGGATAGAGCTACTTATCACCTGCCCTTCCTTGCTCCTACTCATCTTTCTGTAAACTAAAGAAGCCACTTGGGTTTCTGCATCATGGGGACTATCTCTGGGCAACTTGTGGACTAACAAAAGTCTTCTTATTTCAAGCCTGCTCTTCCACTCTCTAAAACTCTTACCAGAGACTTCCTTTATCCTTGCAAACAGGTTGAGCATAAATAAAATTGACTCAGTAGCTTCCAAGTCTATTGTACAATATCCAGAATCACATTGTGAGCCCTGGGCACTCAGTTAACTGTGCCAGCTTTTTGCTCTCTTGGTACAACAAAACACAAATTCATGTAAATGAAATCATGGTGAAGAGCCACCACAGCTAATTCCAGGCAGCTCTACTTCTGAAAGCCCAAGACTGGACTCCTGGCCAAAACAAGTCACTGGTTGTCACCTACCACCAAAAAACCTTGAGGTTCTTCTCTATATTTAAGAAGAATTCACCATGTAGGAAGAACACAAATGGTTTCACCTACTGGCTCAGTCATCAGTGTCCAAACTGTTAGTAAAATAGCTAGTCTTATTGTATAGAGCTAAATCTAGGCCTTACAAAAAAAGTTGTGATTTTGGAGAAGCATTCCACTAGTATGCTTATTGGTGAGAGTACCTCTTTGGTCAAGGAAATCCAACATGTTACTTGTAATTTGTAAGAAGGTTACAAGCAAAATATGCAAGGGATTTAATATGTTGGTAAGAGGGATTTATTTGTGCTACAAAGCAGAGAATGGATAGACTTGAAGACTTTTAATCATTACAAGGGCTTTCCCAGAGAGATAGAACAAATTTTATTAGATGTCTCTAGAGAAGTAGACCTTGGATGAAAAATATCACACTATCTTATCACTAAAACTCTGGAAGAGCATGGTACTAGCACTGTGGGATGCTTCTGAGCTTGTACAAACAGCTTTATAGGAGTTATGGAAAGATTCTACTTGCTTACCACAACAGAAAAGCAGAAAACATATTGTGTTTCCCATTAACTGAATCAAAACAAAACCCTACTAATGGAGAAACAAATTTCCCATCAATTAAGAATATGGCAATTTTCTGACTGCAAGATCTACTTTGGTTCACCCAACAAATATAGAAATACCCTCATTCTGGACCTTCTTTTTTCTTACCATTTCCCTTATTAGTGTGCATTAAGGACCAGTCATTTATATTTAAGTTAGCTATGAAATTAATTGGACTTTCTCCATTGACACTCCCTTTGGTATACCACAGCAGACCACCAGAGTCCCACTCCTGCAATTTTCACAGGGTGTTATATATCACTTGGCCTAAAACTTTGAGTGTTATTCTTGAAGATTTCCGTGGACTTTGGATGTATACAAGGAAGTTCATTTATTTCAGGTAGACTTCAGTTAGTTGGTTTCAGCCTGTTCCTGGGCCTTTTGCCTGCAATTACATTTTAGAAATATTTTCAACTTTAAAAGTTTGACCCACTGAGAATTGCTGCTGGATTATTAGATGGTACATAGAAAGCAAAACAAAGAAATGGGAAGAAATAAACCATTTATGGGTATAACTGAAGGTCATCTGGCTAGAAATACAACAGAATAGTCTGTGACTAGAAGTCACACAGACTGTAACATAGTAGGGTATGCCAGGTACAGAACAGATACAGGTGAGAACTCTCCTCTGGTTTAAACTCTTCCAAAATTAATTTGCTTAGAATATTCAAAAATCTGGCATGCAGGGAAGTGTTATTATTCCAAATCTGGGATGAATGAGCCAAAGATTCTTAAAACTTTTGACACTGCCCTGCATGACATCCTTGTCTCTAAATTGGAGAAACATGGATTTGATGGATGGACCACTCAGTGGATAAGGAATCGGCTGGATGGTCACACTTAAAGAGTTGCAGTCAATGGCTCGATGTCCAAGTGGAGAGCAGTGACAAGTGGTGTTCCTCAGGGGTTGGTGTTGTGACTGGTGCTGTTTAACATCTTTGCTGGTGACATGGACAGTGGGATTGACTGCACCCTCAGCAAGTTTGCCGATAACACCAAGCTGTGTGGTGCAGTCGATACTCTAGAAGGAAGGGATGTGCCATTCAGAGTGACCTTGACAGGCGTGAGAGATGGGCCTGTGCAAACCCCATGAAGTTCCACAAGGCCAAGTGCAAGGTCCTGCACATGGGTCAAGGCAATCCCAAGCACAGATACAGGCTGGGCAATGAGTGGATTGAGAGCAGCCCTGCAGAGAAGGGCTTAGGGATATTAGTGGACAAAAAACTGACTATGAGCCAGCAGCATGCACTCACAGCCCAGAAACAGCTGTATCCTGAGCTGCATCAAGAAAAGTGTGGCCAGCAGGTAGGTCAAAAGAGGTGATTCTCCTCCCTCACTCCACTCTCCTGAGACCTCACCTGGAGTACTGTGTCCAGCTCTGGGGCCCCCAACAGAATAAGGACATGGACCTGTTTGAGCGGGTCCAGAGGAGGGCCACGAGGATGATCAAGGGGCTGGAGCACCTCCCCTGTGAGGACAGGCTGTGACAGTTGGGGTTGTTCAGCCTGGAGAAGAGAAGGCTCCAGGGAGACCTTATAGTGACCTTCCAGTACTTAAAGGGGCTACAGGAAAGATGGGGAGGGACTCTCTATCAGGGAGTGTAGTGATAGAATGAGGGTTTTAAACCGAAAGAAGATAGATTTAGACTAGATCTAAGGAAGAAATTCTTTCCTGTGAGGGTGGTGAGACACTGGAACAGGTTGTTCAGAGAGTCTGTGCCTGCGCTGGATGGGGCTTTTGAGAAACCTGATCTGGTAAGAACTGCTTATGGCTTTCTCTGTTAGAGTACCATGAGTCTGGGTGTTGGTAATAGTAATTGAAGAGAATCTAGAAATATTAAGAAATAATCCCATTGTCCACATTGCCATAGTCTAGTCTGCTTCAACTGTCCTTGCTATCACCTCAACCACTGCCAGGGTAGCAACAGCAGCAACCATGCAGCTGATGCTTGGACATGCAGGAGTCTGAAATAGTTGTGTTTTTTTTCCCCAACCCCCCAAAAAACCCTTAACAGTCATGTCTTTTGGTAAGGTAATGACTTTTTTTAGATGAATAAAGCAAACCCCACACAGCTGGATTCTTGCAGAACATGTGATAACAGAGGAGTAAGTACAAGAACTGAGAAGGCAGCTGCAAAAGCCACTACAACAGGTTGGGCTGAAGTGAAAATAGGTTGGAGGACTCAACCCATCAGCATGCTGCAGACATTAATCAAGCAAAATTGATCTTATTGAGCAAGTTATTCATGGTTAATATGGGAATTAATACTGCTGTATAAAGAATATTCATGTTCAAATAGGAAAGGCACCAACAGGAGAAGATCCAAAGAGAGAGCATTTGAAAGATGACAGCCCTTGCGCAGCTGCTTTGCCCAGGCACTGAGAGGAACTGGGGTCTGAGTGCTCATGCCATTCTGGCAAGTTGGGCCTGGGAAGAATGGGGAATTTGATAATAGAGCTTTAGGTCCTGACTGATAAAAGGGAGATAAAATAACACTGAATGGTTACAAAGTTATTTTTAATTTTTTACACTGATGTAAAAACATACATGTGCAAAACAGATGGCACTCAGCAGTAAGCAACTTTTAGGAATGTTTATATCTTTTAAAGTGTAGAAGAAAGGAGTATGAACTGTAAAGGACAGAAGCAGGGCAAAAATGACAGTGTAGGGGCAGATGAAGAGAAGTATTATACCAGTATTTTATCTCATGATTAACATTAATCCAAAAGAAAACTATTAATAATACCAACATTTTTTTTTAGTATAGGCTATGTTTCTGTTTTCTCCTAATAGCAGCATTATCAATTTACACACATTTTACAACATGATAATAATTCCAATTCTCCTCTAAATTAGGGCGTTTGAGCAAGAGAACTTGGGAATCAAATTACATCCTTTACCTAGCTGCAAATTCGGGTGGTAATAAATACCATATAAGTAATAGTTAAGAAATGCAGTGATAGAAAACTTATGTAATTCCGTTGCCTGGTAGTATGTATCTCCTGAACTTCCAGAATCTGTAGTTCAGAAGCAAAAGCTTCTGAAAACAGAAATGAAAAGCTATGTTCTACAGAACCAAAATTTCAAACTTCAGGTGATGTCCAAATGTACATATTAACCCGTGCTGCCTTTGAACCATGTTAATAAGAGGCACTGATGCCTGTCCGAATTTCAGTCAAAACTTGTTACAGAACTCCTACGTCTGTTAGAGTCCCTTCATCCTTCGCTGTGTAATTTCAACTAATGCCACATGACACTCATGACACATCATTAGTTCAACAGACCACACTTGACTTCTAGCTCTGAGTGCTGAGAAAGAACCATGAGCAGACAATTGCCTTTTACAGATAGATCTACACAATATGATACAGAGCTGAAGCACGCCAAATCTTTCAGAAGATTCTTCTCTCTTCAGAGCCACAAGGGTCTGACCTGTCCTTTGTATAGGTGAATGATCCATGCGGATTTCTCCTTTCATAACTGCCGATGGAGTGCCTTCATGGCTCGGTGTTTGCACAATGAGCACATAAGGAGTTTTTTAAAATTCCTGAGAGCAGCTCCTGGCTCTGAACAGGCACCATTAAGTTTGCTTTGGGTCATTCATTGTAATTCCTGGTTTGGGGAAGTCTGTATCTCAGTGAACTCTCTATTCAGGAAAGCTACCAATTAGGCAAACTTAAAACTTACATGAATGAAGATTTTGTCCTTCAAAAATATGTAAGAGGGAAGACTAGACAGAGCAAGAAGAGAAACAGCTCAGCATGGAGGTGAACAGGAGATACTGAGAAGCCACTTAATGCTTTTAATTGAAGTATGAGGAATAAGGAGCACACAGAAGTGTTTAGGGGTGAGGAAGAATATAATTAACAGTTTCCCTCCCCAGAAAAGTCTTTCATATTAAAAAAACACCACTTGAAATCATTTGGAAAGGAAATTCTCTTTCTAAATCACAATTGTACTTAAGTGAAATATATCTGAAATAAAAGCTGTATGTTCATTTAATTGAAGTAATCCTATCCAAAGCAGCCAACATGCCTCATTGCAAATCCCCACATCATCACAGATGAAGGAAATCAATAAGAAACTATTAATTGAAGTGACCTTTTTTCCACAAAAATGTTATATCTCACTTGAGAGTATTTGCTTCCTCCTAGCTTAAATTAAAAAAATCCTGTCAATCACAGTAAAAGCAAACAATAACATCTCAACTCATATTTGAAAACTATTTTAATTTTGACTGCTGTTGAAATAGCTGCCACATTCTTCTGCATATTGGAATTTGAAAGGTTTTGTAGAGTGGATAAGAAAGGAAAGTTAGACGTATATACAACTTTAATATATAATCCTTGCATTCTCCATATCTAGATTTTGATCACAGTTATGCAAGTTTTCTTACATTACCAGTGATACCTGTAATGTGAAGAAAATTGATTTTCATCCTCACCACTGTTACAAGCATTAGCAATATCTAATGATAATTAAAAGATAAGCTGCAGCTCTTCAAAACTTTTATGAGATTTCTTATCTCACTTGTAAATTGAGGAGTATTACTGTATTCTGTCATTTTAGAATTAAAACACACTATTCTTCTCTACTTATGTTTTCATCAATTAGGAGACCAAAGGCAAAACAAGAACCAGCTGAAGCCTGTCTATCTTTAACAATCTGCAGTAGAAAAGGGAAAAACAATAGATACACTCTTTCCAGTAGATACTAAAAGATGATTTAAAATATCCTTTTCTTACAATTTCCAAAAACTCACCGGTTGCCTCACACGGCAGAGCCAATTCTTCCAGAATAGAGCCTTGAACTGGTGTACAGCATGCCCCATGTTGTCTTTTCTTTCCTTCATCCACTTGCAGAGTGGCTTCTTAAGGACTTTCTAAATCAGAATCATCTCCCTCAGCAGTCTGAATGTATTATTCAGAAGCTGATTAATTCCAGCACTAGAGAATGGTGCAAGAGATTTGCCTGTTTGCAGAGAAAAGATGAGATTATGTTTCTGCCTCTTGTTTTGCATTCATCGAGGAATCTCATCTTTCCATTTGATTCTCAGTGCAATGAACAGTAAGGGGATGGGTTTGTATAAATCCCTTCAGGGTGCTTTACTCCACAGTATATATTCTGCATTTGTTTCTATATTTTTTCAGAATAAAAATTAATGTAAACCACAGGGAAAAAAAAGACTATGTAACACACATTTGTCTTTTTTCAGAGTTTGGTGACTTTCTGTCACTGCAGTGTTAATGTAATTTTGCATGCATGTGCTTAGATTTTTGGAAAAAAAAGAATAGTAGGAAAATAAGTACACTGTTTAACCACATAGTGCTATAAATGTCTGTATACATCTAGAAGACCTTTATAAGCTCACACCTAGCACTGTGGTGGTCCCAATTGCATCATAATATGACTGTTTAATTTTATCTTATAAAGGGTGCGTGTTCAACATTTCATTATCCTTTTTCAGCATACATTGCCTACGTAGAGGTGGAAAAATGCGGCAAGACAGAAAACTCTGTTAATTAATTGCCACATGCTACCCAGGATGAAAAACAGTCTTCCAACATTTCCTACAGCAAAGAGGAGGAAGAGCAATTCCTGAAGCTGCACAAGGGGATCTGCAGGAGGGGAGCCTGTGCATACCTGTGGCAGCAGGGCCACCTGGAGACACAGCAGGTCTCTGGTGGTGCAGAGCTGTGCTGTTCTGCTGGGGGGTGAGGATGATGCCCTACGGATAAGGAGTGACACCTTAAGCAGAGGAGTAAACTTTATGTTTTGTTCTACCCTAATGAATTGTCTAAGGTAGAATCTGATCCCCAAAAGGTCTCTCTAGAGTCAGTGGAGACACATAACACAGACATTATAGAAGGTGATTCAAACCTCCTAAAATTTGAATTATGAACCATACATACACACATGTTAGGACAGTGTGATGACTGAACAAATATTATTTATTTCTCAATATTGCTGAGTAAATAGCATCATTAAACTATTGAATGAGACATCTTCACATTCACAGTTATTCTTCCACATTAAGTAAAATCCAAAAAATCTAAAAACTTTTGTGATACAGAAGTCACCACTGAGGAATCTGACATCCACTAGATTTTAGCTAAGGCAGCAATCTAAAAAACAAACAAGTTTGATACTTCTGCAACAAGTAACTGCACATCTATAGGTCCACTAGGCTCTGCCAGTTTCCATGGGATGAGGTTCAGCTGGTGTTTTATGCTCAGTACCTGAGATTCCTTTTCCCAAGCTTTGGATTTTGGTCACCCAACAATAGTTTTTAGCCCCCCAGAGTACGCTGTGAAGCTTAGTTACGTCACTTAATGTTAAACTGACTGATTAATGGGGTAAAATCTTTGTATTTGAAATGGTGCAGATTTCTGTTCTAATTTGTACATTCTCCATTAGTTCAAGAAGTAGAGAAAAAAATGGATTATATACATGTAATGAATTTATAAATTTTTACATACTAGTAAAAATTGCCTCCCAGCAAAACAGAAATCACAGATGCAGTCATGGCAGCATATGAGTAGTTGAATACCTTTATGCCTCATTTATAGTGAGATTTCTTTTTCTTTTCTCTGCTCTGAGGCTGAAAAATTACTGAAGTAATCATTTAGCTTTAAATAGAAACTTGAAAGTCCACAGGATGTACTAAAATATAAGTAGCTCATTGTTCACCTGAATGATGTTAAGCATGTTTGTACCTCTAAGGCAGGATTAATTAAGTTATGTGTGAATGTGGGTCTATCGAGCACATGTCCTGTTCTTTCATTGACCCCCATTTCCCACTCCACTCCTCCACCGTGGTTCTGGCAAAGCACAAACCTCCAGCAGTGATCAAGCATGTTACCATCTTTCTGCTTTCCCCAGTACTGAAGAGCAGCCCTGGTGCTGTGCAGCAGAGATGTGTGCCCATGTCTCACCTCTCCCCTGGTCAACCTGCTCTGGGATTCTCTTCATGTCATGCCCAATGGTAGCAGGGTGTGAAATGCTGGGGCTTCAACCCCAAGCCCCAAATTAAGGTTGACATGTGGGTGATTCCCACAGCCCTTCACAAAGGGGGGTGAGTTTGCCTTTAGGCTTCCCTCCAGGGTGCAGCCGGCCTGGCAGGGAGAGCCATTGGGTAAATGAGCCCCAGGTGTCTGCAGTAAGTAACCAAAGGTCAGGTGTCCCACTGGGGGATAAAAGCTGGGACCCCTTGCAGGCAGGGGCAGTGTCTGTCTGTGAGGTGGATGCACTTTGCAGAATTTTCTGTTGGGGAAAGACCTCCTGCCTCCTTGGGACTGGGCTCTGGTCAGGTCTGGCATTTGTAAACATGGGCTGTGTAGAGATTTAGTATGTGGCTTCCTTGGTCTTATGGATTTGGCTGATTGACCTGGTTGTCTCCCATCCCTTCTACGGGAGACTGCATTTCACCATTTATTCCACCTGTTGTTGGTTGTGCAGTGTTGTTGTTGGGGTCAGTGGGGTTGATGTTGATTATGTATAATTTGACTGACTTGTTTGTTCTCCCAGCACTCCCCTATATACTGACCCTTTTGTATCAAATACAGTTTGGTTATTGGTTTATCTTTATGCTGGCTGTGTCCTTTATGCTAGGCCTGATTATTGGCAAAACAGGGTGTGGCTGGACAAACAACCCAAAACGAAGACCATACCTCACCAAGAAGCTTCACAGCTGGCTGGCATTTGTATATGGGATGTCTTAGTCAATCAGTGATAATAATCCCTGCTATTTCAGAGTATGTACAGTAATTTTGCTCACCAGGACCAAAGGTGAAATTCTGAGATAGTTGAGATAAAAATTCTGTGCACAGTTGATTTTTAAACAAGTATTTGTTATTAATTGAATACTGTGAATATATGTATGGGTTCACACAACCATTTTGGAAAGCTTGGGAGCAGAATCAATAGCATGTGATCTGTAGGAAATGATAAACTAATCAGTCAGCATAATGAATTACAAGCAGTTACTTGTTGAAGCAGCTGATACAGAAAACAGTTCCTGACTAGCTAAAACAGCTCACATAAACCATGTGCCAAATTATTCTGAACAAATAATTCTGTAAAATCTCTGCTCATCCAAGTGTGTGATGTGCATAATTTATTATGCTCTATATAATTACATGCTCATAAACATTGCATTCTATTTTTTAGTGCTAAACAGATTTTCATGGATACAAGAAACTATTTTTATGTAATAAGTATTCAGTACTGATGAACTACTGATTCCTCATTTTACTATGTAAGACACTCAATAGACAAACACCTTTCACCAGCAAGTTCAGTTAACTTCATTTGCCCTCATATATCATTGTCCTTTCCTAAAGATATTCATTCTTGCCTAGTATGGTGTTCTCCAGTAATAGGCTTTTTTTCTAGAACAAAATTTATGAAAGATACCTCAAGCATTCAATCAAGAACGGTCCCTGCAGTGCCATTCTGGGAAATTCCTTCTAAAAGTAATTTTAGAAGAAACAGGGTGTATGATCTCGATTGTATTATTTGCAATGTTGTAGAAACATGAAATCAAACCACCCTGCCCCCTGCAACAAACCCTTGGCACAAAAGAGACAATAATATTAAAAATTAAGCACACAGGCAGGAAAAGCAAGTCAATTCTGAATACTTCTGGAAAGATGTCAGCTATATTGCTGCCATCCTGGAAACTTTTTTGAGTAATCCAGGTTTCATCAGTACCTGTCAAGCAGTATCTTGTGCAACTATCAGCCTAAATAGCAACTTTGTTTAGGAGCTGCATGTACAAAGAGCTTAAAAATCTTCAAACACAGCACAGTTGCTGGTAGGCTAAATAAATTATATGCTTTCAGGGCTCCTTAACAGGGTGGTTGTAGTCAAGAGGAACACTTTGAATATGCAGGGCAAATTAGAAGTCATATATTCCATTGTGTGCTTCACTCATTCATCTGGAATGGGAAAATAATATGCTCAGAATCAGGTCTCCAGGTAAGAACAAGATAGTGGCCTGCCCTTCTCTGCTTCTGCTTAGCTTTAGCAGGCTTTGTCTTCATTACAACTTAAAAGTTTACTCTTAGAATATGCAAGATATGCGAAACCACTAGGGCAGAAAAGGCAGAGAAACTTCTGCCAGCACCCATCTCTAGTTTTAAAGTTTGACTGCTTTATAATATGATAACATCAACATACCATGTCTAGCCTACAGTTTTAATATGGGCTAATTAGAGTAGGTTGGCAAGCACATTCAAAGAAACACAGTTCTGTATGTTAAATAGGTTAAAGCCCAGGAGCCAAAAATGCTTTTTGGTAGACAGGTATGCAGTCAAATCATGTGACAATATGGCTGGGAATCTGGTAAACTAGCATATTTTCCTACCACCACCCACAACTTCTTTCACAAGCTTTACTGTGTGATCACAAGGCTTTCCTTTTAACATTATTAGGAGTACTACTTGTAAATATTTACTTGGCACAGACCTGTTTTGCAGACAAAGCGGCTGCAGGATGACATCAATTAGAAGCATCTTTCCTGGGAGACACTTCCTATGTGCACAGTTAGGATATGATGAAAAATGGTAGTTATGGGCAAGGTCAAATAATAGGTTTGATTAAAATGGAGCTACACATTAAACAAACAAAACAGGCCCAATCTCATAAGGAGGTCAATGGGTTTTTTTGAGCTTCTGGGCAGCTCTAGGAATTTTATTCTTGTAATATGACAGACTGATAGTAAACTGAAAATTGTCTCACAGTTACAAGCTCAGCACTGACAAGAAGCATCTGGAATCAGGTTTCTGTGTTGTGTAAAATGGGCTCTGTCTTTATCTGCTGCTGCATTTTGTTTGTAGCCTGGGCAAAAGCATTGCCCCTGTCAGCATTACTTTTTCTTCTGTTATTGTACCATAGCTTAGATTTAATGTTGCTCTATTTAGTGACCCCCTTTCCCTTCAGGCAGAAGACTTCTTTAACTGTAATCCATACTCTGGAGTATAATATTAAATAGTAATTATTTTAGAAAGAGAAAGCATGTATTAAGTCCCTCCAACTTAAAAACTGAGAGACTTTCAGGGAAAGAAAACCTCAACATCTTGTAGCAAACTGTAATAATGCCATCAAATCACACCAGTTTTCAGTATTCCATTACTGCAGGCAGATCCAGTCCCAAATAGCTGTTTATTCCTCACAGTAAGTACTTAGTGCTGTATTCAGAACATAAATGACTGCTGATGTGCAAATCTAAAAACATTCACACTTTAGTTTCTTTGACCTATCTTGTCAACAGAAATGAAACACATCTTCAATTCAACTGTATAAACATTTTATTTAGGTGTATATTGAGATCCAGACTTGAGAAGGAAATCCAGTTCTGTTACATAATGCACTGAAAATACTTTGCAAAGACTTACAATGAACGTTAAAAAGAGATATTTCATATTATATGTGTATATTTTCAAGAAATATTTAATTTATTAAATATCTTGCTTGGCTTTTGAAGGACGGATAAAAACATTTATACTCTAAGCACTTCTGGCAATAGGTCATTACAAAATGTTCTTTCTCAGGATTTCTCATACCTTCCGTTAAAGTCCTCTGAAGTATATCAAGATGCCAAAAATAAAAACCTACTCCTTCAAGTCACTAATCAAGCTACTGCACATTCTTAGTCTCCTGCAAATGCGAAAATAGAAACATTCTAGCCTATCTTCATTATGATCTCAACCATTTCTTTAACAAAAAGGAAGGAACAGAGCAGAAGAACACCATGACTCACAGAACAAACCATTGGTAGAATTGTTTACTCCCTTCACACTTCCACTCTTTTCCTATCTTCTACATTCCCTCTTTGCTTTTATCCCTTCTGATCTCTGGAGTAAACTGATTCTGTAGTGCATTGCTACTTAGAGGATGGCATAGATTTAAAAAACGGGCCTTTGATCTGAAATTGAAGCTTCTGGCATTTGCAGGATTTGTAGATGTATCAGGAGACGCTGCACTATATAATATAAAACACGTATATAATACATATATGCTTTTAAAAATATCACCACTCCAAATCATGATTCACGTTCTACAGAAAGAATGTGAATAGCTAATATTAAAGAATTGATTGCATATAAAAAGTGTGTTAAATATTTTAAGAAATCATTATAGGTATCTTTGTAAAAGCTACAGGAAGGGTAACTTCACTGCCGGATGCACACAGCTGACTCATTTCTTTATCTCTCTCTCCAGTTGCAGTAACAAGGGAAAATACAGTTATTCTTATCAGGATAACATTCTGGCAAATTTCCTCGGAAGCTAAGAAAAGTATTTTATTGCACGTTAGATGTGTCTATAGAGCGCCCTCTTGCATTAGGAATACAGCATTACAGGATTGTGACCAGTAGAACCAAGGGTATTTGGTCTCCTGTGAATTCTAATTTTGTCATATATCCCTTTACTTCATCTGTTAGGAAGCAAAGGAAAATATTTTAGCAGAAAGAAACGTACAATGTCCTAGGAACAGTGGGAAGGATAAGAGACATGCTGGCAAAAAAAAGTGAATAGCTGAAGTCTTCCAGGGGTTTCTGCTAGGGCCTTGTGTATCAATTTAATAGAGTTGTTGCATCACTCATGAATGCTTGAACCTTAGCTCCAACTGAGGCAGGCTACAACGCTAGTTATATTTCAGCATGGAGCACCTAAGAGTTTTCATATTAGTTATCAAAATAGAAGTGACTACTTTATATGACTTAAATACAAAACCTTTGCAGTTTCAGTTGTCAGTTCAAAACAACTTCAAAACAATTGAAGAACTTTTTCTTTTTAACTGGTTTCCAGATTCTTGCTGTCCTTCCTTTCAAAATACAAATCACACTATTTCAGATTCATACCTCAGGGCAACTGCAATAATATGCTTCCCCAAAGCGCCATAGAGCCACATTAGGTGTTTCTTTGTCTTCTTGATAAAAGTACTTTTGTACTTTTTCTCCTCTTCAGGTTAATTCATAATAAAGATTTTACAGCAGCAAACCATCTCCTCCAAACCCATACTGGTCAATCTGGCATAGCTTTTCTTCAGCCTACAGTACAGCATGTTGCTTAAGTGATCTCCTTTTTATCTCCTTACTACTGTTCTGGGAACAGGAGGTTGCAGAGAGAGGATGTGCTTTGTTGCATGTTTCCCAAGGGATCTAGCAGGGCTTTGTGCAATGGCCAGGCAAGCACTAGGCATAGTTAAGCACAGATATTTTTTTAAATTTTTTTTTTTAAATAGGGGAGAAACAGTTCAAACAAAATGTGGAGTCTTTCACTCATGACTCCTTCCCTTAAGCTTATGGACAAAAAGACTTTCTCTGAAAACTTAGATTAATTGTATATCCTGAGCATAAATAAGAAAATGTGGTTTAAAATTTATAGGAAGACTAAATTAGTAAATGTAAAAAAAAAAAAATCTAATGTTTCTATCTTTTTATCTGTTCTCTAGTTGAAAATTCATCAGACTTAAGGAGACTAATCCTCACTGGCAATTTCCTGTTCACAAGCGTCACCCCTTCCTTTTTTAATGTTTTCATCACATTGTTTCCGGATTCTGCCACTTCTTGGTGAATGTGCTTACTACTACATCACTCCCTCCTCGATCTAACTCTTACGCTTGTTAACAGTGTTGCAGACTACAATACTTGAAAAGAAAATCTCACTAGCTGGATCAGAGACAGCTGTTCTGAGAGTTTATTCAGAGCCTTTTGACCTGTGACTCCTGGGAGGACTGGACCCTCCACGGCAGTAGAAAAAAAAACCCAGATAAACACATTTTTCTTTAGCTGACCACATATTCATATTCTAACCACAGCAGCAAAGCAGTGGTAAGTATGATTGAAAAAAAAATCCATGGTAGTGGAAAAAAAATGCAGAAATGGTTTTGATGGCATGTACAGTCAATAGGTATTCTGCAGTTCTTCAGAACTGGGAACCACTGCAACAGTGAGTGTTATGTCCTGAAAACACAGACATAAAAAACACTTTAAAAATAAACAGAGGAAAAAAAGACTAACTACCATAATGCAGTCCTGTGAACATGATGTGCATCTCCTGAATGCCTTTGGCTCCTCTTCAGTAAACAGAAGCCTTGATTCAGCAAAAGATTTCAAGTTCTTTAATGCAAAATTACTTAATGCATAAATGTTTCCTGGGTATTGATTTGATTGTATAGTTAAAATGGGATATGAATGACCTTGCTGGATCAGTGTCTAGTAAGTACAGTTATTCAGCAGCTCAGTGTCAAGTCCTTAATGCTTAGAAAATTCAGTCCCATACTTTGCAATTTTGTGAGATTTTAATATATGAAAACTGTATTGTTTATTTGTCAAAGTTTACAAAATATAAACTGTATTCACTTTTTCTTTACAAGTGAAGCAATAGACAATTATAATTTATATATTTTTTTATAACGAGAAAGGGATTATCATTCTTGTTAACTTTAATGTGGTGGTTTGCAAGTACTTGACAATAAAGACTGATTTTCATCTTAGTTTTCCTTTTATAGCATGGATAAATAAAACTTTTTCATGTATTACAGCACGTGTCCTTCACAACAGATCCACTTTCCAATTCACAGAAAAGTGAGTCTTTTATCCAGCAACGCATAACTAAGCAAAACTTAACTGAAGTCCATTCAGCACATTCAGTTTCCAAAGCACAGTGACATAAATGATTAACTTCCACAGACATACGGAATGCAGTAAGGTATTCTGAGGCAAAAGATCTTTTAACACACAAAAGTTGTGACCGTGACTTCAGCTGTGCAGAAGCTGCCTTGTATAAAACGAAGATGGACCATTTCATACTTTCCCAAGACTTTTTTTAATGAAATATCCCACTAACTTCTGTGGTCTCTGCTGATACTCCACAAGTACATCATGTGAGCTACTAATCTGATCCCCTTCAAGCCGATTCAGAAGAGTAACACACACTACGGCAGCTAGAAATTAAAAGACAGAATTAGTTAGGAATGACATTCTGGCACAGTCCAAAAGCACAAACATTTGAAGGAACAGCTAGAAGATTAGAAAAATGAGAGAAAACAACCACAAAAAAATGGTGCATACTACCACAAGATGCTAGGGGACTAGCATGCTGTGGATGATATAAAAAAGTTACAGATAGTTTAAGACAATTGATTGCTACGTTAATAAAGCAAGAGCTCTCAGGTAGCTGCAGATACTTGTTGTTATAACATGATTTTTATGTTTTTCTGGATAGGAATTATATTTCACAAGTACTCAGGAATTGTCAGACACACTGTTCTAGCCGAGGTAGTTACAGCCCTCCACTATCTACACATTATCTCAAACACAAATCCCTGTGCTGTAGATGCCATCCCTCTGGAACCAGCTGAGCCGTCTTGAGTTTCATGGATGGTAAGCCCTGCCAAGTACACGAGGACCTCACGGCTCATCTCAAACTCATCTGCTGCCTTTTGGTAATCACAGCCCCACAGGTAAAATCCCTTCTTTCACTCAAGCTGAGCCTACCATCACTCTTCTCTATCTGGGGTTTCTGCTAGTGCCAATTTGCAGAACACAAGCAGTAACGCACATTAGACGTACAAAGTAGAGACAACAAAAAGGACAAGGCTCCCTAATGGCTTACTGATAGCATTGGTTGGGTTTTTAATCTCTCTCAAGTCAGAGAGAATTGAGGATCTTTGATGTAACTGTTGGCCTTTCTGCTTATTTTTCTTCATTTTGTCCTCCCTGAGTTGTGTTTTAAACCAGCAAATTCCTTGCCAAGGTAAGTGAGAGACTATAGGTAACATGGTAAGTAGAAAGACACTGTATTACATTATTTGCAATTGCCTTTTTTTTTTTTTCCCCCCCCTAATCTTTACTGAAAATTAGTTGGCTTGTGTAAAAAAATTTAAAACTTATTTTATGATTAGGAATGGTTTGTTCATGATGCTTCTAAAATACTTCACTTTAAGAATTAAAGATGTAAATCTACATAGAGTACTTATATTTTCAATTTGATATGAAAGTATAGAAAGTGATTATAGTTTTAGATATATGCGAGAATCACCTGATTGTTCAAATTAACCACTAGCTTCCTATAAACTTCAAAAACTAACTGAAGAAAACAAATTAATGCTATAAGGTAATTTAGTACATTAGTGATTTATGTGCTTGCCACGGGCTGAAATGGCAAACAGAACTAAACTGTATAAGAACCATGTGACAAAGTTTGCATAAATTTTGAATACATATGACACAGTCATAGCAACAGAACCATAATCTTCTGCATATTAAAAAAACTTATGGTATGTTAACACCTCATTTGCAGTTTTTACCACAAACCTCCTGCAATGCAGAAAACTTCCTACAGCTTGAATAAAGTGATTTTTAAATTCGTTTACCTTTGACACCACTAAGATTACACATTGCAGCAAATACAGAAGACTCCATCTCTATGTTTCTGACACCAGAATCATAAGCTTCCTTCAAATATTGCAGTTTCTCTTCTTCATTATATAAGCAGATTGCACCATCCAACCTTCCCTGTCCTACAAAGTAATTTTGCAGAAATTTTCAGTGATAAAAATCACAGAACAAACTCAGTTTCTAACACACCCAATTACTGCAGTTTCCCCTCTACAGTGTCCAGTTTTACTACTACTCCTTATTTTCATGTGCAAGACAAATAGGACAAAGTGATTCTTAGCTACTGCAGAGCTTCCACATATTACTTTTATTTTTAATAATGTGAATCACTGATTTTATTGGTCTTCTCCAGCTTAAACTCTCAAATTCATAAATGGAAAAATTTAAGTAGTAGTTTCCTGCATGTGGGGCATGTGTCAAAATTCAGCAATGAACTTTAAGCCACATGGAACTGCCACATTTCTTCGATGTTTAATCATTGTCTAGAAAAACTGCCAGGCTCAAAAATGCCTTCCCGATGTAACCCTAAAGGGATGAACATTTTATTACTTACAGACTCTCTAAGGTAAAAGATGAAGCGTCTCTTAAGCTAACTAGGTTATACTATTACCATTTTTGGAAAAAATTAGTTTAGTCAAATTAATCAAGATTAACACCTACAGATAAAACAGCAGCAGGTTACACATGGTTAAGTTAAATTACAGTGTTTTACTCAGTTGTTTTTTGTTTTCAGATGTCCTCCTAAATCAATGCCCTTGAGCCTGTTCTCAGTTTTTGCTGTACCAGTTTAAAGCATTTGTGACACTGTTTTTTTAGTGCACCTTTTAGGTACAGTTGCACCTGTGATGGGTGTTTGAAGAGTCACACAAACTGACAGTGTCTGCTTCTGACCAAGCTTGAGCACTATTATGAAGACCATGTGTTCCCCTCAGTATTGCTCCCCTTGTCACCTATCCAGTAACAACTACAGAAAGCAGTATCAGGTGCCACCTACACTCTGTTCTCACAAGATTTGAAAGATGTTTGTCAATAGACTTGGGAGATCAGAAAAGCAGCTGAATGTCTATACGTTTATCCAAAGTAAGCTTTGGAGGTTTGCCTCTCCTACACAGCAGCATATTGCCACAACTCAGCAAAGTATTGTTTTCAGTTGTCTGATCACTGCTTTGCTCAAAATGTGCATGGGAAACAAGTTCCAACACTTCTTTTAGAACATACTTACTTGAAATATTTAACCAGTGAACAAAACCCAACAAAACCAAATAACCAAACCAGCCACAAATAAGTCTCACTAAATCATGAAAATTTTGTGGTAAACTTACCTGGCAAGTTCATGAAAAGTGTATAGTAGACTGTATGTATTTCAGAGAATCTATTAGAGCTGGACGGAAACTCCCCCCCAAAAAATTAAAAGTTCAATATAGCCAACTGCTAAGCACAATGCTTGAACTATTATGTATATGAAAAATACTCAAAGTAGGGAATGTATTCTATTCAGTGAACTGGAACCTTAATGTTAAAATATTATTCAATATTATCTGTTGCAGCTTACCAATACGCTTCTGTTAGTCTGTTGCCAGCCTTACCTTCATAGAAATCCAAAGTGCACATAGTGTTTCCAATGACTGTATTGAATTGACCGATTTCTTTACTGCACTGCATCAGTTCCTTAGCTAGCTCTTCATCTAGGTTTGTACTACGAATTACAGTCTTTCCCAGAATAACCTGTTCAAACTGAGGTTTGAAGGTGGCATCTACAGACTGCCTAGTTATAACCACTGAGCCTGGCTCCAGACCTGCAGGTTAAAAAAAAAAAAATAAAAAATAGATACAGCTTCACAATGTGTTTAATACTTTGTTTCCACACACATAAAACATACATCTTGACCAAATCCCGCTGCTTTTAAAGGCAGCGATTTTGCCCCTGAATTCACCAAGAGAATTTTGTTTGTGCATGCCTAGCTGCTTCAGTTTATCATTACAAATAATTTTTGAAAGAATTCAATTTTTACTTTTTCACTACATATTTTTTCTTATCTCATACGGGACAGGAATGCCCTTCTCGTCACTTTGATAGATCTCCTAAGTGCATTTTCTTTATCCAAAGAGGCAGATATTGCCTTTCTTTCCAAATTATGGAAATGATTCACCTCCTGTGCAAAAGTGTTCTGACCATCAATCATTTACTAGCAGAGAGATACTTTAGTCTCCTACAAAGATGCTTTGGTTTGAAGAAAAAAAGAAATCAAGAGGGGAAATACCTATTCCACCAGAGGTGCCAATGCGAATAATGGTTATGTTGGAACACTTGGCATGATACAACAGTTTGATCAGCTCGTGCAACATGATTGAAATAGAAGGAATGCCCATACCGTGCTGAAATGAAAGCAGAAATTCATATTCGACATTCACATAGGCAATGCAAAATATATACGGAAGAAGGAGCTAGACTATATCTCCTTCCTGATGGTTTTTTTTTTCAAATGTCATTTAACTCACTCCCTCAAAAACCCTTATCTATGGGCTTACTGAAAGGACACTGCAGGTAAACAGAAATATTCCCACTATCTTGGGTGGACTATGGATGAAGTACAGTATTTCTAAAAATCACTAATTATAAAATATTTACATTCTTAGAAGCATAAGCAGTGTCCTTTACTAACAGTTGACAAATGCACTTCATCACAGAACTTTTCCTAAACACAGAAAAATCCCACTGCTTTTTAACCAACCTGAAATGCTAGTGAGTAGTTAAGCTAAAACTCTTCAAAACACAGGCACTGTGGTTTAGTCACAAAGTTCAGAAAATATAAGTCCACCTCAACTTGCATGATAATGTGATAATTACAACCCAAAAGAAAGGGTGCAGCATGATATTACAGTTATGCAATTAAAGTATGCAATTGCATCTACAAATTAAAGGTATGAGGTTTTAAAATGCATGACTTGGCAGCACAAGCCCCATGGAATGCTACTCTTAAGCTATGTTAGCACATTTGAAAATGCCACTGTAGCTACTTAGCTATGGATGCATTACAGGCATTTTTACAAATACCCCACATGCACTGAGCCACCTTTTTTCCCCATTGTTCAGGATATAGAATAGGGTTGAGGCACAGTAAGTGCTCAAAAATTTATAAGGCCAATCTTGCAACACCTCAGTGGTACACTGAGGAAAAAGGAGGTAAGCAAGAAATGAAAGTGTCAGAGATTTGCCCTTTTACAAGAAAGGGCTTAAAAGGAATTCTTAATGAGCAGACTGCACTATTTTGAGCATGGCTGATATAATCTTAAAATCCTGATTCTAGTAAGAGTTTAAAAGAAATGTGCACTCGTATTTTCTACTTTGGACGGCATCATTGAACTGTGTCCTGCATCTGATTAAGTGAGGTACTTACACTGACTGACAAAACAGGTCCCACTTTGTACATTGCATAACGGTCGGTTCCCGCACAGATGTTAGGATAGTCACAACCAGGGCTCCCAAGCCCCAGTTCTTCAGCTATGTAGGTGATAAAAGCTTTCATCCGTGAAGGACTTCCTCCAACACATACAAACTGGTGTGGACAGCATTCAACAAAAAAATCAATTGCATGATTCCGTTTATCAAAGAACATGCAAAGATCAACATAAGGATGCAAACACCTTCCATTAACACAAAGCTATTCCCTGATGTGGTTCTTCTCATAATCATTCTAAAAGGCCATAAAGAAAAATTATGCAAAAATTCTATATAGCACGCAAGTGCCTTCATCCTGTTTAAACTAGTAAAAGACAGATATTGACTTGAAGGCACCCCAAAAGGAAGTTCTACCTGAATGCTGAAGACTGCAGCATTTGTCTTTCTACTGGATGAGGAGAGAAAGTCAGAAACAATTATCCTCAATTTTGCTTGCTATTAAAAGTGACAAGAACCCAGAAAATTTTATCCCCTTTTCCATTCATTCCTCAACTGGTGGCATGCTAACACATTTAGACTTATTTTGAAGACCCTTCAGCCTTCTGCAGAAAAGCTGAGGCTTGCTGAATGAAATGAAGCTTCTTACCTTTACATCTCCAAACAATGCTGGGAAATCATGGGTACTGGTCCCAAGAGCAAAATGGTACAGGATGTCTTCTTTCATTTTCTCCAGGTGAGGGTTGCAGAGATGGATAAAATTCTCTCTGCCAGGATTGCAGAATTGTGAAACATACAGAATCATAGAATGGTTTGGGTTGAAAGGGACCTTTAAAGATCATCTAGTCCATCCCCTTCTGCCATGAGTAGGGACATCTTCAACTAGATCAGGTTGCTCAGAGCCCTGTACAACCTGACCTACAAAGTTTCCAGGGATGGGGCATCTACCACCTCTCTGGGCAGCCTGTTACAGTGTTTCTCCATCCTCATTGTAAAAAATTTCCTGCTTGCACGTAGTCTGAATCTACCCTCTTTTAGTTTACACCTCATCCTATCGCAACAAGTCCTACTAAAAAGTTGTTGGTCCCTTCTGTTCACTGCACACAATTACATTGCTGAAGAAAAGCCCAGATGGTAGGATGCATTTGCAACAGTGCAACCTTTATCTTATACAATATTAAAACTGCGAACCAGGGTGGGTCATTATAGTGAGCAGAACAATGGGAGCAGGACCAGGGAATATTCAGTAGAACACTGTACTACATAGATAATCTATAGCAAAGTTGAAAAGCAAAACTGGCCTCTGTGTTTTGACTGACCCTCCTTACCACTCGAGAGGAGTGGGAAGATTTGGGCTTTATAGACAAGCCCAAAGGGAATTTCTGGCAATTTGGCTCACTAATTCTGTGTCATACAGCCAGAAGGGGAAAAACTCTATGGCATGAGACTGGTAAAAACAGTACAGGATGTGAAGTAGGAAAGAAGCAAACAGAAATCTGAAGCAAATAAAAAAACATGGTAGGGAAAAAAAAATGCAAGAAAAACAGAAAGAGGTAAAAAGAATTCACTTCCTCTTAAACTGCTTCCTGTAAGGAAGTGATACAGCTTTAAAAAACCCCAAACAGACCACTTTCTGAAGAACCAGGAAACTACAAGGTAAGGAGGGAAAACTGAACTATTTAGCATGTGAGATCCCCTTCATGGAACATTTGATAGTGGACTAATTAAGCAAGCTGAATAATTCATAAAACGTCTGCCTTCTGTACTTGATGTTTTAAGTCCAGTTGAAACAGGTAGGAAAGACGAGTCAATAATCACAAGCTTGAGCAAAATACTGGCCAATACTTCAAAGTCGTTTCCAAGAGATGAAATCAAGCAATAAGTATCTTCCAGACACAAGAAGATAACTTAATAGCTTAATGATGGCTCACTGCAGTCACAGCATGGCTCAGCAAATTCAAAGTGCTTTGTCAGAGGAGACACACAAAAGAGTTTGCCTGGAGTTTATGGAAAAAATTGTTAAGACTTTGCAGGAAGCACTTTGAAGCCTAAACACAGGTGTTTAGTGCTACTTTAGATGTTTTAGGTTATCTTGACTGTCATAATGCCTCTCCAGAAGGGCAGTGCTTTTCTGTAGGTCCTATGTCTTATCTGCCAATCCTGTGCAGGATTTATTGGTTACCTTAAGAAACCTAAAGTGGCCTAGGTGCCCATACTGAGGTCACTGAACTGTTCCTCAGAAAGAAAAAAAAAAATAGTTACAACCCCAATATTCTGAGTATATCGATTGTTTCTGGTTTTGAAATGTTCTCTCTAACTATCCAGCAGCAGCTGCAGAGCCATAAGTAAGAGGTATCATCCCAGTCCACCCTATTTGTCAGCCCAACAAAGTGGGTGGTTCGTTCACCCCTTCAGTAGTAATTCCTTTCCATCTCCCACATGCCCCATCTGCCTCTCTTCATACAAATCCTGCCTGAGGTAGAACCAAAGGTTTTGGCTGCCTTTCTTCTTCCCTCAGAGAGACTGGTTTGACTCTGGGAGAAATACAGAGCAGGTTTATGGCTCTTCAGAAAGGCACAGACAGCAGTCCAGGAGTTTGCCAGCTTACGTGAGCAGAATTCCCAGACTGCCTCCTCTGAATTATTCCTGTTCACTTTTGTGAGACTCTACCAGTATTGAATGGGTCACTCACTAATGCAGATCAAATAGCTGGCTGCACTGATGTTTGCTGGAATGGCTTTTGTATACAAATAGGATATGATTTGAAATCACTTTACAATTTGTTCTCAGGCAAGCAAAAAATATTTCCTTCTTTATGAGAACACCAGCAATAAAAGCTTCTCTTCAGGAAATAAATTGGGAATAGGCAAGGCCTCTATTAAAAGTACAGTGAAATTCATGTGGTATGTGCCAACACCACTGTCCTCATACCTGGCCTAAATACAGCTTCCTTCATCAGCTGTGTCTATATTTCACCTTTTATATCTCGCACCCTACCAGCAACACTCTTCCACCCACTGCCTCACTACAGCCAGGGGCTGTTACCAGCTTGTACTGGTTATCTGCCCATCCAGATCTAATCGCAGACTTGGACCCTGGGGTAAAATGGGCAATAAAAGTAAGCATATTACTATGTGTACACAGGACCAATGCCATGGATTTACAGTAGAGGCAAAGTTTGCCTGATAAAAATATTTGGCCTGTAACTCTAAGGAGCATACAATTTATTCCCCTCTCTGTTGTAAAGCACCGTAGAACTTCTGGTGGTTTAAACAAAACATGAATATCTGAGGACCAAACATGCATGCATAATTTTACTCAAATAAGCTTGAAGTAAAGATTAGAGAAACAGATTGAAACACTTGTTTAAACTCTTAAAGCAGGTAGGTCTGGCCATATGCAGCAACCAAAGTCAATATTTCAAGAGCTCGCTAGATGAAAAAAAAAACAAAAACAAAAACAAAAACCAGAAACATCACTTATGCTTGGAAAAAAAAATCACTGTTGTGATAAACAAAAATGGCTGGCCAGCAAAGCCCTCTGTGTAGGTGTGGTTAAAGCCGATAAAGATTCCATTTGTCAAAACAGCTTCAGCTACATGATGTTATAATCAATATTTGTATGATAAACTTTATCTTAAACTAAATGAGTGCAATGGGTTTGGGGAGGAAGGTAAGTGTAAACTTGGACAAGACAACTCATTTCTGACTCTTACTTTGAAGACTGTCCATCATCAGTTTTCTTCTCATTTGAGACACCAGGAGCCATGTATGCTTATACCTAGAATTATATTTAAAAAATTGGATGTAAGTGTACCAGAATAGTCCCATCTGTAAAGCCAGAATCATTAACAGTGAGAGAAACCTTCTATATTGATGATACTATCATGAATATTAAACCCCCAAAATAATCCAGCCACACTACACCTTTTATAACTGTAGTAAAATGAGCATCTCCAATTTTATGGATGGCCAAGCATCACCACTTTGAAACCACTGAAGCCTACACTAATCCCTTGCTAATGTAACCCCCATCTCACCCCTACTTCTGTTCTGTGGTATAAGCAACACCCAGCTCACAGGCCAGAGAGAGGTAAGTTTCACAGCTTACTAACTAACCCTCTTTCTTCTATACCTCCCACAGCAACAGTGACCACCGAACTAGCTTTATCCCCCTTTCACCTCTGGCTCCAGAAGGTCTCCAAAACTCATCTCTGTCATATGCCTGAAACCTGAGTCCAGGAAGCATCTTACTCATAATATCCTATTCACTAAACTCCTCCTACTGATCTTAAGAGCATTTCTATCTGCCCCAGCCTAAGGGTGAGGAAGACTAAACAAAACATGACTCCAGAAAGTCACAGCATTCTAATTTATTGTCCATCTTGAATAACTTTTTTCCTAGTCCATTACCCTAACCTACACAAAAAAAAAAAATTTCGTTTCTAAAATTCTCCTTTTCATTTGAATAGGCAAATAATATTACTAAGACTTTGGTGCTGATACAACTGATTCATTTGTTATTATTTTCAGAAGTGACTAAGGCTATGTGCCAAAACTGGTACTTTCTTGCAACGCTCTTACAAGAAGTACTGAATCATAAATTTTTGCTCTACCCTCCCTTACAAAGAGCCTGACAGCACATCGATTATAACAGACAGGATTGTAATCCTTAAAAACCCCAGGATTACAATACAAGGAAGCAGAAGTCAATCTTGCAAGAGAATTACAGAATATGTGATTTTTGAAAGAACTTAAGAACCAAATGAAATAAACCTGAAGTCTGCCTGTTAAAAGCCTCCAAATAACGGCAATGTATTTACATTTATAAGGGCAATTAGTTTTCTTCATTTAAAATATTAACCTTTATTAAATAGACCTAAACTCACATGTGATCGATATACTAAATGTATACTAGAATCTATGATCAAGGAAGTAAAGTATAAAAGTGGCATTTAGAATCAGTTATGCATCCTTAGGGTCGTGTGACTAAAGCCATTTACTACAGGGTATTTACAGGTACATTACGGGAAAAATGCCTCACTTGTTCCAAGAAAACTACAGTGCCCTGAGTCCTAATGACAAGGAGTTGGAAGATAAGAAGAAGAAACAGCAAAGTGAATGTTATGTACCCAGATGACAAATGGCTGTAAATAAACCGATATTCATTCAGCTGCTGTTCACAGTATTAAGCAACCATGTGATTTTTAACAGTGTTCTCGGCTCTGTGATACCCTAAGTCACGATGTGCTTGCTTCAAAAAACTAAGAACAAAGTTCTGACAGTCCAAAGGTCCTGAATACCCTCTCCAACAGCACCCAACCGGAGATGCCTTGGCAGAAATATAAGAAAAGAGCAAGCAGAAAGCAGTTTTCCCATGGCAAACCCTTCTGGCAATCAGGTGGTGGCTGACAGGCACCCACTTCATGTACAGACACAAAATTCTCACACTCTAAGCAAATTGAAATTTTTATCGCCATGTCAAAAGTTTCCAGCAGTCTTCCTCCGCCAAAGTTAAAACTCATGTTCTAGACTAAAGTGCTCCCAGCAGGGCTCGGCTCAAGAAAGGGCACGGCTCGCTTTATCCTGTGTGAAAACGCTCTGACTGATGGTTTCAAACCACGCAGAATCCATTAGAGTTACTATCTCTCGAATTTCTTCTCCACCTCGCTTCTTTTTTTTGAAAGGAAAAGCCCAGTTAATGTTACCTTTACGGAAAAGCTCTAGCTCGGTGTTGATCCATCGTTAGAAAAACTTACATCACTGTAAAGCTGATCTTTATACTGTGGCTTCCCTCTTGAGGCCGCACAAACCACGACAGCCCGCTCAGGGTGCACATCCCTGCCTCGGCTCGGCCGCCGGAGGAGCCGCGGATCTCCCTCCCGCCCATCTCGCCTCGGAGACGGGGGCTCCACCGAAACCCCCCGCAGCCGCCGGTGGCCGCTCCCCCGGCCCCCCCGATCCCCCCCGTCGCCGCCT